TAATTTTCGGTGTCTCAAGGCACAGTTTGCAGATTGTGTTCATGTTTGATCATAACGAGCGCCTAAGTCTTAAAGCAAGAGACGTTGTCTTTTATGCCAGTCATGCTCACTCCACCTGTGATCAAAATTCTACTTGGATATTTGAACTCGTAAATTTCTAGTTTTAGAACTTTTATTCTAATCTCGTCATATCTCGCAAAACTCCGCCAATACAGAGATCAGTTCGCCTTGGTTGAATAGCTTCCCAAAAACCATTCCATATGCATGTCAGGGACCCATCATGGTTGAATATGATATATCTTTTCCCGCTAAAACATAAAAACAATCGCTTAATATGATCCATCCACCATCTATCGTTAAACCATTACTTCTTCCTTTTTATCTACAAGTTCTCGGATCCCTCAACGGGAGGACATGTGCAGAACAGGTTGGTGTCACCATAAGCGTCGTCCACGCGACCCACAGAGGGCCACATCTTCTTCTCCCGGAGCCAAGGCAGGGGATAAGCAGCCTCCTCACGCGTGTAAGGGCGGTCCCACTCGGAAGAGAGAAGGTCTTCTTGAGGGTGGGGGGCGTTTGTGAGGAGGTTGTTCTTGCGGGGAACCTTGCCAGATTCGACGTCGGCAATCTCCTGTCGGATCTGGATGAGGGCATCGCAGAAACGGTCAAGCTCAGCGCGGGACTCAGATTCTGTGGGCTCGATCATAAGTGTTCCTGAGACAGGGAAACTCATGGTGGGAGAGTGGAAGCCATAGTCTGCAAGACGCTTGGCGATGTCGGCAACTTCAACTCCAGCGGTCTCCTTGAAGGGACGAACGTCGAGGATAAACTCGTGGGCGCAGCGGCCGTTGGCATTGGTGTAGACAACCTTGTAGTGGGGGAGGAGACGGGACATGATGTAGTTGGCGTTGAGGAGGGCGGTACCAGTTTGCTTGGTAAGACCATCTCCACCCATCATGAGGATGTAGGTGTGGCTGATGGGGAGAATGGAGGCGCTACCCCAAGGAGCGGCACTGATGGGAGCAACGGCAGTGCTGTCACGCTCGGCACCGATGCGCTGAGGATCAATCTCGGGGTGACCGGGGAGATAAGGAGCAAGATGCTTCTTGACAGCAATGGGGCCAACACCGGGACCACCACCACCGTGGGGAATACAGAAGGTCTTGTGGAGGTTGAGATGGCAGACATCAGCACCGATGTCACCGGGGCTGCAGAGACCGATCTGGGCGTTCATGTTGGCACCGTCCATGTAGACGAGACCGCCATGCTCGTGGACAAGATCACAGACTTGCTTGATCTCGGGCTCAAAGACACCGAAAGTAGAGGGATATGTAACCATGATAGCAGCAAGCTCATCAGCATGCTTAACACACTTGGCCTTAAGATCCTCAATATCCAGGTTACCAGTCTTACCGTCACATTTGACAGTAACAACCTTCATACCAGCCATGGCAGCAGAAGCAGGGTTGGTACCGTGAGCAGAAACAGGGATAAGGCAGACCTTTCGCTTATCTCCATCACGAGCCTCGTGGTAAGCCTTGATGCAGCGAAGACCAGCAAACTCACCCTGAGCACCAGAGTTGGGCTGAAGAGTGGTAGCGTCCATGCCAGTGATCTCAGACAAGTTCTTGGCGAGAGAGCTGATGAGAGCTTGGTAACCGGAAGCTTGCTCGACGGGGGCGAAGGGGTGGATGTTGTTGATGCCGGGGTCGGAAACAGGAAGCATCTCGGTTGTGGCGTTGAGCTTCATTGTGCAGGAACCAAGAGGAATCATGGAGTGAACGAGGGAGACATCCTTGGACTGGAGGTGGTAGATGTATCGAAGGAGCTCGGTCTCGGTGTGGTATTGGTTGAAGACGGGCTGCTCGAGGTAGCCGGTCTTTCGCTGGAGAGAAGCAGGGATTTGGTCGTTGAGGAAGGTAGCCTTGTCAGACTCGAGAGCAGACTTGAACTCGGCCTCAGAAACGCCAAAGGCCTTGACGAGGTTACCGAGGCTCTCGAGGGTGACGCCCTCGTGAAGAGAGAAGCCAACCTTGTCCTCAGCAACACGGCGAAGGTTAATACTCTGAGACTCGGCGTTCTTGTGAACCTTGGCGATGGCCTCAGGGGATCCCTTGAGGGTGACAGTGTCGAAAAGAACAGAGCCATCCTCGCGAAGACCCTCAGTGTGAAGCTTAAACTCGCCCTTCTCAAGGATCAAACTCTGAGCAAGACGGGTCTTACTCCAGATATCCTCAGCAATAGTCTTAAGACCCTTAGGACCGTGATAGACAGCATAGAAAGCAGACATGTTGGCGAGAAGAGCCTGAGCAGTGCAAATGTTGCTGGTGGCCTTCTCACGACGGATGTGCTGCTCACGAGTCTGGAGAGCCAGACGAAGAGCAGGCTTGCCGAGACGATCCTTAGAAACACCGACGAGACGACCGGGAATCTTGCGCTTGTACTTCTCAGAAGTAGCGAAGAAAGCAGCGTGGGGACCACCGTAGCCAAGAGGAACACCGAAACGCTGGGAGTTACCGATTGCGATGTCGGCGCCAAACTCTCCAGGGGGCTTAAGCATGGTAAGAGCGAGAAGGTCGGTGGAGGCGCTGAGAAGAGCCTTCTTCTCGTGGACGATATCGGCAAGAGCTTGGTAATCATGGACACCACCGTGGGTATCGGGGTACTGAATCAGGGTTCCAATGAGGTCGCCTTCGACTTCGCGAACGAGCTTGGAGTTGTCGGCGAGGACATCGCCAATGACGAGCTTGATGCCGAATCCCTCAGCTCGGGACTGGAGGACGGCGATGGTCTGGGGGTGGCAGTCCTTGGAGACGACAAAGACCTTCTGGCCCTTGCCCTTGGGAGCGTTGGCCATAGACATGGTCATAGCCTCAGCAGCGGCGGTGGCCTCATCGAGAACAGAGGCATTGGCGATGTCGAGACCAGTCAAATCGGTGATAAGAGTCTGGAAGTTGAGGAGAGACTGAAGACGGCCCTGGCTGATCTCAGCTTGGTAGGGGGTGTAGCTGGTATACCAGGCAGGGTTCTCGAGAACGTTGCGCTGAATAACAGCAGGAACAAGAGTTCCATAGTAACCAGCACCAATGAAAGACTCGTAGACCTTGTTGTTCTTGGCAAGCTTTCGCATCTCCTGCTGGATGTAGTGCTCAGTGCGACCATTAGCGGGAACAGCAGCTTCCTCGCCGCCCTCATACCACTGTTCAACGAGGTTCAGACCCTTTTGCTTCCTCCGAACCTGCGGGGGAATAGTCTGCTCGAGAAACTCCTCCATGGAGCTCACGGGAGGGTCCAGCACCTTGAGCATTTCTGTCTGCTCGCTGGACTCGCTGCCAATGTGTCTCCTTGAGAAGAGCTCATGCTCGTGCAGCTTAGTGCTGCTCTGGGAGTCGACGAAGCGAGGGGCGCTGACTTGGGCTGTAACTGAGAATGCCCGGGATACGCCATTGAGACGAATGGATTGTGTGAGACGTGGTTGAAGGGTGATGGGAGAACGACGAGACTGACGGCAGAGCCGTTGTCCAATACGAGTGGCAGACATCATGATGGGATGATTGCCTGTTAGACCCCTCTTCAACACAATTCAGTTCTGAATTATGAAGAAAAGAAAGAAAGGAAGAGGGAAAAAAGACTGATTATGAGTATGAAGTGTTATCAAAAACACAGCCCGCATCCAAAGATTTTAAGGGTACATGAGCATGAGTGGCGTCGGCCGTCATGGTCCGATCATGTCGCCGGTTCCTTTCTCCAAACCGGCCGGGAAAGGTACATGAGGGTACATCTGGATCTGAACCTTTCCAGAAGACATTTCATGTGACTCGGTGAAAGTGCCAGCGCGGCAACTAAAGCGCGATAAAAGCTGTGATTCGTTGGCTTTGACTCAGTGAAACTAAGTGACTCGGTGAAAGATAAGTACTTACCACGCTTACCTTACCCTATCGCGCGCAAATTCACCGAGTCAACGGTAATTCTTCACTGAGTCAAATGCACCATAACAAATCAGGTGGTCGGTAAATGAGCCGCGGGGGTCTTATCGCTTGATTTTTAGGCCAAGCTGGGGTTGGTTCCACTGTGTTCTGCCCTGAAAATACTTCCTCGGCGTTGGACCGAAACCTGGGCCCGAGCTCGGGGTGGCCTGGCCGGTTCTTTTGTTCGTCAGTTGATTTGATGTTCATGATAAGAATTTATTGGTACGCCTTCTAGAAATTCTCTATGCAGGTTGTCCTTGTGACAGTCTTAGACCACATCAAATAGACTTTGCACGGATTTCCGGTGTAGAAGCCGGGGTTGCAATACCGGAATAAAGTACAAGCCCCCACTGGCCAGGGCTGCCAGGGTCTCCAAACTCCGATGTCTTGGCATAGGGTAGCTGCACTTGGACCAACGACAGAAAAACCTCTACTTCGAGGTCTTTCGGTAATACAAATGAAGTGTGATGAGAAAATAGTTGCTGGATCTCCTGTAAATCTTTTCATTTATGTTTCTTATGATTTCACGTCGTGTTGTGATACAAACCAGTCATTCAAACCAATGCTTTCGCAAGAGAATCACGCATTGTTTTAGAGTTACTTCTCCTGAATGTCGAAAACATGATGAGTAACGTCTAGAAATAGATGATTAGGTCGAAACAGGTTTCACAGTCGCTAACAGCTGGAGTAAGCAACCATCCTTTCTCCCTGACGTATTAGTGCTCCATAGAAATCAAAGCGCTATTATAATCAAGGGAAGTCCGTGTAAGTAAAACAAAGACAGGTAGAACAAGACATGAAAATCCCATCAAGCCTTCTTACATTTGATTATGACGAAACGGAAAGACAAAGGCCGTGCCTGATAAAGAATACATCATGTTCATCAGTTCAGGTATAGATTGTGAGCAACTGTTGCCCGATGACAGCCATAACATCAACGTTTAAGACCCAAGATACAGGAGCACTCTGGGCTGAAAGGCTCAAGTTATTCAACAATTAAAGATCAAAATTTACAGATCAACACTTTTAACCATGTTAACTAGATCAATTCAGATAAGGCTACCTACTGGTGCACCGCTTTGCGAAACGCACTTTCAATCTTATATGCTCAACTACATCACAAAGCAGATCGAAGTCAAACAGCAGTCAACAACAACAAGCAAGACACAGTCGGGACCAACTCGAGTTCAACCACGACGAGTTGCAAAAGACAAGCATCCACTTGGAAAGATTACAAAGAAACGTGGAGCAGATGAAGATTTGTCAAAGTCCACAACGAAGAAACGGAAAACCAACTATCCGGTACACAACTCGAAGGCATGGAGTTCATTCATCACATTAGAAAAGCAGCAGGTGAAGGAGAAGAAAGATGCTACAGAAGATAAAGAATTCAGCTGCCCCTTTGGACCTACTCCTTGGGCATGCAAAGAATGCATATCCGAGACAGCCGATTCAACTGAAGAAAATCTGCTATTCATGGGGGAGCCCACGGCACCTCAGGCTAATATGGCACCTGTTGGCCGTCCTCCAAAGCTTAACATATGGAAGGACTTTGGGACAGCAGAATTTGAGATGTCTCAGGGAGAAGGTTTGTCATATGTTATCGATGCATGCAGACAACCAATGTTCATGTTCCTGTGAGCTTTTGGCCACTATAGAACAGTATCAGGGAACATTCAAAGGACCACAAACTTTATGAGATACTAATAACCACGGTATGAGTGAGACACAAGTATGCAAGAGGTATAAGTGGTGATCAATTGAAGGTAGCCATGTTATTGCCTAATCTAGCCCTATAACCAGCTTGGGATACAATTGCCATAGGAGATTGTGCCTGGTTCCTCCTAGATACAACCCGTGAATTGTCATAAGCCCGAAACTTTCTCTCCATATTGTGATATGTCGCTTATATTCGTTGTGGTTGAGTACGTGCTCGTGACATGGAGGCCATTAATTGGCAGTTGACCTGTCCGATGACGAACATGAGGGTGAAAGAGGCGGCCTATTCAGGACCAAGAAGACCTGGACCAAAATGACGAAGGTGAGAGCGAATATAATGGTGAGAGCGGCGGGAATCGTCACTATCGCCACTTCTATATTTATTAGGTCAGCTCTGTTTGAAAGAATTAAGATTGGCTGCGTGAGGTGCAGGTCTGAGGTGCCTACGTACGGTCGCAAGACAAAATACCAAAGAAGGAACCCAGCCAAGCCAAGAGAAGCAAAAGTGAAACCGATAGCCGCCAGAGCCTTGCCCTTTTTATTATCCACAGGTTGAATCTCGTCGTCGGCCATGATTATGGTTGTGGTTGTGGTTGTTGTATTGGATATATGGGTGGTGACTGCACTTGGGTAATGATAAAGGAAAGAATGTCTTGGGAGGAGGGAGGAAAAACTGTATATTTATGATTCAATATATTATATAGAGTTTTCTATCGCTCTCTTGAGAAGCGTCATGATTGACATGGAACTTGTGCGAGAAAACCCTTGCATGTTTTATGAAGCTGTCACCAACCTCCACTGCCTTACACATAAGAGCGGGTTGTGCGGAACGCTGTATAAATAGAATGATATGTAATTCGCTACCGACAAGACATCAATAATGCCAAATTCTACATAGTATGACAATTGACTTCAACTGATGCCAGAAAACTCAACAAAGGCCACGTAGATGCCAATCTGTCGACGGGATTGAACATGCTTCAAAACGGGACGGTTTCCAGGCAGTTCTTAACTGATCAATGGACCGATATCGAGCTAAAGCTATTGAAGCACCCAATGAGCAACAAAAGTACTCTGACGTGATTCGTCTGAGAAAACTTACATATACCTCGAAACAATGAAAGTTGGTGACAACAGGTAATAGGGAGGACTGTTTATGTCATCATCTGTAACTTAACTCATGCTTATCCATATGGAAAGGTTATGAAGTCACCCATACTTCTCGTTGAACTTGGAGCGAAGTTTGGGTAACAACCCTGACAGGCTTTGCCACTCGATGCTGCTGTCCGTAAGTCAACTGGCCCGCCGTACCATTCTTCGAAATAGTCACCTCTGTGCAAAGCACATTTACTGCTAGGAGCGTTCTATTACTAGTCAAATGTCTCCTTGTTGAGTTCATCGGTATACATTACTCTGAGGCTCGTGGTCGCTTCCCTTGTCAAGACCATAGCCTTTGCAGAATAAAAGAGTTCGGTCAATAATTAGATGTTGCGATAGTTTCGTTCGCCGGGTGAAGTATACTTTAAGTTATATTCCTGGACCCCTGACTTTGCTTCTGACAGAACTTTGTCGTTTTCAGAGTCCGCTTGGTCAGTAGATTCCTCATAATTTTATGAATGATGATTAAAGACATTTACGAAATTGAGGGAAGTTACCGACGAAGAGAGAAGAGACTCTCACTCGGAGCCACTACTGCGTTGACTCTATGGCCTTGAACTTACTGAATTGAGTGAACCCAGTCAGCATATGGATTTGCTATCTGAGGATAGTGGCAACTCTGCCTTGAGAGTGACAGCTGGAGGGATGTTGATCCAGTTCTAGTAAATTGAGTTCTTCAATACAGACTGGGTATACGACCTAGAAATAACATGCTTCTGTGAAACATATCTGAGAAGAGGGAGGAAACTGCCATCGCCAGCTCTTTGTATTCCCAAGTGAGCTGCACACGCTTTCTTGTTTTACCCCAGACTGACTCTGCCGAAACACATCGATAACACATACGCGTGGTCTTTTGTGTCCTTGGTTTTATATACCGGACAGGTAATAAGTATATCATATAGTGCTGCTTGTTCAACTTATCTGTGACTGATGTATAGTCAGCAATGGAATAATATGCTCCGTTCTCCGTTTGCCTTACCTCAAGCATAAGACCGTCACATTACCTCACCAAGATAACGAGCTAAGGCTATGTGAATGATCGAGCCACGTGAATACTGTAGAAGCCTAAGTGAACTGCCGGGTTTGGTGGTGTTAGTGGCAAGGACGAGTTATTATTGCGACCCAATCAGAAGATGTAGCCAGGATGGGTGATGTTAGTGGCGACGAGCCTTAAAGCTTGGCCTTGAGATTTCTTAAGATTGCATGTTGTACAATGACAATGACAGAAAAGCTGGATTATGTGGCCTTTTCTCACCAATAAAATCAACAGTATTAGCCTTTAAATGCGTTAATAGACTTCAAATGTTATCAAGAATAGACATGTAGAGAACATTCGAGATTCCCGATACCGCGATACCCTGTCCCCAAACCTCGAACCATCGTGGATCATCACGCGGAGTCTAAAAAGCTGGGCCAAGTCAAGGAACCGCCAAAATCACTCACATCACCCCCACAAGGCCAACTCAGATCGCCAACCAGAGTGCAATCCCACGTCAGGACCCCTCATTCTACAGGAGGGGTCTTTTTGAGATAAACGCACAAAGGCCGCATCCTACATGCTATATAAGACCCTGCATGATCCGATCATTCTCTTTTTTTCTTCATCCTCATCTCAAATACAAACTTTCAGTACAAACTCAACTCTTCTTTTTTTTAAACCTCATCCACTAAACAATAATCACAATGGCTGGCGACTGTGGCTGCTCTGGTGCCTCTTCTTGCAACTGCGGCTCTAGCTGTAAGTCAACATGACTCTATTCCCATCAATCCATCGATCCTAACATGTGTCAGGCTCTTGCTCCGGCTGCGGCAAATAAACTCTCCGATCTCATTTCAACTACGAATTATTGAGATACGACCCGTGGCCTTTGTCAAAATTCTACGAAACAGCCTATGGATTCATAAATGTTGGTGTTGAGTCCAGTGTGCTTGGGGAGATGACGGTTGGAGTTATATGTTCACTGGTTGGCTTGTAGTGCAATTCTGAAATACATTTCTTCATCACCATAATCGCCTACTTAGTGCCCAAATGGTCCATGTACTATCTTGTCATTCATTGATGTGTTATAATGTCATGAGCAAGCCAGAAGCACTTCATGGACTTGACTTGCACAATCCCTTGACACGCGATCTCTAGAGTCAACTACCTACCTAAGTATCATGAACATGTAAATCCGCAACCTGTACTGTTTGCCTTTCCTAATCTCCTCCTCTGGTCCCTGATCTCCAATACTTGGGTACATTCAAGGCTAGATGGGCCATTGTTCACCATCCCATCGCAAAGAGCCTGCCCATCCCGTTGTCCGGACTTGCTGCTGTAATCTGCAGTTAAAATTTAGCGGCTCATGCGCTGGCTCAAACTCATCTAGCTCAGTCACATCAGCAATGTCCACAAGATCGTAAGAAATATGCTTGACGATCTGGCCCTCTATCGTCCCTGGGCCAATCCAGACAAACGTGACTTTTGGTCTCATCGCCACGGGTCTCTTACACCAACCAAGCTTCTGTCGCATATCGAGAAGTAATTGGGGGAAGGAGTAGGGACACAAGAACGTAAAGAACCGCAGCTCAAGAGAGCGAAGATTGGGTAATGAAGCCAGGAGAGTCAACAAGTCATTCTTGGCTATTTGGATGCCTCGGAGTGTGAGGTGTCGAAGTTGTTCTAATGGGCTCTTGATAAGTAGGGGTAAGCGTAGATCAATACCATTTCCCCTGTCATCATTGAAGCCACCGTGAAATATGTTCAAGCTCTTGAGACTTTCCGCCTGTTTGAGAGTCTTATGAAGATAATCAAGGGGTTTGTCAGGGAGGCCAGAACGCTCAGAAGGTGAAACCATTGCCGCGCAAATAGGCAGATCCAGCCTGGAAAAGCCGGGCCTCTGGATGAGAGAAATGACGTCTGCGTAAGTATAGCCCGTCCGGTCAAAAATATCGATGTCCACCCCGTCAGTATAAGCATGATCCTCGACAACGAACTCAAAGACCTTGTGCTTTTCATGCTTGGCAAGCATGCGCAGAGCGGAACAGAAACCACGCCTGGTGATGAGCTCAGGTGTCACAGAAAACTCCTTGGGATCCCACAAGAAATCGGTATTTGTAACGAAAACCTTGTGCGCTGGGAGAGGATACACGAAGCCATAGGGGAAATGCTCGAATCATAGGAGTCTCGTACCTAGGCATAAATAGGCGCCCATGTGCTCTGGCCGATATGGTTACGTGATAGAGGGAAGGGAATCGTTCCATGGCATACAAAAAGGCATCAATATCTGCTCTGGATAAGTGTTCCTGATGCTGTTGGTCTGCAAGGTTGTAGTAGTATGGGTAGGAATCTTCTGGTGACATAGCTGCTGCCAGCTGGGGCATTGGGACAGCATGCTTCTGACTCTTAACTTGACATTTGCTGTGTTCAAGCCGAGCAATACTATCCATGGAGCCGCGGTGATACCACATCGGGCATCGTTTGACTAAGTCCTTATGGCGATTCTGAACTCTTGGACGAGCCATACTCCCCACGTGGCTGAAAGACGTGTCATCCCATATCAGCTCGACCACGAACTCGCGATACTTATCGCTATCCGCAATCTCTCGGAGAACTTTGATATTGAGAAGATTTGCTGAGAGAGACTTGTTTTAGGTGCAAGAGAACGGCGCTTCCAAAGCCAGCAGATGTGAGACGTAAGGTCTTGGCATCGCTGTTCGGGAGGAAGGACTTGATACGATGGAAAACTTCGATTGGGATGGCTGCGAGATGGCACTGTCTTTGATCAGACATCTTGAACGATCCGTCTGGGTATAGGGAGTTGGATGGGTCCTGGGAAGACAGATTGATGAATGAGGATTAAGATTGTTTGATCAAATCGCTTCTGTACTTGTTCTCTGTGTCCTAGTGCTAGCATTTGTGGACTGAATCCCAAGTTATTGACATTCGGGCTCATACTAGGTGAAACAGACGTGCAGGCCGAATTTATAGACATGATCGAGATACAAGCTGTTGTAGGATTAAGAGTCGTGAAGTACCTATTCATAGGTCGTTCATTGTACGCGTGAACTATAAGGACTTTCTCGGATATAATTGATATGAGAATATCAACATCAGAATGATGAAAGCATATCTTTGGCAGCTAGGCAGTGCTGCACAGCACTGAAGTGACTCTTGGACCAGTTATATTTTAGCATATCATCAAAATAAATTAAGAAGAGTCTTGAAAATGGTCCATATTGATTTAGTGCTTCGTAAAAGATAAAGGAGCCGGCAACATGGGAAACCTCCCGTCGCATCATAGTCTTGGCATGCAAGTGACATGGCAGGTGACTTGCTATGATGTGCATGTTGTGATACAAGCTCATATGGAAGCCTCTGAAATTGTTTAAATTATCATTATTAGAAGTCTTGTATTGACAGCAGTGACACACAGAGAGGGAGCCTTCCAGCAACGAATGAGAGCCAATATCGAATTCATACTAGCTTCCGAAGATGCCATCTTCTAGTAAAAGACCCGTGACTTCTCATCGGAAAAGGATAGACCCTGGACTCCACTGCTGATCACTAGAAGCAAGCCCTGGCCTTTGTCCATTCCGGCAACTGATTCATGTGCTTCGCGTTACCGTTATTTGGTGGCCGAGAAAGCATGTGATAAGCTAGAACCAAGCCGAGAGAGAAAGTAAGAACAGGCCATGAATGGATGACTGCGCCTACCAAGGAAACTCACGTGGACTTTTTCATATCCCTTTGTCTCTTTGACATGTTTCTGTCTTTTCTTATCATTTTTATTGATTTAATTTGGTGAAGACGAATTTACATTGAGATCTAATCCTGACATGCCGCTGCACAGCTGACGTCGCGGGGCAAGCAAGGTAAGGCAAGGCGCCTAAAGCATCAATCTGGGGTAATGCCAATGCTGAATGACGCCTGTATTGAACAGTGGCTTATAACGTTGCAGAACAATCGCAAAACTTGGAAGACAGAGACTTGTCAATGGCAGCATTTGTAAGTCTTTATTTCACTATTATTCCCCTTTTTATCTCGATGCATCCCTCTTTCGTCCATTTCAGTTGCTGTGTTCCCCTCTATACCTCTTAGGCAGCCCTAGAAGCTTAGTCGCTAAAGTGGCGCCCCATGACATAACCGTCTGTGTCCTCTCAGCCCAGATCCAGGGCTTCACTCTAGTGACTTGATCCTCTGACGTCGCGTCGCGGCCGGCCACGAGGGCAAGTCACTACGATCAAGATTCTATCACAGCTCTCATTTACACTGTTCATCGACTTTGCCAAAATATCCATTGAATCGTCTGGCCTGCTTATTAACGAAACAACTTCAATAGGACACGCCGTGGCTGTCGCATCTTGCACCGGCGCCCATGTCTTCCCGTGATGATGCGTCTCATGGCGCATCACCTCCCTCGTACGAACCACAACCTTCAAATACTGGTGCTCCTCCGACATTTGCATCTTTCTCTCCAGTGACTCTCTCCGCGAATACACCATCCCGATCGTCCCGAAGATCAACCATCCTCGTCCATCAAAAGAGCCCCCTGCTCCTCGCTACTCCTCCACAGATCACCCGCGCTCTCGCCTACAGCCATCCCTTCCTCCTCCCGTTAAATACATTCGCAGGTCTCCTCACCTGGAGCACTGGCGATCCTTGGCAGAGCTTCTTGCTATTGTGCTTCTTCTGGGCGGTTGTTCTGTATGGCGATGTAGTAATAACGTGGGCCGGCCCTGTCTTGGTAGGAGTGGCACTCATTGTTGGCATGTACGGCCGGAGATACAGTCCCCTCAGTAGTAGTGGGTGGACTGATATTCGAGGTCAGAATGCTGGCACCAAGGGAGCAAATCAAAACGCCGGCGAGAGCAGCCAGCAGAATGGAAAGGCAAACGCCAGCGAGAAACAGTCGAAACATGCAAGGGGAAATTCCGAAGTTACCAACACCAAACATCAGAAGACACTAGACGAGATCGTCGAGACTCTTAAACAACTTACTGGGAGATGTAATGTTCTGATGGAACCTCTGCTCGACATGACGGATTTTCTAAGCACTCAGACGACCCCAACTAGTGCGACCACGCGCCCTGCGCTGACGGTCATCTTCATGCGACTGCTTATCATCACGCCTATTTGGATTGCGCTTACTGTTCCGCCCTGGAGAGTTGTCACAACAAGACGTGTAATACTAGTGGCCGGAACTATCATCTTGACTTGGCATGCAAGGGTTCTGCGAGTGTCGCGGGCCATTCTCTGGAGAAGCTCCACAGTTAGACGACTTGCAGCCGCCATCACCGGGTTGCAGTTTGATACTCCTGAACAACCGTTCAAAAAGGACTTGGCTAAGGCTGCTAAGAAAGGCCCGGACCGTGTTGCTCAACAGCAGGAATCCGAACTTGCAAAAGCCCTTGGCAAGTCGTCGAGCTTCCAGACTAATCATGGAAGAAGGAATGGCAATGCAAAGACTGCGGGTGTCAAGTTCACGTTTATCATTTATGAGAACCAAAGACGATGGATTGGTCTGGGCTGGACGAATAATCTCTTCGCATATGAACGAGCGGCCTGGACGGACGACCATAACAACTCAGTTCCCGCTAAAGATGATTTTGAACTACCCGAGGTAGAAGACGGAAGTCGTATGCAGTGGCGATGGGTTCCTGGAACCCGTTGGCGTGTTGACGGTGTGTCTGATGAGCATGGTCCTGTGGACTATGATGGGAATGAGGGGAAGAATGGCTGGATCTTCTATGACAACAAGGTGAGAAGCCATCATATATGGCAACGTATTGTCCTCTAACAAATTATCAGTGGCAAAATGGCCAACGGGGTCAGGATGGATGGGGTCGCTGGACCCGACGAAGAAAGTGGTATCGTGATGCCGAGTTGGTTGAGGTGGATCGGCCGGAAGAGGGCCAGGAGATTGAGAAGGAGCTTAAAGAATCTCCTTCAGTAACAAAACTCAGGTCTCAACCATACAACTCCAGCAACGAAACCATGGTTCCCACACGGGCTGTGCCCGACCAGAGTCACGCTGAAGACGTCAGTAACGATGACGCGAGCTCCAAAGCAGCAGACGATTCCTTGTCAGTACACTCGACATCTTCCAGATCTTTCTTCAAGTCGCCTTTGATGCGGAAACGAATCGCTGACCGATCCGGAGCGGATAACAAAGAGCGCACCAGAAGAGACAGTAGGACTAGTAGGACGAGTAGTCTGTACAACGATGATGACGCCGATGCTCTAAGTGCTGAGTTGGCCCTTGAAATCCAGAAACAAGGTAGGCCCGGCGGACAATGGGGGATAGGCGATGAAGCACGAATGAGTCTTGAGTAACGGGTGCACTTTGACGACGATACTGCATTGAGGTTATCGGCGTTAGATGGATTGGGACATACGGGTCGACGATTCGAAGCACGACTGACTGGTAATGGGATAGGTTTTGAGGGATGGCGTACGGCTGATTGATCATTATGTACAAGAGTATGGAAGCGAGACTTGTGACGGATACCAATAACGTTACTCGATTGACTAAGAACAAAGAAATTGATCCCTTCGCAAGCTTATAGGCAGTGACGGTTCTCGGCAGTTCGATCTGATGATGATACTCGAATGAGAACAAAGAACGGCTCGTGACACTTGGCCGCGTTGAAAGGGATACACAGAAAAAAAGGTTGTCACACTGAGACTATAGTCCATCGGTATGCCAAAATGGATATAACTACCTTTTTTTACGACGGCTGTTTAGTGGTAGTGCTGGTGTCGCTCCTTGCCAGGTGCCCGTCACTGCCAACTTCATAAGCCATTATATCGTTGACTTCCAACCTCTCTCCGACACCCTTTCTTCCCAAAACAAACGAACCCTTCCACATTACTTTCAACTATCCACAAGAGTATATATATATATATACCATGGAACTTCCAGTCCCTCCTCGAGATGCGAATCGCACTCTTCGCAAAAAGAGAAGCAACCGCTCCAGCGCCCTAACCCTCTCCCTATCACCCGAACGCGCTCAACAACCTCAGCAACGAAACCTTACCTCTCCTGCGAAAGCGTCGCCGTCAATGCGATCGTCCCTCGTTTCCCCCGACCTTCTCTCTCGAAGCGCTTCATCAGCAACACATCACCGCAACATCTCCGGCTCCGGTCCATCACCAGGAACATCACTCGCTAGTATCGACTACCCTTCCCGCGCCGAATCAGCACTCACCATTCGAGCTCCTACTGTGCATGAAAGAGGTGGCTCGCCACCGCTTACGCCGTTTCCTCCATGGGTTAGTGAGGAGGAAGATGAAGGTGATGGAGAGTGCGAGAACAGAAACTGGGAGGGGTCTATGACGAGGACGGATGGGAAGAGGCATAGTTATGATGGAGGGCATGTTCCTGTGACTATTATGAGGGTTGAGGGGAGATGGGTTGTTAGTTCTGTGGTACATGGACTCGTGCTCATGTTGCAATTTGCGGTGACACTAGGTGTTTTCAGTGCCTTGATGTGGGTTACCGTTTGGAAGGAGAATGAACCTGGTAACGACTTTGACAACTGGTAAGTCACCATCTTTACAACCTCTAGACCAAAAGTCTAACAGTCCACAGGCTCTGGAAATTCGCGGACCCCACCCTGGTCGTTGTCCTTCTTCTCTGCTCAGCAAGTCTTCTGATCCACGAAGTCAAACTCCTTTCGTCTGTAGCACTACTCTACCTTGAGTCTCTCATTCTATCTGCCACGACAGTATCTAGTCTCGTGCTTTGGGCGCGGTGCTTTCAAGAGGAGAGCCGCAGTGTCAAAGGTGTATTGATGGGTTGCAATGTCATGATATGGGGACTTGCTCTCTTTGGATTCATCCGAGCTGTTGTTATATGGAAAGTAGAGTCTCAAGATGATGAAGGCGATCAGGAGAGGGCGGTTTTGTACGGGACGTTTGTGCCTTGGGATGGGAGGAGGGAGTCTGTGTGAGGAGGTACAGGAACAAGGAGTCTCTGAATGACAGAGCCCAGTAGGAATTCAAGACAAAGGCTTTTCTTGGTCTTCTCCTACTCAGTCTCTCAAGTTGAACATCTAACTGGAATAGTGGCCAGATAGTGCAACATGGACACACCATGGCAGATAGTACTGTTGAAGTCGAATAGCGCCTCCAAGAAACAAGTCTTTATTCAGAACTTTGGACTCTTGGCGGTTTTTGGCCTCAAAATCAGAAGATCATAGCCTCATCTAGTATCTTTCTCGTCCACCTAAAGTAAGCAACCACCACGACTCAAGTACCGTCTGGACCAGGCCGATGGTTACGCGAAGGGCCATCCGTTTCATATGGACTCCTACCTATTCGAGCAACCGCACTGCAAGCCATTTTGAAACAGCGGATATAACGTGCCACTGCGGCTATTTGAAATTGACCCAAGACTTTCAGTGCTTACTCGCGCAGATTCCGTCTCGGCCTATTATCTCAATTGGAGCGGAAATTCCACAAGGCTGAAGAGAAACGACCCAAAAGGTGGGCGTAGGATCACGCTCCTGCAATTGAGGTAGTATTGACACATGGGTAAGAATCTTGGCGAGCTTGGTCTGGAACAGAAGCTCCAGGATAGTTAATGAGGTTGAGAATGGCCCCCAATTGTTCTGACCTGCCCCGGGTGTCAGAAGAATTGAGACTTTGAATCGGGGAGAGTGAATAAACTACCAAGTCAAAGAACCCACTAAGTTTATCCTAAATTTTATAAAATAGTATAAAATACTATAAGATTCTCTAAATATTCTAGGCCTTTCTAAATATTTTTATTAGTTAGAATTAAAGTCTAAAGTTCGTTTTTACTATCCCCTGGCCTGCTTTCTCTGTGGTGTTAATATAATACTAGGCTTTTAGGGATTTCCTGAAACAATACTCTAAGAAAGTAAGCATAACCGGAAACTCCTTCGGATTTTAGGCAGGGTTTGATAGTTTATTAGGTCTATTGAGCGAGCTAGCGAATAGGATAATGCGGTAGAAGATAATCCTTGGTAGTACGAGTATATATCATAAGACTTCCATGCATCCTGGAGCCGTGACAAAATGACACTCGGCCGAGAGGAACATTATGAATGTTTCTAATATTTACATATAATTGTACTCCCTGTATATGTAGATTTCAAGAAGTAATCGGCCAACATGTGCATATCAGCATCATAAGCGAGCTGTACCTTGTGGGAGTAAGTACAAAAGGGCCAAAGCACATTGTAGGAGTCAACCGACGCTGGAAGATGTAGTTCTGAACGGTCGAGTATAGACAAGGTTGACCTAGCTCAATATGCTTAACCCATCTATCCTTGCCTGTTTGGTTCGCATACAGGGTTTATAAGGCTGCTGCATAGGGACTGACACTTGGCCCCCAACTTTGAATAGGAAGGACGACGGAGGAGGTAGTTGTGAGAGAATTGAATGCAACTGCTACATTTCAGGTATTGAAACTTCACTATCTAATATTGGTACACGTTATGGAGTGGCTTTATGGTGCCGCCCGTGCGTGGCGGTTAAGTCTCTCTTATGGGAGGGAGAACTGTTAGTACTGCATACACATATATAGAGGACCCCTTCCTACTGCCAAGGCTTGTTCCCTCGGTTCTCTTCATATTCATTCTATCCTATCATTCTATCTTGTTTCATTCTTCAGCCCCTCGCAATGAGCTTCACATCTCCCACCGGGCAGTTCAAGCCCTACCCGGCCTTCGGTTCCGGGTCTTCATCGACAAAACTGCCAACTCAGTCTTACTCATCAAGAGTTGACTTTAGCGACCAATCATACGATATGCCTTATTTTGCAGGTTCCGATGTTTCTGTATCCAACCCTCAGACAAACTATGCGAGCACTGTGCCGAAACAGCCTGTTGCCGACGTTCCGCGAGGCTTTACACCGAAGCAATTATCAGATGCCCCAAAGACAAAGAGTTTCGACAAGAAGAGACTCTCCAGCATTCCCAATACTTCTCAACAAGGTATTTATGCTACATGTATACTCTTGTCACATTGCTAACTTCATCTTTCAAGCTCAACCTTTGCACACCCCCAATGCCAAGACAGATTACACAGAATTTCTCAAGAGCCTCGAGTTCCCCTCCGTTGCGAACAGCAAGATTGGTCACAATTCTGGAGACCTTGGTATAAATCAATGGCTGGTTCAAGATGCCCTCTTTACCAAATGGAGGACTTCCAGCGGTCTTCTTTGGCTAAGAGGTTCAGAAGGGAGTGGAAAGTCAACTTTGATGAAACAAGCTCTTGAATCGTGCCAGGGGCTAAGTTCAATTCACTTGACCTATTCTTTTTCCCCTTCCGGGGACGAGGCCAGAACACGTCTAGGCCTGTTCAAGTCCCTTCTGCGCCAATTGGTCCCTCAAGCACCAGAGGCCTTCAAAGGCATCAAGGACAGGTTTGACAAGATTCAGTCTTGCTTACCTCCCAAACAACAAGTAGCTTGGAACGCACAAGAACTCTTCGATGAGCTGATCAAGGTTCTTCCCAAGATTCTCAGGGCCCATTCTGTCTCCATCTATGTCGATGGCATCAATTACTCCGAGAGCGAAACGGCGCCCAAGCTTGTGCAAGACTTTTCCAAGTTCGTCGAAAAGTCTCAGATTCCCACCAAGGATCCCGCTACGACTCATGGACTTAGAATCATCTTTTCCAGTACACCTTATCCTATGAAGGATCCCTTCCCAAGATCGTGCATTCAAGTTGACGAGAAGAATGGATCAAGTTTGAGAAAGTATTTGGAAGGACAACTTTCCAACATCGACTTCAATACACAACGGTTGGTCTCAACAAAGACCGGCTCTTCTTTCGTCTCAGCTCGTTTGATCATCAATCACATCAAGCTCTTCGGACCTGGGCAGTCATCCCTCGTTCAACAGCCATCCCCTACGCCCGCGCCAATCTCGTTCTTGCTAGGCGCTTACTTCCAGGACATGGCACATCAGGGTAGCAATAGTCTTCTTTCACTCCTGAAATGGTGTTGCCTGTCATCGAAGCCACTTAGTCTGTCTGAGCTTCGGGTCGCGTTGGCTCTCGATGCCCTCCCTAAGGTTTGTTTCATCAAGGAATTGTCACAGACAGAGTACTTTACTCGATTCGCTTCTGATGATAGCTTTCAATCCTGGATCAAGACTACTTCTTGGGGCCTTCTTGAAACCGTGACCGTGGGTGGTCAGAAAGTTGTGAAGCCCATGCATGACAGCGTGTCGGATTTCTTCATCTCGAAGGGGTTGGATATCCTTTTCTACAAAGCTCAGGCTGCAAGTGCCACGACCTCCCCTATTCAGCAGGCTCATCATTCAATCGCTACTTGTCTTCTGCGATGCCTTGCAATCTTGCCCAAGGAACCAAGATGGGAGTCTATGGCTCGCACAGACCCAACACTCCAACTCGTCGGATACGCTGGGACTAGTTGGTCTTATCACATCACTTCTGCAGGCTTGGGAAAGCTAGAAGCTTCAAAGATTCTGAAGGTATTGGGTTGGCCGTCGGATCAAGCACTCAATGTCTTGGTTAAACTTGGCCAAGAAATGTCCACACTCGGCGATTTCCAGGGGTCACTCTGGACTCACCTTTTTTCCATCTATGGCCATGCTCATTTCCTCTCAGTCGCCATTAGAAAAGCTGGGAATGATGTCCTTGATGTCCAGGATCGCCAAAAGAGGACGCCTTTACACCTGACTGCACTCCATGGTCACTCGAGTATATCAAAGCAACTTCTCAAGTCGGGAGCAAGGACGAATGGCCAAGCAGTCAGCGGGAATACAGCGCTTCACTTTGCAGTCCTTCAGGGTCATCAAAGTATTATGAAGTACCTACTCGAGCGTGACCCGAGTTTGATCTCGGTGGCAGATAGCCAATCTCACACGCCACTATTTTCAGCCGTCTTTCGAGGAAGCTCGTCTGCAATTAAACTTTTACTTGAAAGGAGAGCTGACCTTAGGGCTCTTGACACATATGGCAACTCTGTCTTGCATCACGCTGTGAATATAGAAAAGTCCAGTATCATAAAGTTGCTTCTGGATAGGGGCTCAGACGTCAACCGACAGAATGCCCAGGGCCGCACCCCTCTGCACCTCGCCATTGTTGGAGACCACTCTTCTGCTGTCAAGGCATTGCTTGAGAGGCGTTCTCGGACAGATATCGCAGATAATCTCGGCAGAAGAGCTCTCCACGAGGCAGTCTTGTCAGGGAACAAGGCTTGTACACAACTTCTCTTGAAGCACAGAGTGGCTGTTGATGCTAGGGATAACGATGGTCAGACGGCGTTAGTATATGCTATCCAAGGCCGACACGGGAGCCTCTTGAAACTCTTGCTGGAAGGCGGTACCGATATCAATGCCATGGACAAGTATAGTTTCACCATGATCATGGTTGCTGTTCAAGCGTCCGACGAGAGACTCACCGGCATCCTGTTGGAAAAGAATCCGGATCTTGATCGTCTAAGTCGCGAAGGACACACCGTCGCTTTCTATGCCGTTTTCAGAGGGAAAGCAGTATCATTTCTTTCTGAAGAACAATCGATCGCTTCGCTACTCTTCAGACGATATCAGAAAAGGTATCAGGTTTGGCATCCTGAGTGGAAGGAGTGTCAACAAGAGTTCATGGCCAAACATGGGAAGAAGAAGGACGCAAGCAGCAAGATGAAGAGTAAAGCCAAGCCTTCCAAGGTTAAGAATGCTCCGCTTCCATCGAACACCGATGCTGCTTCAAAGCCTCCCAAGTCTCGGAGGTCCTCTAAGGTTCCGGCCAATATGGTCTCAAAGACACCCAGCAGTGTCCCTAAGCCTGCACCGCAGAACAAAGTGACGGGCAAGCCCCAGAGCCAGGTTCAGAGCCAAAATCGGCCTCAGAAAACGGCAAACACATCTGCTCCTTTAGCCACTAGCATCTCAGCCCCGAAGGCCTCCGCGGGAGTGCAACAAAACCAGATGACAACCCTTAGCACCTCAACGGCACCATCAGTAAAGCCAGGGACACAGCAAGCTCGACCAGTCTCCTCCTTTGCGACTTACCAACCTCCCCAGATCCCCAGCGGGAATGGAAGTGGAAGTGTTTCAGATGTCAAAGCCAAGGAACAGTCTTCAAAGCCTCTTCAGGTCCTTTCCCCTGGTAGTGGTGCTTCTTCTGTTCCGGTGAAAGCGCCCATGGTACAGAGAGGAAGTTGGGATATTTACAGTTCCCTGGCATCGGGATCTCCCGCACCTGCTCAGACAGTGCAGTCACAGAAGGCCTATATTCCATATCCCGGTTCGCCCCAAACAAGCCCAGGAGCAAGTCCGGCTTCAGCCCAGCCCTTCCAGACATTCCAACCATTTTCAACCGGCCAAGCCCAGAAGGCTTCTTCAAGCCCAGCACCAGTGGCTTCGAGTCAGTTCGAGAAGAGGTATTCCGTTCCCTCACTTAACTCTTGGGGGCAGCCTGGAAGTGGTGGTTCTGGTTCTAGCTCCCCAGCTAGTCAGAAAGCACCAGCACAAGCATATCAACCATTTGGAGCCGCGTCCCAGAAGCCAAATATGCCTCAGCAACAGGTTCATGCGCCTTATCAGCAGTCTGAAAATCCAGTGCCTGCAGCGAAACCCCCTATGCCTCAGGTAGTACGCAAACCTGTCGGAGGAAAGCCTGCTCTGCAGCCAGCGGCCGAAAGGCCTACTCAACAATCTTCGTTTCTTCCGTGGCAGCAACCGCAAGCTCCAGCAGGAGCAAAGTCTCCTCCGGTACCACCCCAAGCTCAGGTTGGTACGACACAGTCCTGGCCGAGCAAGCCGCATGCCCCTGCTGGCCCAGCACAGGCTCCTACAAGCAGGCCACAAGCTCCAACAGGTACGACGCAGTCTATGCCAGGGAAGAATCAAGTTCCAAGTGTCCCAGTGCCATCTGCATCAAACAAACCTCGAGCTTCCACTGGGGCTTCACAGCCTGCACCTGGTAAGAGCCAAGTTCATCCTGCGACAGCACAAGCTCCGCCAGGAAAGCCCCAAGCTCAAGGTGTTATGCCTACAAGAAAACCCCAAGTTACTCCTGGGGTGGTACAGCCCCAGATGCCTAAACCTCAAGGACAGGCTCAGGCTCAGGCTCATCCGCCGAGTGAGAAGACAGCTCCTGTACCACCCAAAGCTCAAGCTCCTCCCAGAGCAACGCAACCTCAAGTTGCCAAGCCTCAGGTGCAGCCTCAGGCTCAAACTGGCAAACCAGCACCAGTACCACCCAAGCCTGAAACACCCACTGGAGCAGTACAACCCCAAACAGTCAAACCTCAGGCTCAAAATGGGAAAGCAGAGCCCCAAGCACACCAGATGCAAGGTCCCCTAGGAACCACGCAGACTCCACCAGGAAAGCCTCAGGTTCAGTGTGGTTTACCTTCGCAGAAACCTCAAGCACCTGCTTCAAAAGTTCAAAGTCCACCAGCGAAGCCTCAAGTTCAAGGTGGTACACCTGCACAGAAACAGCCCACAACCCCTAATCCTTCTACCACAACCCCTACAAAGCCATCTACTACCCCTGCTCAACCTCAAAAGGCAACTCTTGATCAAAGAAAGCCCATTCCATCACAAATTGGACCGGACCCCGGAGGCGCCAAGTCTCCTGCGAGCATCCCAGTACAAGGCAGTTCTGGCCAGAAGCCCAATCAGTACATTGACAAGAATTCCACGATATCTCCAGCACCTCATTATCCCGAACCTCTCTACCGTGGACAATACGGCGAACAGACGCAAACCTCAACTTTTACTTCAAACAGAGAGTTCACAAACAGTTACGACCCAAACACACAACAGACGGAAACGGGAAGTATGTCTGGTGGCAAGATGGCTGCAGCTGCCGGCATTGGTGTCTTAGCTGGAGCTGCTGGTGGTTATTTCCTGTCTTCTGAGATTCATGAGAATTACTCTAATCCAAGCATCACCGATGATGGCAGCTACATCCACATGGACGCAGGTATGAGCCAGCAATCTACATATGACTCTGATCGGGAGCTGGTGACACATGTGGAGTTTTCAGATCATTCTGAAGAGTTTTCTGAGTCTGATAACGAAGCCGACTCGATCAACGACAGTGACTCTGATGGCTTAGTATCTGAAGAAGAGTTTGAGCTTTCTGACTCTGAGGTTTCTGCAGGTCAAGCTTCATCTGTCGACGAGATTTCGGATTGGGAAGGGTCAGACAAAGAATCGATTCATGAAGACTCGGACTCTGATGAAATTGACCTGGATAGCCCATACATGTCCGCTGATTTTACAGATAGTGAGACTTCAGAAGCAGAGGATCTGGGTGCTCGCGACTTGGGAGCTGAGTCGGATAGTGATCTCAACACAGACCCAGGCCAAGGCAGTGCCGGAGAAGACTCCGAGTCTGACGAGGAAGAGTCAGTTAACAATGAATCCGAGGATGAAGTCGACGAGTCGGTTCAGTCTAGGGGATTTGAGCAACAGGAATACACCAACCAGCAGTATCAGCAACAAGGGCACTTCAATGAACAATACCAACAACCTATACCTGAAGAGTCTGAGTCTGAGGAAGATTCGCAGCCAAGTTTTCAACCTCAGTATCAGCAACAAGGCTATTTCAATGGTCAGTATCAGCAGCAGGTAGCTCAGCAAAGCGAGTCAGAAGAGAACTAACCACAAGGTTTCCACCAACAGTATCAACAGCAAGGTTACTACAATCAACACAATCAAGTCACTGAGCAAAATGAATCGGAAGAGGATGAATCACAAGGCTTCCAGCCTCAACTCCAACAACAGGGCTACCACGGTGGGCATCAGCAGAATCAAGTGACTGAACAAAGCGAGTCTCAAGAAGAGCCCTATCAACAACAATATCAGCAACAGGGTTACCACAGTGAGCAGAATCAACAGCAATTAACTCAACAATATGATTCCGAAGATGAAGAGCAACAGGGTGCACACGGAGCCGGTAATTACGACAGTGATCAAGGCGTGAATAATGGCTATAACAGCGATGAACAGGGTCAGTAGGCTACCAGTGGGCAATACAGTGGAGGAGGCTGGGGCAACAACTATGATTCTGATTATTAGCAGGACGACAGATTTGCAGTCCTTGTTATTAGGGCTGGAAATGATCAGAGTCGAATAGTTCCATTGAGTTAGATACGAGATTTGGATATGTAAAAGATTGTCTATTCTCATACTAGCCCTCATAACGAACAAGGCCGAATACGGCAGCTGAAACATCCATTAGTGTGAGATACCAACTAGACCAAAAGTGAAGACGCCCTCTCGAGGGTCGTAGCTGGCTATTGCGTGCGTTACAGGCCAGCACCTTCAGCACATAGTGACTCACGCCGAACAGAGGTCACCTAAGTTTAGGATATTATCCTAAATTGGCCACTAAGATTAGGGTACAATGCATAAACTCATCATGAGATACTCAAATAACCATAAAATTATCCTATTTTGTTATAAGCCGTTAGTGTCTTTTGGATTGTTCACCGTTTTCTTGGACGACTCCATAGAACCCCACGGGGCTATGCTTTGAAGAGAAGTGGATCAAGTATCATGCATTCAATAGAAGTAATACCTCACTCGTAGTGAAACAAATTCTCATATTTATCCGCTGAGCGTACAAAACATCTTTTCTCTCTCACTTCTTCTCACTATTCACGAGACCAAAAACTCACAATCTCATCACCAAAATGTCGTCCTCAGATATCCGCGTCGAACCAATCACCAATCCAAACGACTTCACGCAGGCGTTCAAGGCTGTCGCGAATGCATTTGGCCACCAAACCCGCGATGCCATCTGGATGGCCTTTAACCCTGGCTGGGACACTTCCGAGGGTGAAAAGGTCGGTGCTCAACGTCTAGTCGATCGCTTTTCCCACATCACCAAGAACCGCGACGGTCAGCCCAACACCATTTTTGTAAAAGCCACCGTCGACAACACCATCGCTGGCCTCGCGATATGGGAACAGGCCTCTGTTGTACCAGGCTATGGCAATCCTCCCAGTGATCTTGAAGCAGCGGGTTACTTCAAGATGTTGTACCCCGAGAACGAGACGGAGCAGAGGTTTCTTGCTCAGGCGGATAAGTCACTTTTTGGGCGACGAATTGAGATTATCAATGAAAAGGCTACGGCGTCTCCCCCTGCAATTTTTGTAATGGATCTTTGTGCTGTTGATCCCAAGTTTCAGAAGAGGGGACTTGCGTCTAAGATGGTGCAGTATGGTCTTGATGAGGCCAAGAGAAGGAATTTGGAGTGTGTTACTGAGGGATCGACAATGGGAAGGTCGGTGTATTTGAAGTTGGGCTTTAAACAGGAGGGGCCAGAGACTGTCTATAACATGGATTATGAGTTCAAGGATAGGGATTTACCATCGAATGTCGTTCTAAGAACAGGCATTTAAAACATCAAAGCAAATAGAATAGTAAAAAGTTCATATTTTATGGCAATTTGCTAATCGTTACTCATGCCCAATCTCGTCGCCAATTTTGTTTCTCACAGAGTATGAGGCTTCACCTTCAGACCCTCAGGCATCTTCCAGTGATTAACAACACCGCCCCAGCTCTCCTCATTATATCCCTCCTGAACCTTCTGGCATGTCCTCAATCCCCACTGCGTGACACCGACCATTAAACAACTCTCGAACATAAACGCACAACTTCCTGTTCCAACCTTGGCAGGCTTAAGCTCTGCGTTCCTCGCGCCCTCCGTGCTCTCCGCATCAGGACCGTGGCCGCTCATGACGTTGTGAAGACTTGCACCACCGGGGACGAAACCACCTGCGCCGCCCTTCTTAGCATCGTAACCGCCTTGGATTAGACCCATGAATTCACTCATCGTGTTGCGGTGATACCATGGTGGTCGGAATGTATCTTCGCCTACGAGCCAGCGCGGTGGGAAGATTACGAAGTCGGCTACTGCTGTACCAGGGGTGTTTGTTGGTGCTGAGAGAACGGTGAAGATGGATGGGTCAGGATGATCGAAGGAAATCGTGCCGATGGTGTTGAAGCGTCCGAGGTCGTACTTGTAAGGATAGTAATTTCCATGCCAAGCTACCACATCGAAGGGAGTGTGAGCTTGCACTGTCTTGAAGAGGTTGTTGTTGAACTTGACGGAAACAGTATACTTGCTCGAACCCTCAGAAGCAGTTGCTCCAAAGTCTTCAGAGAAGCAAGCAACAGGAGACTGAAAGTCACGAGCGTTGGCAAGACCGTTTGAACCAATTGGACCAAGCTCAGGGAGGTTGAAGTGGCCTTGATAAAGCTCAAGAGCATAACCGCGAGCTGGGCCGGAGGGAAGATGGACTTGATACTTGACGCCTCGAGGGATAACAGCAATTTCCATAGGCCGAACGAGAAGCCATCCAAATTCGGTGCGGATATCAAGAGCGCCCTCCTGTGCGACAATGAGAAGATCACCGTCGGCAGAGTAGAACGCTGATCTCTCATCCATGCTTTTTCCAGCGGCGTAGATATACATACCCAGTCCTTCTTTAAGCGTGGGATCTCCAGCACCAGCCACGAGTCTCAAGCCAGTGACAAAGTCTAGATCCTTGGATTCATTGTGGTCGAAAGGATCCCAACGGAGCTGATTGGGGATATAATGCAGTTTTCCATCCTCAGCACCATCGAGGGTCTTATTAGTTTCGCCTGTTGACCTTGTATCCTCTTCGTAAGGAGGATGCGCGCAGGATGGTAGAACGCGGTATAGCCATGTCTGCTTATTCTCGTGTCGTGGTGCAGTAAAGGCAGTTCCAGAGAGTTTCTCGGCGTAGAGACCATAAGGTGGCTTCTGAGGAGAATTGTGTCCGATGGGCAAAGCACCGTCAACAGCTTCAGATCTAGCAAAACATCAGAAAATATTCACAAACCGTAGAACGGAAATGATACTCACTCTAAATAGCAGTTGAAGCCATTCTGATATCTGTACTTCTCCTTGAGATCAAACGCTGTGACAGGCATCTTGGTATCTTTGGCTGTTTAAGTTTAAGTGTTATTTCCCCTCAGTATATGTGCGAGCACGAAGCTTATAACTGTGTTCCCACGGCTTTGCAAACTCCCTGTCTCGATCAACGGATGACGTTCTGTAGCCGTGTAAGCCGTCAACTGTCAATTCCGCACTGAGTATGGAAAACGGCCCGACGTTAGCCGGGGAAGCATTGCGCCTGTGTTCCGCTGATGAATGTTACCTTACAGAGGGGATTTAACCCGATAACAGCTGATTTTATCGCATATGGTCGGAATAAATCTGTACAGGAATATGGAAGCTGATTAATTATATTAACCAAGATGTAGCTAGGCTTGGAGATTTCCGATCGGAAACTAGCTCAAGGGTTTCCGATTATAGGTAACCGAAGCCATCACCGCGGGGTAACTCATGTGGGCCTCATGGGTGAGGAGCTTAAGCCGGGGAACATGTGGGCAATAGGCTCATCATATCTTCTCAAATTCAACGTCAACTGACAATTAACTTCACAGCGTTCATGAACTTCTAATTGTGTGGGGAATTTATAAATTATATCAAGGAACCACTATACATGGAACCTTAAACGCCGACCTAACCGACCAGCGATAACAAGAACTATAGAGGTGTACACCAAGCGACGCTTCCAGCAGTCGCATACAACATGACCAGGCCGAGAATATCTAGACGCAATATCCCGAGCGCCGACTCGCAACGAAACCAGCGAAACGATCAAGAATTATAGGAACTATTGAGACAGATACTAGGGTGGTATGAAGCAATTATTCGTCTTGCTTCTTGTTCTTCTTCTTCTTGCCACCACCAGAGCCGCCCATTGATGTGCTTGTGGGCTGAGTCTGAAGGTGAACAACAAGTCGGGTCCATGACTCTTCCTTGTCCCACTCGAAACCAGCGAGGTAGGGCTTGTCGAGCTCATCATCGGCCTAGGCATGTCAGATAGTATTCTTGGAGAGTGTCAGGGTTCCAAACATACCCGCTTCTTGTATGCCTTATGTATGGCATCTAATGCATCCTTGATTGTTACACCCTTGAGGTTTCGTGCTGTTACCTCCTTTCCTAGTGGGAAGTGAAGGTCGATTCTCTTGACGGGCGGTTTTGAGAGATGAAGCTTGAGAATGGCAGGGTCTTCTACTGTGTTGGGGCTGGTGTTGATCTTCCTATGAATGGGTCAGTGGCTGTTCTTGATGAATGTGTGTAAGTCAGAATGCGGTGTTAAACATACCATCCAGTCTTCTGGGTTTCGGGCGCGAGCTCGAGTTCAATGCCCTCAGCCTCTATAAAGAAAAGAGTCAGGGAGAGTTCTTAACGGTGCCCTCGTGGCTTATCCGATATCGGAAGGAACCATCGGGGCAGTGATGTCAAGGCTTACCAAGGTCATTGACGTTGTAAACGCCAGGTGCTGCTGCTGAGCTTTGTCGCCGTGTCTTCTTGTCATCCTTGGCAGGAGGTGAGCTTGAGAGGCCCTGCACGGCTGAATCGACCTTGGAGAGAGGTTCCGTCATGTTGAGTTGTTGTTATGTGGTTGATCGAGAAGATCTGGCTCGATAGTTGGTTCTGCTAAAAGATGGTGATGTTAGTGATGATGTTACAGAAAAGAGGTATTGAAGGGAGGAATGATGGTGTATAAGGTTTAAAAGAGATACGCACCTTTTGCGTTAAAAGCAGAAGACTGTAAGTGAGAATGGATTACTGTTGTGCTTTGAAGGTGTGATGAGGAGGGAGGAGATGGAAAGGGCCAGATGGAGGGGAAGGGGTTGTTACTTATTGCATTCACAAACGCACTTGCCATTCGGCGTCGTCCATGTCCGATGTTTGCATTGGGGCATGCGAATCCTCAGTCATCCAAGGCTTCACTCACTCACTTCCATTACTGTACTGTACTTAGCTGTCGTCAGACTGGGCGGGGTAACTGCCCACCTCACACCTCACCCGGAAGGACGAGACCTAGGGGGGTATGAGGATGATTGTGGTACTGAGGAGTCTGTGCCTGCGCCTGCGCCTCGCTCCGTTCCTCAAACCAAGACAATTCAATGCTACTCTAGCCAATGTACAGTTACGAGTACCTACGAATGCATTCAAGTTATTGTGGATTCCATCATTACACACTGTTGCGCCGTGTTGTGTTGTGCTCTGATAAACGCTGTTGGACAATCGCGTGACTTTGGCCTGACGGAAGGCGTGACGCCCCTGGCTCCAAGCTCAGCAGACCAGACCTGGAGCCGCAACGGGTTTAGCGCCGACGTGCTGCAAACCCACTGACGCAGGGAACCCGCTCTACGTACCGGTCTGGTACCCGCTTGGATGCCATCTTGGGTTAGCGCAGGGCACCAGAATCCGGGGAAAGCTTGTCGAGGGACCCACTGCGATCGGTCGTTGTGGGTTGTGGCGCGTGTGCAAATGGGTCCCGGGCGATCGAGTGATTGAGTGGACACAGAGCAATTGACGCTCGCGGAAGGCCGCGGTAGAATCATGAGGTCGATCATTGAATCTTGAGACGGTGAGAGAATTGGGAAACTGCAGGTGAAGTTACAGGAACAGATCTCGAGAGGGGCAGGTGTGACTGATCAGGACAAACCAACAAGATTGGCACTCTGGTGCGATTCAGACATGCCATCCATTCCCTTGTCCCCTTGTCATGACCTATGACGAGGGATCGCCAGTTGCGTTTCTGCCCCTCACAGGCTCGTCCATCCCGTGCCCCCCGGAGACTTCGGCTCGCGGATGCGGTGCGGTGCTTTGGCGCCTGTTGGCCTTAACTTACAACGCACCTGACGATTGATATGTCCAAGGCATGGCTACACTACTGCGGCTGAACATGCATTGAGGGCATCCTAAGGTTGTAGCTAAGGAGTAAGAGGCACCTTTGTTGTAAAGACGACATCGATGGAGACTCTTCTGCAATCAATCAATCAATCATCATCTCCCGTTCCCCTCCTTCAGCAACGCCCGCGTGAACCTTGTGGCATCAAACTGAGGGGAAGTGCAGGTCGATTGGCTAGTCGAGTAACTACTAGCTTGCACCTTGATGCGCCGAGTCAATCGAGACGCCTTTGGTATCAGATGGGTGTCAATCAGTCATGTTTACAGGAATCCTTTCTTGAGATCGGCTTGAGCTAGGGTCTTGTTTATGCTGCCGCTGATATCGTACCAGCGTCATGCTTTCGAGACCAGGTTGGGACTGCCGTGATGGCGCGCGATACGTCCGTCTCCCCATGGGCAGAGGGCGCGTGCCAAGTTCCTTGTGACATGTTCCTTGTACCTGAATTCATGTAAATGTACCTTGCTGTTTTCGTAACGCTGCCGCAAGGAGACGACTCCCACATAAAGAGGGCATCTCTGCATCTCGGCCACCCCTCCATTCCTAGGCTCACTGGTCTATACAACTTCATCTAGCCTCAGTATTGAGGTCCGAACTCTTCATTTTCTCTTCATTATTTTTTCCTCTTGCGTTCTATGCCTCACATTATCATCTTCTTTATCTTTCTCCCCATGTCTTCCCTGGCCATCGTCAACATCCGATAGTGGGGTCGGCAACAGGCGACATCAAGTGGAGACGTTTGGATGGATCCCGTTAATCCCTGGCCCTCTTTCGCTCACTCACTCAGTACCTGGAGTTTTGGCTAGAGCGTTATCAGCTCACTCAAGCGAGCATGCCACCTTTTAAACGAACTCGACCGCCGAGAGGCGAGCGCCGAAACGCAGTCGAAGAACGACGAGTTGAACAGTAAAACTGGATGATTCGCATGTCGTTGAACCGATTGATCACGAGAACTTCTTTTCTGACTCATTTTCCCATCCATCTGGACTCTCTCCCTTCCAAATTTACAGTGAACGCGATACGAAGCGATAACAAGCTCGATGCGCAATGACTTCATTCCCGGGAACGGAACAAGCTCCACGTGATGCGATCCCATGATAATCCACGGAGCTTCAATTCGCACGTACCCGCGGCACGGCCCAACGATAAGCAAGAAATCAATCAGTAAATCAAGCTCAGACCAGGTCGACACCGACTTTCTTTCAGCAACGGCAGATCATTCTACCCATAACCCCAGGAATAGACATGTCCAGCCGCATACGCAACAAGGAATAACTGCAACGCAATCCACCGTGTATTTTGCCAGGATATAGACCAACCCATGGATAATCAACCAGCCGGGAATGGTATGTATCGGTGTCTTTGGACGTGAAACTGACGATATCACGCCTCTCCATTTAGTTCTCGCCTTGAGGCTCATCCATTCGATTTTCTTGTGACTCGGTTCACTTCATCCGCCGTCTTTCATTTAGCATAGTCCGATTAGATTTTAGTCCCTAGCCTCCATCGCCACATTCCGCCAGACTCCGCCTCGAGCGACAGTAACAAGCATCATGATGCGTCCAAGCCATCCGTGAAAATACTCGCAATCGACGTTCGAGCCCGTTCAAGTGAAGACATACTCCATTGAAAAGTTGACGCCAATTCCGATCATCATGTGACGACCACGTATCTGCAATGACGCCTGTTCCGTATACGATTATAAGAGCTATGGAGGATAAACGGGGGAGTTTGCTTTAATGTTACCCTGGAGGAGAAGGGCGAAGTAAAAAGGGTTGGATACATTTGGACGATGAATCAGAAGGTAACCAGCTCGGAAATGTCCCCCCACTGGAAGCATTAGCTGACGAAAAAAAAAATAAGGTTATGACATGGATTACAAGCCGACCGAATATTGTTCCCATCACCATCACGTTTCTAAGCCACTGAAAGTCGCCATGTTCGACAGCAGAGAGTTGGGGCTTACGAGAGGGCAGGATTGACTTGTAAAACCCCTCAATTTCGTTAAACGTCATGTTACTACTTATCATGTATTATCGAGCAACACCATGGATACCGTTGAATAGTGGATTTATGTACTGTTATTTCGAGGCTTGTCGACGGTTATCAGGAACGAATACTACACTCCCACCAATTTGATGGTATCTCCTCAGAACCTAATTATGGGCACACGAGTTGAGACATATTCAACCAAGCCGCTCAAGGCACTTCTTCGTTCTCAACAGAAACAATGCTCCCATGGAGAGGCTGTATTTGGCCTGGCTGACTCATCCGACACGTTTCCAAACCCGATTACGCAATGAAGGAGAAACCCACAAAGGACGCAACCGACATGATGAGATGCAATACGAATCCCGACTTTTTGGTTGGATCGTGGCAATCTGGGCTCAAGGCAACAAACATATGTCTCTGCATTGTTAGATGTTACGAAACATGCTGAAGAGGGCAAGACACCACCGCCTAGAATTCCCACATACTGCCACCAGATGATCCTTCAACTGAAGGTGATGGGACGAGTTTCAACACTAGCACCAGCAAGATCACTTACACCTTGCTGTGAAGGACAAGACTCAAGAAAGCCATCGCCTTTTCGTCGGGAAGGTAGAGCAACATCACCCAGCTCGCTTTTGATGGAGAGTTTATGAGGCCATCTTTGATCGCTTTACTCGGAAGTGCAAAGCCAGTGAGAAGGCATTCACGGAACTCCGCGTGACTCTTCACGCATGTCTTCCGGCCCGGAACCTGGGTATTCAGGCGAGGAACGCCAATAACCAACAAAGATATCTTGGTAATTGTGAGAATGGCGAGATGGTGCAGAAATAGACGGTGGTCAAATCTTGCATTCACAGAGTGAGACCAGTTGTTGACCGCACTTCTCAATAAGACAGAAAGGATACATGGTGTCCTCTCATCCTACCCCCACTCGGATCTCCCAAACATCGAATTGTTGACGGAGTATTGAATGCTTAAATACGGGTATCATTTCATCTACAATAAAATCTCTCATCATACACTCTTTGCGTTTTGGCCCTCCTTACCTCCGCTCTATGTCATCTGAGAATCTTCCCTGATATGACTTATCGGGAACCCGTTTGCAATAGCGGCCCCTTCTAATTGTTTTAACCACGCTGAGCCATCTCCTGCTGGCACAGGTCGATGCGAAAGAATACACTCGACAAAAATTGAATCGTCCATGTACTGCCAATCCGACACTTCAACCGCACTCTCAGAAAGTGAACCCTGAAACGGCGAGGAGCTGAGTGCTCCACAAGTCCATGCCATCTGTTGCAATATTTCGATCATGGTATGTGTCCATGCTGAGACTGTCAACCGTATTGAGCCATCTTCGACTTCGACATGCAGCAGGCGTAGGCCGGGACATAAGAAGGGGTTTTCGGTACCATCCCAAATCGACATGCCGGTGAATGAGTGGCCCTCGCAGCTTGACGTTGAAGCTTCTTTGACGGCGTCTTCGATACATCCCAGGAGGAGTTCGCCGCACTTGGGCCATTGCTTCACTGTATACTCAGATATCGTGGTGTACACGCAGTCATTTGCGGTGCCAGTAATAGCCGGCAAGGAGCCTATCTTGGCGAGTTGAGGGTCTCCAATACCTTGAAGGGGGCCAAAGAGTTGACACTCAAATTTGAACTGGATGGCGTGGAATCCGTCTCCAGGGGGTCGATAGGGGGGTTTCATGAGGATGTGCCACAGAGCTGATTCCATTAGATGCATCTGCACATAGTGGGGTGAGATCAAGACCTCGCGTATCCTTGAGATTAGATGTCTCGCAGACCTTCCTGTCGTGATGTAGGTATGAAGAGATGCAGCGATCTCATTTGGGGTACCCCTAGGTGAGCGGGCCGGGTATTCTCTATCCCAGTAACTGCAGAGGAGTTGGAGAGCAACTGGCAGTTCAATGCCCCGTGCTGACTCGGACCATGTCGCTGGACGTCTTGATATACCCGGGCCGAGCTTATCAAGCAAGCATCGTGGTGCTTCAGGTCCATTAAGGATCAATATAAGTTGACAAACAGGTCCATCGAACAACTTCTTAATCTGCTCAGTCGAGTCCGGATTCGAGTCGCAATAGAAAGCCCACAACTCATCCCACAGCATCAACGTGAACTCAGACAATAATCGATCCAATATCCTATCAATGTTGACGCGAAACTTTTGCTCGGGGAGATAATAGTGTGTGAGGAGTTCGTTATTCAATCCATCAGCAAGGGCAGTAGCGAAAGCTGCAACGAGTGCACCAGCGATGAGTGGCGGGACCAAAACCTCGGCATTATTCGGTGACTGAGCAGTTCTCGGCCGTCGACTTGGCAGCGGTGGCTTAATGATGCTCAAAATAGAAGCATCGACAATATGATCGTGTTCGTGCGTGATGGATAACACGGGGGGATGTGGTGGGGGCATTGTCTTGTTGCAGTCATAGTCATAGTCAAGGAAGTGTTTAACTCAAAATTTACGGTTAAACCGCAAGAGTCTCATGTTGAAGATTCCATGGAAGAGGGAAAATGGATTTGCTGGTATTCTGGGCATGTTATTTTCTGGGCGGAGCTGAAGGAAGTTTTTGATGGTGAGGAGCTACGATGCGTTGCGTGGCATTGCGTGGCCCCATGAGTAATTGGATTAGTCGGCTCTTACGCCGCCACCCAAAGCCAAAGCAAAGATGAAAGGGACTTGTTTGAAGACGGAGAATTTTTTTATTTAAAATTAATCCATTGAGTGATAATCCTCTTACGAATATGAATCCTTCTTTAAAATGGTTGATTATTCCATGACGAAGCTCCCATATCTGTTCGTATTCCGCATAAGTCTTGTCGCTTGGACTCAAAATGAGCATCGAGGCCGCGTAATGGTTCTGTATGGGGCCATCAGATCCCCTTCATCCCCTCAGTGATGGACAATTAATTTGCACAAAAATCGCGCTTTCTTTATCTTTGATTGATTTGAAAAGGAGCGGAGTGACGAGGTCCTAGTAAGAATAAGAATGAATGTGAAGGAGGAAGTTGCTCTGGCTTTTAAACATGGTCGCTTAATGAGGCAGTGCATCAACCTTGCACGTCCACCCTAAAGCCGCCGATGGGACATGGCTTATTCAACACTCAAATGACACCAACACTATAAAGAGTGTAGTGATTTTCTGTTTATTTTAAGCTTGTACATAGGCTTAAGAATTACGATAGACTCAACAGCCATGGTTTAGAGAGCGACCCATTTTTATCCTTGCGGAAAACGCCCGTATTGTCCTCACTTCTTTATCTCGAATTACAATGGCGGCACCTCAAAACTACGGAGTATAGCCTTTGCTTTTCAAAAAGAAACAAGCCAAAGCATTTCCTTCCATAGGGAGATGCGCATATTGCCTCGATTTATTCTTCCGTTCAAGATTCGAAACGCCAGTGTCGTCATTACTTCTGATTCAAAGCAATAACTCTCATGTTTCTATTAGGCTTTTTTTCTGAAATCATGGTGTTGACTGAAGTTTAACTTACGGACTGGATATTTCTACTCTTTGTAAAATTCTGCTTTGTCTGGTGTGCGATGTAACATGGCTTCTTCTTCGTCGTCCATGCGGCGGCATGGCAGCTGAACTCGATAGAAGAGCTTGGCCATAGTGCGAGATTCGGATGAGGTGTGGAGAAGTGGACTGAAAGTCGCACCCATCTCGACGGAGATTTCATACGGCGTTTCGCCTCAAAAGGGGCTTCGTGATCTCCACCAAGCCTTTCCCACATTGAATTGGGTCAGGGCTGCACACTACATGATATGGAACGCGTCTGGCAGACCATCTAGTTGGGAATATGCTGATATATTTGTAGTTAGTCACAATCCTAAAGCAAATTGATAATGTATCGGCAATAACTCACTGCCCTTTACCTATATGTATATATTACCCGATTAATTTACAATATCTCAAGTGTTTATTTCAAGACGTTGATATGGAACTCAGGCCAAAACGATCGGTCTTGAGGAAGCGAAGGTCATTTAACAGGAAATACTGTATATATAGAACAAATAGGCAAGGATGCTACGTCCAGGTTCAATGTTGAGAATGGCGTTGAAGGTCTTGATTGCTGGGTATGATATTGAGGCGGGTGTTGTAGCCTGCGGAAACAAACATCAGTCTCGGTCTTTTCTTTTCTTTTCTTAGAGTAATAATTTACTCAATAATCTACCAGCTTGGACATTGGGAGGGTAGTCCTTTGAATGGACTGTCACTGTAGTATTGCTGGAGAACCTTCCCTAACTGACCTATTGAGATCGGGACCAAACATGATGGCATCATAAAGAATTGTCAGATATAGCTTTCATGGGAGCAGCAGCAGAACCTATAACAACTGGCTATAGAAAGAAAGCTTTATTCATGCATTGGAATGTCTCTAAGCCGTCCGGCTGGGTTGTTGTTCGTTGCGCCTGAGCAGCTTTGCCGAGGGAGGCTCCCAGTGGTTCTCCGCGGCATCAACAAAATCTTAAGCTGCATCCAGCGGCGCCGGATCACAGAAGATGGGAGGACAAGTCTTCATACTGTCGTTTATGGATTGGTGCGCTCTGCATCGATAAGGGTTAGTTGTTACGCCAACTGCAGATTCTTTAAACTTATTACTCACTCAAGAATCTCCTAGGGGGAATGCTTGCCCTTGTCGCAAGCGCTCGTCACCGTAGTGACATCGGAGAGCCCTCCTTTCTCCAGACGTTCTGTCAACTAACACTTGCTGAGTGTCTAATGCCCAAGGCGGCATATATATAAAATTAATTGGCAAAATCGCTCTACTCGCCATCAATTGAATCTGTATAGTCTAGAGGAATATATAGGATATTAGACAGTCGAACGGCTGTAGCTAGTTGTAGGTTGTGAAGGCAACACCTTCTTAATTATGACCAGATAACGTATCTGACGGTGATACGGTCTTCTGGTTTGATGAGAAGATCCCCAGTAACATTCGTACTGAGGATAGGCCCTGATTCAATGATTTTGTTAGCACCCTTCTATAAAGTATTGAAAGGCATTCTTCAAGGTCTTACCACCAATGGGGTCATCCAGGTTGCTAGATGCAACCCGATGCACCAAGATCTGGGCTGGTGTCTGGTTAGCCAAACATAACCAGCGTTGTTGCTGGTTGTGCCTGACCAGCCTCCCAGAAGCCGGTGCTCCTGAAGAGGGCACGACGTCCCGAGCCTCACTGAAGGTCTCTGGGTGGCAGAAGACGATCGGATAGTTATCCATCCTCTCATTGGGAGGATGGAACACACTGTAACGAGACATATTAGTTCTTAATCTGATATATATCAGGTATCATGACTTTTCTCGACAATCTGCCACTTTGTGTGTTGCGAACGCATGCATTGATATGCGTCGTTCCCGTAGTGGAACTGGAGACGTCTCTCTGCTAGAGAAAAGTCGAGATCTGTTACAACATTAGAGGCCTACTTCCACCAGGTAATATTCCTGGCTTACCGAGTCGCGCAAGAGATGATGGGATGTCTTGCTTAACAGTGACGGAGATGGGCCCAACCTGGCAGATGTCCAGGAACTGAGATGTGGGGTTTGGGTTTCCATAAAGGATCTATCTAGGGTCAGTATGGTATTACCGGCGACAAGAAATGGCATTTGGTTCTTACTGTAATTTCGAGAGTCTCTGGCGTCTTGGGCAGTTGAAGGTCGCGTCGAAGGGCATCGGCGATAAAGCGTGAGTGGTCGAGAACCCGGAGCGCATTGTTCAGGGGCTCCGTAGTTCGTCGACGGGCTTTGAATGATTTCATCCCTCTTAGATTCCAAAATTCACTTGAGTCCTGGAATAGTTCCGGGGGGAAGCTTGGGGCATCAGCGAATTGAATGACTTTAGTCTTGATGCTGGGGACATCACTCCCGGGATCAGCCACGAATGCGACGTGGCCTAGGATAAGATCGGTCTCAGTATTCATGTTTCTGCTTTCTCTAAAACGAAATAGATAAAGTTTTAAATGTAGTGTGTGAAGATCGAAATTATGCATGCTCGTGAGGTTGTGGGAGTTTTATTGCCTCCTGTCAGGCTAGTGGCCTGCCAGCCGTCTGCCACTGCCATTGTTTAGAATGAGGCTCTATTCTATTGATACATATTCATCTGTGCTTTAGCAGTGCTACAAGCCCTGAAATCATTGTTCGTGTTATTATTGTTTCAGGTTTGAGGAACAATAACCGTGAAGTCGCGAATGGCTGCATAATGATCGTTGAGCTGTAATCTGATGCTGTGCAGTTGGAATCAGAAATGTCATTGAATTCAGGTATTAACACCACTTTTTCTTCTAGATCTAAAGTGAACTATTGTTAAACTCCTCCTCCTCGGCGTATTATGTGCCTCTTAATGATCGCTCTTGCTCCGGACGTGTTCCAGGCTTGGTTGCTCGACTAGATTTTGGATTGTTGCACACCTCTCTGAAAATATATTTAAAGTTGACTGGTATCACTTCGTGGTTCTTGTGGACAGTTGGAAAACAGGGCCGTTGTCCACTTGTGTTTCATCTCTCCCGTATAGTTATTGCCATTGACCGCTGATCTCTTTGGGCTCTTGTATCAAACCCTTTATGGTCTATATGAAGAGTTTCACCGCCGAGTAATTGCAGACTGACACGGACCGAGTCCGCTATCAACTGGACGTGGTCGGCGACTATCGCCCCATTTGTAAATGGCCTCGTTGCTGAGGAATGTTGAATCCTCACCACCGCGATAGCTGCCGCCGTCCAGGAAGTCGTTGTGTTGAACAACTGGCCTTCATCTCTGCCGTTCAAGACCCGAATTGATTTCGCGACGACTCCCGGGTCATCATTCCCGAGGTCCGTCGCGAACATGATATTGGTGAAAATTAAATCGTTGTTGGTGCTCCTCTTGGCCGAACGAGATGACAGAATGTTGATAAGGAAAGAATTTGAGATGAGTCTACGATATGGCGATATCGGGATAGGCTATTGTCTCGATTGTGTCTGCCACTGCCGAAGTCAATCTCATTTACACCCACTGCCACTGTAGTAATCGCAAACCAAATCAATTGCCATAGACATTCGATTCTCACTTGTGATTTGCTCCCAGACATCCTGAGCAGCTGCTTGCATGCAAGGGCTTGCACAGGTCCTGGTTATAAAAACCACTTGTTCTGGTACTTGTGCGTGTATAAGAAGTTGTCAAAGGCGTGGGCCACATGGTGGGATCAACAATGGCATCCGTGTTGATTTGGGCGCAAAAGACAATTTGCATTCAGTAGGTACTTCTGTCTGTAATCGAGGAATGGTACCTATGCCACAACTCTTTGTTTCTTCCTCAAGGCGAAGAATCCCTTGGGTGATTGCCGACTTTACCAACAATCTCTGGTGGTAGAGAGATCAGAGTGGTATATTGAAGATATTATAAGTATTCTTGATTAGGTTCATCCCAGTCACCCAGAAGGCTTATAGTCACCGGTGAATTTCCATCGGCATCAAAATTGGCGGGTACGGCTGGCCGAGTGTCCGGGGTGCTTGATTTTCCATCTATTGTCTTCTTAACCGCAGTCCTAGTTTTAGACTCCCGACTAGAGTTTCTTTAACACCGGGTTGTTGTTTGGAAAAGTCCTTTTCCGTTTAGATAAAGGCGCCTATGATTACCCTGGCGGGTGTTTTGTTGAGGGCTATTGTGCGTCGAATTCGGAATGAGAGTTCGGATATATAGTAATATTGCTCATGAGGGTCATCATCACTTGATGGTTTTTCCTTTCTGGTTCGCTTTTTCAGAACCTCAAAACTCGCAAGGATTTTTCAAAAGAACTATGACTGTATTCTGATGAAGAGGATTCGACTGGCCTTACTGTGACATTTCTATACAAGGGCCGCCCCCTTCGTGGTTTCTTACTATGCGTCGTCCCTCGCAGGATATTCGAAGGGCTGGTATGTGTCTTCCGTGCGACAAACAAGACGCTTCCCATTACAGTGGTCTTCAGATATTTTAGTCTCTGGGCAACTGAGTGTCTCTTTGGCTATAATTTTGCTTGAAATCTGAGGAAGTGATGGCAGGTTGTTTAGTAGTGTAGTGGCAAATTGCATGCCCTTTGAATGAGTTGATTGGGGAAAGAGATATGCAGTACTCTTCTCTTCTCTCCTCGAGGAACCGCTACTGCTTATATATAAGGTACAGTGATTGGACGGCTCCTTGATGAGACTTGCCAGTACATAGTGGCATTCTCTGGTTTATTGATAGGCTTGAACTGATTGAGTTCAGAATTAATATTAAGAGCATCGCTCAACAAAGTGAAACTTGAATGGATTAAGGGAACTATACACATTTCGTGTTTTGTAAATATATGTGAGACTTTTCGATACTCGTCTGCAACCAGGATTTATCCGTTCAAAAATGGGTTGTCCGCCTGGGGGATTCTCGGAGCGGCGGCCTTTCAAGAGAACATCCGGTCTATGGGGCCTGAACGCCCCTATCTTGCTTCTTAATTATGGTTAAAAGTATTGAGAAATGTCGGGGTGGTCTTGTGAGTGAAAGAGTGACAGTTGGTCAAGATGCGTTTGCTATGCCTCAATACTCAGGAGTGTTGTTGGTCAACTTCTCTTAATGACGGTCAGATCAATGCGCAAAGATAACAGCTGATTTACTTATTGTATGAGGGCTATTGTAATTGTCCGCCAGTGATCAACAATATGTGAGTTGTTGGTTTGTCATATGGGGCCACTGCTATTGACACTGCAGTGCCACTGTGGTTCACCTCATGATCATAGTATCCTTTTCCATCTCCAAGGTACTTAATTTTGCTTACCCTCCAGCATTTTCCATTCATGCACATGTGCCTAAATTGCAACCGTCGGTCAGTTTTCTTCACTTTTCATCAATTTCCACCCTCGTCAGGTACTAACCTCAGTCAGGACTCGTGATACAAGCAAGCTTTGGCAGTCGCCAGGAACATCAAGATGGCAGAGGCTATTATCGCCCATCAAATTACAGAAATGATCGCCGAACTCGGCAGCCTTCGAAAAAGCGACGCGGCACAAAAGACCGAGATCGAAAATCTCCGAGCCCAGAACGACTTCCACGCCAACGAGGCTCAGATGCTCCGAGACCTTCGCCTTCTCTACGAAGCCAAGCTCGAACAGAAAGACTCTAAAATTTTGGGTCTGCATGTCCTCCTCGACAAGGTGAAGGTCGAGGCGGGTATTTATAGGGACGATCTGAGCGAGCTGCGTAAGCAGCTCAAAGACCTACAAGCAAAACATGAGTCAACCCAGAAACAAATTTGCGCTACTGAGGCAAAGCTTTCCCGTCGCAATTTCCAAGTTGCTAAGCTGGTTTCCGCCCTGGGTCGCAAAGTTGCTGCCAATCGTATTTCCCTCGTTGCTCTTCGCGCTGCGTACAAGATTATTCCAAGCTTGGAGCACCAAGTTCAGTATGAGAAGGTCCTTTCTATGGCGAAGAAGCTTCCGCACAAGACTGGAATTGAGAGGGAGATGAAGGAGTGTCTGAGGGAGGCTGGGTTCTCGATATCGTTTGATAAGAAGGGTTTCATAGTGTTGAGCCAGTCTGTGGATGTTGCCAAAGTACCTGTTGACGGTTCTAAAGAGCTTGATGAAAGCATCATCATCGTCGACAAAGATGCTGACAAGATTGACGACAAAGTTTCCGAACAGGATGCTCAACAGAGTGTCAAGAAGGATGAAGACGTCCAGATGTCTGTTTAGACGTCAGCAAACTATGCCACATTCATTATTCTGTGCTTGCTACGACTGGTCTGGGAGTACTTGGACGTCAGCACAAACCAGCTTTTGTCCACATATGCTCAATCATTTGAGTTGAGGAATTGGAGTTTTCGCCACGAATGAGTCAAGCTTGTTCGTTTGGAACATGATTGGGGTTGAGTGCCTGTACCAAGTTGCTACACAAAACATTGAGTCCTGATTGGTGTCGCTTGCTAGCTTATTGCTTAACTACACTCTCAATAAACTAAGGTAGTTGCCCAAGCATTAGCAAGGTGAGAGTGACTGTGTCATGCTTGGACAAACTTGAGTTCCTCATGATATATACTTTTTTACTTAGCCATTGCTGAAATACGTTTCCATAATGGATCTGTTATATGATGCCCTACATAAACACCCCTGTCGATGACTTGCATCCGGTCATATAATAACTTCGAGGAACCCCTGCTCTGAGACTCGCGCTCCTTAAACTTACATAAACATCCGGTCCTCAGTCCTCAAGCCTCAAATTTCACGACTAGTTCCCTGCTTTATTTTCCCAAAATGGTAGAGGTTGGCAGCATACTCTCGGTAGTAATCGTTCGCTCTGGTTCCATCATAAGTCTAAAAACATTAAACTGGTTCCTTAGCTAAACGTTGAGTTTGGGGCATGTTGGGAACAGTATATTTTTCATCAAAACTCCAAACACCATACTGTTCGGATACGCAACTGACATCCATCCCTGTAAGCCCTGTATACTTGAATCAACTCCATGCAACTTCCCGTTGCCAAGTGAAAACAAGCACAATATATAACAATATCCAATATCCTCAAAAGCAGGCAGCCGTTTTCATCTCGAAATTCCCCCCCAGTTAACAAGCTTACAGGTGTGAAATGTTCCTAGTGTTGAGTTGTCTCTGACCTCATTGCTTTTCCTGTTGCTATCCGACGCCATCTCCATTTACCCCAGCAACCCTGGAGTTTCAGTCTCAGACTGCAAGCAACTGAAATCAGCAGATTCTCCCACCAGGGCCGTGAGTTCTTCCAGAACAATGTTGTTTTATTTCAGTTTCTTCCTCAAGCCTGTTGGTAAAAAACCTCTATGCTTTTTAATAAAGCACTGCTTGGCACTGAGAGAGGATAGGAACGCAAATATCATTCTCCTTCATTTCGGGTGCATGCAGGTGTTTATATCGGCATCATGCATAAGTCTTCTGAATTTGAGCTGGAATCTGCGTCTGCATGAATATTCCAAGTAAATCATCTGTACTTGACCGACAACTCTGCTGCGAGTGGTAAATGCAGGGACGCCACTGTTTAGTCAATCTCGAAGCAAACAAACTGCTCCCCCATTCATACTCACCTGACATCTCGTTCTCTTTAATTCCTTGGGCCGAACTTCCAATCTTCGTTAATGGGATACTGGCTCAAACTTATCAACATCTTTTTTTAGACCAACATGGCCGAGCCTTCATATCCCACGCTTCAGCTTGCGCGGTTCGAGAATCTCCCGCCAGAACTGATAAACATAATTATCGAACAACTTCCTCCACATTCTCTTGCTTCTATTCGTCTCTGCTGGCGTCATCTTGATGGAGTAATCCTGTCTCGCCTGTTCAGAACCATCTACGTTACATTTGCTAAAAGGGATATTGAGAGACTGCAGGCGGTTTCATCGACATATCCTTATTACGTACAAGAACTTGTCTTTACCACTGCTCAAAGTCGTGACACGCACGGCGATAGATGGGGACGAGTCTTTACAGACGATAATTATCAGGAGTACGCCAAAGATTACCGACGCAAGTTCCTGGCTTGTGTCGATTCTCCGCCCAACCTGCACACTTTTACGTCTGAGCTGGGTCCTATCAGTGACACTGCCACAAAAGAGCATATTGACGGGCTCGTATGTGCCATATTCCCTGCTCTATGCCGGTCTTCGTCTCGAATTACAACTCTCAGATGTCAAGACCCTCTGAACTACATGCGTTGGTTCTTGTCCAAGATCAAGGCGACCATGGGACCCCCTGAAGAGATGATCAAGTTGATTCCGAAAATATGCACCGGGAATGTTTTTACCTGCAGACACAGCAGCCCGCAACTCTCAAGGCTGAGCTCGTGTACTGCTCCGCTGTTTGGCAGAGAGACCGAATGGATATACCCCAAGATCCCCTGGGAGTGGAGGAGTGCCTTGCGAGGACTCACGACATTTGATCTGCAGACTGATACCGCTGGCGGTAAATGGAATTGCTATGAACAAGTCGGTGATAGACTTGTTTATTTTCTCGAGGGAGCAGTCAACCTTCAAGAGTTGTCAGTCAGATGGAGACGAACTGATCAGATGGGATCTGCCGGTCGCCCTCTTATTCACTCTGGTTGGCAGTTGGAGCACCTCTTTCACGGAAGATGGAAGAATCTCAAAACCCTCAATCTCACCTTTATCCAATTCACATTTTCCGCCAAACCTTTCAGGACCTTCATCCAACGGCATTCAGCAACTCTACGACACATAATGCTTCACAACTGCCGCAGCGACCCGGAAGTTGCTCGCATCATCAAGTTTGCTGCCTCGTGCCCTAATGTTCATCTTCATCGGTTCGCCATCTTTCCGGCGCATGAGAGCCACCCGAGAGTTGAGCTTCTGGATGAGTCATATCCAGATGGGGAACAAGTAGTCGTCGAGGAACCTCGAATTGTTCCAGAGAGAGCGGTACTGAGCTACATCAATAGCAAGGATCCCCAGCATCTCGATCCGTTTGCCACTTGGAAACCCTCTGAGTTTGAGTATTGGGGAACTGTCGAGGAGAAGGCTGAATCGACTTCAATAAAATGGCCTCAGGACAATGGGATGGCCGTGAAGTGCAAGCAGTGCGATCACTAGCCTGGAGAACAACTTGTTGTGACGGAACGCATTGTAGCCTTCATCTTGAGAGATCCCTTGGGGTCCCTCGGAGTCGTCAATTACATGGAGCTGGTAAACAAAAGAGTTTATTAATGAGCTGAACTGCTGTTCATTGTTTCAGGATAGAAAAGCGGCACATTTTGATTCGAATAGCATACTACGCTATTATCATAACTCTAACCGCATCCAACGCCAATTCCTAATCGTGATTTCATGGCCGTTTAGCCTTGCATTTATATAAGTTGATAGAAACGGAGTAACCCGTGAGCATCGCTTCGGGCCATTACTGGCCCTGTGCAACTCCAGCACTAGCAGCACTCTCTCCAACCTTGAGCTCCTCCTCGGGTACACCAACACCGACACTGGCTACACTAGCAATACTCTGTGTCGTCATGCCTCGTTCCCGCTCACCGCCTGGTCTAATGGGTAATCCCTCTCGAGGACCTGCTATGCTTGCTCCTCCAGCAGGAGTAACGCTCACGCTGGCACTGGTGCTTGCGCTTCCACTTCTGGGTCGGCTTGCATCACTGGCTCTTCGCTGGCGGACCTGTCTCTCTAATTCTCTAATCTTTCGCTTAAGAGCGTCATTCTCTTTCTTGGCAGTCTCGAGTTCGTTTCTATAATATGCTGTCTCCTCGTAACGCATGGTTGTAGGCATCAACCCGGGACTTAATTGCTCGCTCATACTTCCAGGGGTTGCACCAACTGAACTCGGTGGAATCGACGTAGGTGGGGGGATTCTCTGGTGCTGGAAATAGTTGGACGGATCTAGGCTGCTGTGTTGCGGTCCGGGAGAATTTGTTAGGCTCCTTCGAGAGGCGGTACTATCCTGCCGTGAGAGAGGAGTAGCCTGGGAGGGACGAGGGACATGGATTCGTGCTTCGTAGGACGATGACAACTGTTGGTTTCCAAAGCTCTGAGACGTGGTCGAGGATGTTCGATGATGTCGGGCTGTGGGGATTGAGAAACCCGAGCCTGAAAGGAGAGACTGTTCGGGTACATCGTGAGTTGAGTTGGCGGCAGAGGTAGAAGATGTGTTGGAAACGACGGAAGCGTTCTGAGCAGCTCGAAGGAGAGAAAGCTCACGGGTCAAACGGTTGACCTAAAGATATTAGATATGGGTGCCAAATCACGGTCTACATCTTGTACTCACCACAGCCTCTTGCTCCTTTTCAAGCTGCAGATGAAGCTCGGCGGCGGTCAAGGGACGAGGATGTCTTATCGGTCCAGGTCCAGGTCCAACACCAGGCTCAGCTAGAACATTTGATGGAGTCTGAGAAGGCGGTTGGGAAGCATTCAACACAGGCGATGGGAGAGAAGGCGAATGCGACGGGTTCACCGTATTCTGGTTGGAAGGGAGGATGTTAAGAGATGGCGAAGTTGGGGCTGGCGGAGTAGCCATCTGGGTCGAAGACTGGCGACGAGAGGCCGCTAGAGTATGAGGAGAGGGAGGGACTGAGTTTAAATCCGGCATGCCGGTCATGAGATTCGTATTTGGTATGGAAAGTTAGTCGTTTTCTGAGCTTTGTATAAAAGTAAAAGTGACGCGTAGTTGGAAGTTGAGGTGAGCTTTGGCGCGTTGTTCATGACCGCCGTCACCAGAGGGGTGAGCGGGGTCCAGCGGGCCGGTCACTAGCATGGGCCCCATTTGCACCGGTGAAGTGGACGCTAAAACACTGGATGCTCCCTAGGGGAGTCCCTGAAAGATTCCGACTGGTGGGGTCTTGAAAACTGCGGTACGTATAGAGGATGTTTGATAATATGCATGTTGCCTACCCTGGAGAAGATAATAACACTTTCGTTTCAGACTCCATCGCATCCTGTAAAACTCATGGTGGCAGTGAGCTGGGTTGCTAGAACACTTTGATAGATTTAATAAGTCCCATAATGCCTTTAGTGACCAGTTGGGCAGGTAGTGTTTTTGGTTCGCCCATTTATTAAGGCTTGTGACATTGACAAGCTTCAAGCTGCATTTAACGAACCTCTGTGAGCCTACTGATGACGAGTTAGAAGACGCAATGAATAGAACAATTCAAGCTTTTCCGACCTCGGGAGGGATTACAAACCGCTCAATGATTCTTATCAATGTTTGTCACCATTAATCAAACTCACAGTAAGCATGATAAACTCCAGAAACTTCCAATACAAGCAAGTGGGGGAGCTTCAAGTCACAAACAAGCTCTGACAGCTTCACACCTACTGAGAACAACTTATCAGCAGCTTCTCACTGTTCCTGAATTAAAACCACAAAAGGCCCGTATCTCGACCCTCTTTTTGTAAATCATTGGCTCGCGTCGTTAGTCCATTAAAAAAACATCATCTCGATCTCCCTCCTGCCTGCCCATGATGTAATCCCCCTATGACGGCATAGAATCCCACCTTCGACGTCAACTTGCAATCATTGTTTTCCACTTCTCGTACTTAACCTCTCACTCTTCCTCATCTGAGACCATTCCAAATTCAAACAAACTTCTCAATAGTAATTCAATCTCGAAACTTTTCACACTCTCAAAATTCACAGCAATCATGCCTGAGGGACGTCAATCACCAGCTCCTGAGGATCAGAGCGGTCGCCAGCAGCAGGATCCTCCTGCCTCTGGTCACGGTATCAACAAGACCGATGGCAAGGACCCCAAGGGCCAGCTTGAGGTAAGGACCCCGCCAGATTCAGTACCTGATCGTGATACTAACTATATGTAGAACCTCTCATCGAACCCTAAGGGTCTCACCGACGATGTTGTAGAGGAGAAGTTCTCCAAGACCGAGAAGAAATAGTCAGTAATTCGAAAGAATGACCTCGATCGAACAATTGCTAACATGAGTAGAACAAACGAACCCACGATGATTATGACTTGATGGATTGGTGCATGGATAGAATTAATAAATCATGACCTGAAATAGTTCAGTTGAGTAAGACCTATCGATATCTCGGCCAGATGGAACTGGGCAACACAGCAAAAATAGCACCTTAATAATGACTGAAGCAGTCTTGCTTCATTTGCAAACTCGTTCTCAACTCAAGCATAATGTGTATGTGAATGCAAATTGTCTATAATTTACGTGTAAATAAATTTCCGGCGTTGATGGCCGTTTAATAAACCAAGAGGTCACTTTTCACATATCATGATTCCCAAGCTGTAGCCCTTCCTCCTACATGCAAGATTACTATTCACGATTAAAAGTAGTAAAGGCAAATTTCATCTGGAATTTATTGATTGCGCCATGCGTAAAAGTCGTAACAATTCGTTAACTAACAGACTGGAACAAGCCGTCATATGACTATCTCATCAGACCTCAAGAAATACCCCATTTCTTCCTCATTACTTCATATTTCCCCAATTTTTATAGCTTAGTGCTTCTCACCACCCTCAGGAGCGCTCACATTGGGAACGTTGTCGGCCGAGGCAGCAGGAACTGATGTTCCGAGGCTGCCTTGACCGGCCTCAGGAGCGGCAGTACCAGAAGTCTTCTCCTTGCCGAAGACCTTCTCGAGACCAGCAGCCTTGTAGGCGCTTCCACCATGCTCCTCCTTCTTGAGATCAGCAAGGCGACGAGCCTCAGCGTGAACCTCCTGGACTTGTCGGCTGCCCTGAGTGTAGAACTCAGCGATCTTCTTGCCGGTGGGTGTGTTGGAGGCCTTCTCAAAGTAAGAGCTGAGGCCGAGCCAGAGGCTGTTGGCGCGCTGGGTGATACCATAGCTCTCATCGGTGGCCTTGGCTCGGTCGGTAGCGTGGTACTTCTGGTCGAGACCCTGGAGGGTAGAGAAGAAGCGGTTGGAAACATTGTGAGCGGCATCGAGGTCGAGAGCACGCTGGATGGCGGCATCGCCTATGACATAACCGTGGGCGAGATACTCAGCCAGAATACGGGCGCGGGGCTTCTCCTCTTGGGTGATCTCATCGGAGTCTCGGTCAGCGTTCTTAGTGGCAGAGTGGACATCGTCTTCGCCGTCAGCGCCGGCGCTGGTGACCTCAAGATGGTTGGGACCGAGCTGGGTGTTGTTGAGGAGAAGAGCAGTCTTCTTGGCAGTCTCCTTCTCGAAGATGACTTCGGCAGTCTTGGTCTCGCCCTCTTGGGTGACCTTGAGATCAGCGATCTTTCCACTGAAGGATGTTAGCTGTGAATCACGGAATTTGAAAGTGAGAAGAATTTACCAGAAGCTGAAGAAGTCCTTGATCTCGCTGTCGCTAGTGGAGGAAGCGATGTTCTTGACGTGGATAGTAGAGTTGGCAGACATGATGAATGTGTTGTTGTGTTTGTGTGTTTTGGTATGGTTTATGAGGGGTATCAAGATTGTAGTGTTGAGGTTTGGAGGTAGCAAAGAGCAGGCAAGTGTTTTTAAAGAGTCAAGGCAAATAAAAAGCAGGAATGACGACACCGTGATAGATCGTGACGAGGCAACGAGGCAGTGGCAGTGTGAGGAGGAGCTTGTGTGGAGGCGACTCCCTCATTCCCTTGAGCTTAGACGCTTAACTCACTGCGGGGCAGAGAGCGACGTCATCGATGGGTGCCATGTGTGATGGCATGATATGCTTGATGAAAGCTACATGACCCCACACCCATGGTTGGTGGCGCAACAAGTACCTTCTAGCAGCGTCATGAATTGTTGAGATTGATCTCTTGGAGAACAAACTAGAAGCTGTCACTCATGGTTGCCCTTGCGTCGTTCTTGTGGCGAGGTGATGAGACAATCTCGGACCAAATCAAGTTGCAGAAGAATGATTTTTTCTTTCACATGTGAAGGACCCTTTTTCTTTTTTGATCGTCTTTGCATATGATCATCGAGGCTTATCCGTTATCCTCTCAACATTATGCTCATAAGCCATACAAACAACACCACGAGATTTACTGTCTACGCGTCTTGATACGCGTAATGGAAATATTGATATTACTGCCTTCATTTTGAGGCGTTTACCTCTGTTCCTGCTTTTGGTACTGTAACTGTGTCATTCGGAGACGCTTTATGTGTTGGGTTTAGCATTATTATTATGGGCGCTAATACTCTCTCTGTACAGTAGTTCCCGTTTGGTGGGTTAGGTACCGTGAGTTTCTAATTTAATAACCACTTGGCGTATCAAAATGCTCAAGACAACGAACGTGTGATCAGTTATGAACATACATGTTTATCGACTCATCATACTCAATTAAAGTCAACTTACACCATTGAATTCAATTGCCATTGCCAAATCATCTGCTCTTCAACACCGCCTTTGCTAAATTTTAACGCCAGCTCATCCGTCTCCATTGCATCGCATCGACCCCTGTCCATCAAGCGCTGATGGATTTTTCCAATGCGACTTCAATTTCCGTCCTCATCAATTTGCAACAATCCTCGTTCATTAACCTCGAACTAATGGTTCGTTCACAGGAGAAAGGCTCATGCTATTATCATGCCATGATATCTATTCCACTATGGCCAGCATTGTCTGGCATCAGATATATCAACAACCTCATTATCACGCGACAACACTTGTCGTGATGCCTCGCCACTCTCTTTTAAACGCTTCCTCATATGGCAAAGTTGCTCCTTCAACCCACTCTCCCGCTTCGTTAGACAAGCGTTGGGGGTCACACGCCAACTTGGCGATCTTCTCCATTGACAAGGGTCTTCATCATCCTTGCTCAGACGAAAAACAGACTCGCTCCCATCTTCTCAAGCGAGTTGGACAAAGGGGAGAGACTAGAGTCTCAAAGCAATAGAGGACACTTGACGTTCCCGTGGCGCTCACTAAACAGCCAAGGTTGCAGTCATCGTTGCAGTCATATTCGTATATCTCACTGCATTAAAGTATTGATTACGGGCTTTCCATGGGCGCCCCTCTCGTATTTAAACGGATTCCTTCACGGGCTTCCAGGCGGTCAAAGCGGTTCTCGCCTCCCCCAGACCGCATTGATTGAATTTTGCAACCCTAGCCCAGTCACTATCAACTTCTAACCTTGAAAGGAGCACACTATAGGCAATTGTTTCGCGCCAAGGAAACAAACTAAAAAGAACCCAGATTCCCAGTTTTGTTGGCCTCCCCTCTGTTGGTGATTTCACCGCTCTCGTGCTCACCTTTTCACTCTTTCAAATATCGACAGTTTTCGCTCAGAGGAGGAGAGTAGTATATCAGTATCGTTTAAAAGTTTTTTTTGTTTTCGCAGGTTGGGAAAATTCAAGGTAATTGACTTACTTGCAGTCTCTTTGACACCTCAGCGCTAACAAAGAGAACAGAAACCTGCTATGCCTCTCGTTCCCAGCTCCGCACCGCTGCCCAGCAGCATGACCACCATTGCTTATTTGCGTGAGCAAGAAATCCTCAACATTGTTTACATCGGCCTCCTCGTCATTGAAGTTCTTATGGTTTTGGGCGTCATCACTATGGCCCTTGTTAAGCGAGTCAAAGTCAACCACCAACTCAAAACGATACGTTCAGCAACCGCTTCCGCAAAATATGCTCCCTACCACTTTGCGCATGCCGATACGGAAAAGACGATGTTATGACGATCCGAAAGATGACGAGAAAAGAGATACGAAGAAGAACGATAACCCCAAATTGGCGCTTGACCACTACCACGCACGATTACCACCATCATTGCATTTATTCCTTTGTTCACCAACATCAACACAACGCCTGCGCATTTTGTTACTAGCAGGACAAAGAGGAGAGGAGGCTGTTCATTATCTCGCATGGTTTCAAGGAGTAATGTGTTTGTTCACTTGCAGCGGAAGATATGATTTACGACTATATATACCCAGATTTTCTAGTTAATGCCATTTACTTTTCACGTTGTCACTTTATTACCAAAACTGGAATATTGTAAAGCTGATACTAAAGTCACTTTTCGAACTCGAATTCTCCTTACCGTAGTGTTATACTCATGGATCACGAAGCAACCGTCATCATGGACTCCCCTAACATTTTTGGGGACCAGCCTAAACGCCAGTGTCCTCACTGCAAGTTTTATCCCAAACATGGCGAGAATAAGGTATGCGAAGCCTGTGAATCCCAGATGGGCAAGGACGAAATCGAAGTCTTTCTTGGAGGCGTAGAACGGGACTGGTGTGTATACCACCTAAATCGAAGAGGATTTCTACCTGGTCGCGCCGCTCTCGAGGATACCATGCGCGCTCGATTAATTCAGGAGCAACGCTGTGTACGCTTTTGTTGCGCCGAAACAAAATTACCCATCTACGTGCATTGCGAAGACTGCCGCGAAATGCTACTCTGCAAGGGTGTCCCGATCGAGGTTGCGAACAGGAAGATTTACGAGCTTACATATTATGATGCTTTTCCGGACTATGATGACGACTCTTTCGCAGTAAGAGTTGCTAGAGGTGAGGCGAGCATATACGAAGAGGATTGGAGCTGGGATTGTTCGTTGGCAAAGTTTGTGCATCCTGATCGCAAGAGTTTCAAGGGGAACACAAGCCCTGAAGAGATGGTCTAATATATGGTTAGATACAAGCTTTGAAACAACTGTGGCTCCTTTCTAGCTGTTTTACAGGCAGGCCCCGTGGATGTGCGAGGTCCAAGTGAGTCGTGGAGTTTCGACGTGAAGATTCGATCATCCGTCTCAGGATGCATAAACCTATCTGCCAGTGTATCGTATCGACATTTCATGCACTTCTAGAAGGAGCTATGGCGAAGGCACTGTACTAAAAAGAGGTCGCTGCTCTTTCATGAACCCTTGTTGTCGTTTGACTTACTATAGACACACTCATCAAGCTGCTATCCTCGCCTCTCATTGAAACCATAAATAGATACCTGAGGTAGCTTTCAGTTACATCTCCCGCTTTTTGATGTATTCTTTGAGTGTCGATGCGAGATATGATGTGACCATCACCAAGGCACTATTTGTCAACTCCAAGCTCCTATCTTTGTCTTGCTGACCACCGTCAGCTCTAAGTGGGTATAGGTCTCTTGAAATAAATTCGACAAAATAACTAAAACGGAGCGAATCGAGGTTCAGCATTACTGCGTAACTGAGGCAGAACCTTGAATGGCCTTATCAGCAATGCTTCTAAGTTAGAGATGAGCCACAACCAGTATGTGTTTCCTTTGATGAGAATGATGGCCGAGGCCGAAATGGGGCGTGATTGGGGAAGAGATTTTGATAGAAACTCGGGAGTTGTCATTTATAGAGTGTGTTTACTACTATTATATAAATATTGGCGGGATCAGTCACTGGTGTGTCGGGTTTCATCTGGTTCTATTACATATTCAGGGGTTGTATTGTTCAAGGGCGCCACGTTGTCTCTCTTCATATGTACTTATAGCAAGATTAGCCACGGCAATGTTTGAAGTCGTTCAATATTACTTCGTAAGTCTCTTGTGAACCAAATCGGAAGTATTGGGTCAAATATTTGAACCATGACCCCAGGCTCTATCCTGATTGAAGCATATACAATCACATGGCAGCGCCGATGCACAACTGTAGGCACAATGTTCTTCACAAAAAGACGCGAGGGATAGCATGCATGTGTTTAATGCGTAGCCGCAAGTAACAAGCACAGAGTTGCTTATACGGCTGAGCCGATGTGAACATCCGACAAGTTTCCCGCGGAAAAGAATTGCTGTTTATTACCACACATTCTGCAGAGGGTCCCATAGACTTGGGAAAAGCTGATCGAGGTAAGAAGATTCCGCCATAGCAAAGCTAGAAAAGTCCAAAGCCTCTTCAGAACTTGGGTCTTCAGGCGGCGTCATGGCCCGTAGCTTCTCGACAACGTCTGCATGTTGGGCCAAACAAATATCACCCAGATCCCAGTCATGCTTCTCTTTATGTTCACGAAGAGCCGACAATAAATCCGAGGCGATCCTCAATGAGCTGCTTTGAACTAACCCCGATGTTGAGTTTTCTGTCTCAAGTGCACATCGGAGAAGGAAGCTAACAGTTGTCGAAAATGCAAAAGCGCTGCTTGGTAACCAGCAATCAGCCAAATGTTCGGGCTGTAACTCTTGCGTCAAGATGAGAATATCCTCTGCAGTTCTCCGAGCTTGCATATAACGATTCAGCAGGCGACTATCCCCTGTGTCGCGATCACGCTTTTCAGCTTCAAGTTCGATTCTCTGCAATAGTAGTCTGACTGTCAGATATGACAAGCGAAGGTTAGCAGCACCAGGAATTCTCAGGTTATTTCCACGAATGACAATCCGGCGGATTTCGTCGCTCAGAGTTTCTATCCAATTATTCAGAGCCAATTCCAAATGTGTCGTATCTGTGGATTCATCTGAAAGGCTGAATTGATGGACGTGCCTTAAGTGTAAGTCTAGAACCTCGGTCAGGCTTACTAGAGCAATGTACACTGAAGCATTGAGAGCTCGGTCCGAAGAAGACCCTTCTTCACAAAGATTCTCTACGAGAGGTTGGGGCACATCATTTAGAGTCGGAGAGATGAGTGGTGGGGTTCCATGTGAAAGACTCAACCTGTCTACACGTTAGGGCTAGAAGGGGGGTTTTGTGCGTGTTATCAACGTACCATTTATCGTGAATCAACAGAGCCCACCAGATCTTCATTCTTAAATTCTTTTCAGACTGTGGTATTTCCCAGGGTATTGGACTGTGGTTCAAACCCAGGGAATGTGCCATAGCAACTGAAGACGCCAATAAAACGCCATTTCCAATCAAAGCAGTCACTTCACGACCGCCTATATTCAGAACCAAGGCTTCTATGGTGGATATTCCTGGAGATCTATGTATCTGGGAATAAGCTGCCTCAGTCGCAAGATTCCAGATGAAGCGTCCATCAGGACATCGATGGCGAGAAAGAATAGGAGAGCTATTCCAGAAGGTTATCGAGTGGGCGTATAAGCCACTGAGAAGCGCTGGCGATATTCCGGATTTGTTCTCTCTATATTGCTTACGAAAATGTGCTTCATCAAGAAGAGGAAAGGAAGAATTGACCTTATCAAAATAGCTGAGCAATGTTAGTGATTGTAACTCGAATATGTCAAAGTCTTACACGTCGAGAAGATCACCGGTGAAAGGCTCTAATATCTTCTCTATAAGCTGCAATCTTTCCTCTGCGAAACTGAGGTTCGAATCCAACCCAACTGGTCGTTTCTGTACAGTAGTAAATAGCACAGGTCGAGATCTATTGCCTATGGCTGGTCTGATAAACCGTGAACCCCTTGAGGCACTAGGCATGGAAGATAAGTAGTCCGACAAAACCTGGTTGTCCGAAGTGACCGCAGGCCCAACTATGTGAAGATTGTGCGGTTGTTCGTCGTTTGAGCCCAACGCCAAAGGTGACTCCTCCGATTGAGCGTTTTGTTGGGGCCATTCTGTGCTTCTTGGCACCGCGGGAGAGACGTTGGACACTCGGTGCTCATGGGACGTGGTGTTTCTCGACGACCTGTTAAGGGCTGAAGTCAAGGCTGGTTCTATAACAGACACTGTCTGCTCGACAGTAGAGTTGTCTGAGATGGATCCTGCCGGGGGTCCCGGTGCCAGGCTGATTTGACGGGGACTTCTAGTTGTCAACAGCCTTGCTTGTCTCCGACGCCGAGGGGTTCGAGAACTTGAGCGAGATTCCGTGGGAAAGATGCAATCCGTGCGATGTGCCCGGCACATGAGACAGCAGCTGGAAGATGCCTCGGACTGGCAGCGGGACTTGCGTTTTCGGCATGGAATACAGGCCGGTCGAAGATGGGACCTGTACGGTCGTTGATTAGAAGCTACCTGCTCCATTTTGGTATTTCGTAGCCGAAATGCAAGATATCTTGCTGTAAGTTGATGGAGAATACTTTCCGCGGAGTGTGGTGAAGCTGGTGTTGATAAGAGGAGTTAGCTTCCCCGCGGGAAAGTGATGACACAGTCCGCGTACAGTGCATGTGACAGTGCTGGTATAAACCAAGCAGCTTCTGTAGAGATCGTTTACAAAAGGATTTCTAATAAATCGCCTGGCCTATGATTTCTCTATATTGAAATCACCAATTCCCGGCTACATATATTTTTGGCATTTGTCTTTACAATACGCGCTATCGGGATTTTGGTACTACAACCTACCAACATTAACCTTATAATGACCCAGCGATAGCCCGGTTCCCCTTTTCATGTCCCCTTATTATCTCTGATCTCATAGTCATTAACATGTTCTATCGAAGGTGCTGCTGAGGATGTATGTGATTCGACATCCCGAGTCATCTCATGAGTGACCAAAATAGCACCATTGCCGTCGGTTTTGTGTGGGAAAATCTCCTCCTTACTATCATTCTTGGTATGTGCACCGCCAACAGCGTGGCTCGTCAATCCATATGCGTTGTTGCCTTTTGACTTGCTCTGTAGGTGGCCCTCCTTATGATTCTGGTTGTAGCTTTTAAGCGGGATAGATCCTCCTATCTTCTTGGAGCCGCTCCATCCATAGTAGTTATTCGAACTTCTCCGGCCACTCGAGAGTCCCAAGGCGTGGTTGAGCCAGGGGATTTTTTGAATAACTTGGCGAAGACATGGGATTGTGGAGCAGACGATAAGAGAGGCCAGTTCAACTTGCGACCATATCATGGGCTCAGCGAATTCATCTAGACACTCTTAGAAGCGGCGAAGGAGTTGTTGCACAGGACTTACAAGTAGCATCGGGTCCAATTCGAGTGACAAATATGATGCGGATAATCGACGTGACGCAAACCCTTTCATGGTAAGTTCAAGCTGTAACAGAAATGAGTGACAACTTACAATAAACCAAGGGACAACATGGCAATCAAGCCCAGTCTCTTCGCCGCTGGAAGATGTAACCTCCACATTGCAGGAATAGGTTGGATAAAGAGGAACAGGTCGGTACACATATTGAATACAAACTGTTCAGAGTCGATCAATACCCGCAGCTCTCGCACATGCTTTTTGCGACTCACCGTACACCACCAGAGAACACGAAGGTCAAGACACTTGGCGTCTGCTGGACGAGGTACAATGTAAGCTGCCATCACAGGCCGGCATTGGAAGATAACAATGAGTGTTTCTTCTATAGCCTGCATTGCTAAGAAGACAATAAGGTATTTGTTAAGGATCCTAAGAACAGGCTGAGGGTTGATTCGAAGATATAGCACGGCGAATGACGATTTTGCGCAGCCGATACCAAGGCTAAAGGTCGCAGAGCATCCTGTCGTATACTATGAACAGTGGTCAGCAGATGAATTAAGGTAGGTTGGGGTGAAATGTCCACTCGCTCTGAGGAATTTCTGAAGATCTTGATTCGACACTTCATTCATATGCTTTCCGAATCCCACTTGCGCAGCTATTTCGTGTGAGCTGTCTGCTTCGTCATATTAGTTGGCATGCACGAAACTTACAGAGAATTGTGCATATACAGAGTCCTGTCAAAAATGCCTACCGATGCCATGTTAGCGGAGTTATAGAATATGTGAGACATTGTTTATTGCCCCTGTCTCATCATCCGAGAAATATTACCCATGCTGCTGTAATTAAGTCTATCAACTGTCAGTACCGTTCTTGCTGAATACTTTGGATCATTCAAGCCTTACAGTCATCTGTTCCAATCGTCTTCAGGCTGGATCTGATCCATAAACGAGTACCGATAAACACCGTAGTAAGAGAAATTATCGTTATCGATGCTGCGAGCAATGCCCCTGACAAGTCATCTGCCGCCATGACAGTTTTGCGATGAGTCGTTTACTTCTTCGTGTCGAAATAATGGTCCTCTGTAGTTACACTTGCGAGTCTTCTTTGATGGTAGCGGTATTCAGTGGAAGGTTTCAAGATGAAGTGTCTGTTCCTGGAGGCAGCTCAACACCGTTCTCCAGATATATGAATACCTTTCAGATAACCAAGGCTGTACCAAATCCGTCGGGATGGGCGAGAAGCTGGACACAAGCTCCTCTGAGAGAACGACAGACAGCGGTATTGGAAGACCGGTAGTGGTGAACAAGGCGCTAAGCTGCGTCCCCTCACGTCTGGTGATTTCGTTATGGAATGCAGTGACAGAAAACCGGGGAACGGGGCCATATAAGTTGTATCTCAATCAACCTTTCCGTCTCCGGGTTTGGCGTCAGAGACTGCGAAGCCAATTCATGTCATTCTAGCGAGCATGATCCCAAACTAATGCATCCATGTAAGGATCTAGTTATGCCAGTAGGCCGCCGGGGGAGCTATCTTTCTGAACCGTCAGCGGGAGATGCCTGGGGAGACAAGGGACTGCCCAGTCCACAAGGCCGCAACTAACAGGCGGTATATGTCTGTTAAGGGAAATTAAGACGTGGATGATGAACCTGTTAGTAAAGATTCAAAGGAAGACGCCGTTAAGATGGGGGTTGTTTAAGTTTCAGCCACAAGAGCCCGTTAGTTTTCGTACCAATACGAGCATGCCCAGAATGTTTCTTGTGGTGTTGGTCGTCATCCATTGCTAAATTGGGCTCGGTAGTGGCCTATCGATGGAAAGAACCGAATTGCTTAGTTTGGCAAGGGAAACCTTCCAATACGCATTCGAGATGCGAGTCAGGCGCCCGGCTCAGCAACTTTCAACACCACTGAAGTCTGCAACGGTCTCAACGCCATCGAAGATCATTTCCCCAATTTTCTGGAAGGCTCATTAGTATTCGGGGAATCTGTTTTCATTGTGAACAGTGTCAGTCGATGGTCTATCTATCCAGGCCATGCACACACGCCTACGAGCTTACCATCTTGCATAAGAGATACCTGTCGGAGTTTCTGCTATATGGGACTTTTAACATGAGGATCACAATATCTAGCGAACATAGCCTTTACTGCTATCGGCGAAGTTGATGCTATTTATCACAAATCAACACAGGAAACACTGAGGGGATGGCCGATCCCAGTTAAGGTACAGCGGAAGACAAGGTTGCTGATTCTTCACAACTTAGGACAAGCCACACCTATCACCAGGAACTAGCGTAAGCGTCTAGCTTCAACAGCCGGGGCCATGAATCTACAGGGCTGAAACAGGCTAGCAACTCGCGAGACCTCATTTTTGATGCACATTCTTGGCATTCGAGTGCGAAGTGAATACCCGGAATCTTCCTGACGTCGTGCTCTGCAGAGGAAGTCTGTTCCTGGCTTGACTAGCTTCCACGGTAGTCATGTTCTCGAGTCACGGCATTATCCTTGTTAAATGTTGAGCTGCTTTATTGGGGGTTGAAAGGGATTCCGTATCATCTATTGTAGCTCGCGGCCATGAAGACTAAGCTTACCATATCTGTTAATATGAACGACAATCCCTCATATATGATACCCACGAAAGCTTTATAATCGAGTACTAAAGTACAATGGCTTAATGGGCCTTAAGCGATGGATCCATTGTGGCAGAACAAGTACTCGTTCCTAGAACAGTCAAGCCTCTTATACTAAACAAACAATAACTCATTGCTAAGATCGACAAAAGCAAGGGGACTTTGCTCTAATCTATCGGCCCCACCGCGGCCGCTCTCCCGCTGAGGATCGACCGGTGATACCTGGGGAATGAGGTCGATCATGGAGCAACTGTCTGACGTGTGATATTCCCAGATCCGATGGGTACATCCAAGTCCCATCTATAAGAGGCGAGATATACACCACTTCGGATGTGGCTGATCTGAAAACCAGGAACAATTTTCTATAAATGCAACCTTAAAAAGCCTTTGAGAGGTAATGCACGTAGTAGGTAGTATGTAAACAGCGGCATAGGGAGATCAGATAATCAGACATCAAACATCAGCAGCTTGTTACGAGGGCCCCTGGGTCAAAGAGAGAACCGGAAAGCATATGCCAGGGGAATTAGCTTAAACACTGGCTTCATAGCTCGATTACTACTGCGAACCCTTGCGAAGCCGTCGCGTAGGACCCTAGATTGCGCCTATTAGAAGTCTTATTAGTGCCAACTAGCATTGGATCTCATTATCTTCACCCTGTTATCGTGGCATCTCAAGCTAGACCATGTCAGCTTTTAAAATCACCAAGATCATCGGTATTCTAAGCAGATTACCACCTTATAATAATTGTTGATTGAGTTCAAGGCAGACCATCCCTGAGTTGCCGCCACGAACTACAGAGAGAGATGCATTATCATCTGGGCCCAGCTAGGAAGTCTGCATCGCTTGTTTGACGATATTCCTTACATTGAAGTTGTTTTTATACCAGATCATACTCCAGTAATGCAGACTAGGGAAACTTCTTATCTCGAAGGCCAATGGTGTCTTTACTTAGTGCTCCAAAGGATGATTTATGCAACTCTTACAAAGACGCGGAATAAAACCGCTTCTAAATTCTAAGGCAGGCATATTTCTACGCTTAGACTATATATACTGCCATTATTTGCTTCTGATCACAACCCCCCTCTCTACATTGGGCGACAACGCCCGGAATTCTTCCGTAGTATAGTGGTCAGTATGCAAGCTTGTCACGCTTGAGACCCGGGTTCAATTCCCGGCGGGAGAGATCCAGCCACCTGCGGTACGCAGGTTTATCTTTTTCTTTTTCTAGATATTTTTAATGTAGACGTTGTGAAGTGCAGGCTTCTTTTTACTGTAGTCTTGCCTGATGTGTAGCTCAGGGGGTGGGGTTTAGTCGCAGAATAATAACTCTTATCATCTCTATTAACTATTTTTTGGCATGTATCAATCCTACAAAAACTTCTCAAGAGACTTGGCTGTATCAATGATTGTCTGCTCGACGGGATAAAAGTCTTGTCCAGTTACTTTGACCGCCTTCGAAGCATCAAGAATTCTTTCCTCGGGAAACTCGTAGCCGGGAAAGTATCCCTCCCCGGGATTCCCAGCCTTGATGATGTCTTGTCGCTCAGGATATGCTTTACGAAGAACGTCTGCAGCAGCCTGGGGAGGTACAAGTCCTGAAGCCAACAGGAAGCGCTCCCGGTTTGCCTTGTCGGGGTGATCGACGCTGAAGACAGCAACTCGTGCAATATCACGAACATCAACATAGCCAGGATTTGGTGTCAATGGCTTGGGGATCTCTTGACCCGAAAGTATCTGCCAGATAAAGGCAGTTGTTCCACCAATCTTTGAGATCGACTCAAGGCCTGGTTGCGGTCCCATAACAAAACTTGGACGATATCGTTAGACTTGCTTAATGAATTGGCAGTGTCTCCAGGGATATCTTACACTGGGTTGAGAGCAGTCATTGTGAAAGAGGGATTTCTTTCATCGCGGAACTTCCAAAAGGCTCTCTCACTTGCCACCTTGCTCGCAGCATAGATCAAAGGGCTGGGTGATTCTTTTCCGAGCTTCTTAACAGCTGCCAAAGCTTCGTCATTCCAATCTGCCTCTGTGAATCTAGCAGGTGCTTCTTTACTGCCGTTAACAATGGAGGCAATAGAGGACATAAGCACAACCGATTTAACAGACGGCTCGGTGATGGCAGACTCGAGAACACCCAGTGTTCCTTGAATAGCGACTTCAAGGATGGGGTCCGGGTCCGTAAAGCTGAGGCTCACCCCAGCAGCAAGGTGTGCGATAGCATGAACACCTAATATCGTGAGATCTAAGTTATCACAGATACGGAAGACACTTACCCTTGACGGCAATATCGAAGGCTCCTGCCGCGACAATGTCTGGGACTTCGACAATTTCAAGATCTTTTTCATATGAAGACAGGGCCCTAATGAGAGGATCTGCTGAAGACTTGGAGCGAACAGTTCCACGGACGGCATAGCCCGCCTTCAGAAAAGCTTCGATAACAGGCCCGGCAATGTAGCCATTTGCACCAGTCACTAGGACAATTGGTTTGCTGGACATGATGAATCGAGAATGAATATGAATGAATAGTTGAATAGTGTTGAAGTTATCTTTTATGGTGATAAAAGTTTCCTGAAAGGCCATACTGCCCCTTTTTATGTCCTTCCAATTCATACTGACAAATATCAATACTCCTAGCTTCGTGAGAATGCAACAATATTACACGACGTTCGGACCCGGCCATAAGAATGCCGATTGAAAGTTGAATGGCCACAAACATCTTTCGTGTCCAAACTGGTACTTCGACCTTGAATGAGCGCGTGTGAAAAGTTATTGGCGGAAAAGGATGAGTATCCCAGGAACGCTTCATGATGTATAAGCACACTAATTGTGGGGGCCGCTGTGGAAGCTAGGGCGCATAGGCCGATTACTGATCATCCGAGACTTCAACAATACCTCTCTAGTTAACAAGTTTCATCAGTCCTCTAGTACAAAGCTTGGTAATCTGCTGATCGGAGGTCTTAGTAAATCAAAACTGTTTTGAATTGAGCCGTTTCCTTTTGAAGGACTTGGAATTACTGATCTTGAGCCTCATCGTTTGAAGGTTTCAGGGTAGGCTCAAGCACTGATGTCTCGAGGTGGAAGTATCCATGCTAGGCCTAGACAGTCTGCAGCCTGATACAGAATATGGAAACCGGTACTGATATGTTATACGGAAATAGAACTGGATTATTCGAATGTTAGTCAAGCCGACCAGAAACCAAACTGGTACATTGTTAGAGATGCTACGCAGGTCATGACACGCACGTGATCTCGCGATTTGTAGTGCCACCCGTATGACGCAACCGGGCAATCACTCACACCAAGTTTGCGACAAGTTGCGCGCTCACTCAAAAACCAGTTCTTTTAAGTCAATTCACATTATGACACTAAAATGGTAGGTCGCAAACGCCCTGCGACAAGGGCAAGCGCTCGGAGGGGAGCTGCAGCTACGGTGCCGACTGGAGGAGAGATCTACCAAGATATGCTCGCGGAAGCTGGCGTGAATTCACGGGATCGGTCATCGCCAGAGCGACCTTTAAAACGACGTCGTGCTGGGCCAAGCAGGGCAAGACCAGAGCCAGGAAACCCATCAGAAGCAGCGCCACAGCAAGCAGAACCAAGTAAAGCACCTCCGGCACAAGTCGCAGACAAGGAAGAAGATGACGACGAAGACGAGGACATTGAGTTTGAAGATGTTGCCTTGCCACAGCCAACGATGCAGACCATGGAGCTTGAATCCGATGATGATGATGAGGACGAAGACATCGTGTTCGAGGATGTGGACTTTACAGCACCTCTCCAAGATTTAGGCAAACCCGAAGAACCAAAGTCGTTGGAGCTCAATCTTACAGCGCATCAATCATCTACGGCCCAGGTAAAGAAGGCTGCCGAGCGGCGCAAACCAATTAGTAGAGAGGAGCGCAAGACACGGATGGATGTCCACAAAACACATCTTCTATGTCTGCTGTCACACGCTGCACGTCGCAATCATTGGTGTAACGATGGCAAAGTACAGGATCACCTGCGACCGCATTTAACGGACAAGACAGTCAACTACCTCACTCCCGGCGCGCATCTTCCACAATTTGGAAGGACCGAGAGCCTGAAGACTGGTCTCAAGCAGGCAGAGAGTGTATGGAAGACGAAGTATGAAGTTACCGAAAGGGGTCTACGACGTGCTCTGTGGGCGGAAGACCCAGAGCAGTTGAAAGATGTAAGTTTAGTGCTCAGTCGAAAGATCTCGGCTGACAGATGCACAGTATGAACCACCAGATGATATGGAAAGCTGCTTAGATCGTGACGATTTTCGAGAAGCGGCAAAAAAGCTACAAGGGTCCAGAGACGTTGGAGCACAGCTATATTGCGCCCTTCTGCGAAGTGCTGGTGTACAAGCACGGTTGGTGTGCTCGCTACAACCTCTTGCATGTACATCTGGAGCCCCGTCGATGCCAAAACCGAAGCAAAAACCGAAAAAACGCTCGACAATAGAAGAAAAGAATGCACAAGTACGAGCTACGATGGCTAAGTACCAAGAAATGGCCAGTGCTGGATATGGTTCACCAACTGGCGATTCTTCAGCACGTCGACGGCTGGGTCATCCAAACGCAACATCATATAACTTTACACCGACGATATCTCCCCCAAAACCTCAGCCAACTTTCGAAACTCGCAAAAGAATAAAAGAATCCTCATATCCTGTGTACTGGGTCGAGATTCTTGATGTCGGACATCAGAAGTGGCAACCGGTAGATGCTGTGGTCACTCATACTTTTTGGAAGCCGAAGGCCTTGGAGCCACCCATTACTGATAAGGAGAACTTTCTTTCCTACGTGGTTGCATTTGATGAAGATGGCACTGCAAAAGACGTGACAAGGAGGTATGCGAAGGCTTATACAGCAAAGACCCGAAGATCGAGAATCGATACTGCCTGTGAAGGCGGTGATATTTGGTGGAGACGGGTCATGAAACTCTACGGCCGACGACGACGGACAGATCTCGACCAAATCGAGGATAACGAACTCGTAGGAATCGAGGCGAGAGAACCTATGCCACGGAACGTACAGGACTTCAAAGACCACCCAGTCTTTGCGCTTGAACGACATCTTCGACGCCACGAAGTTCTTGTTCCTGGAGCTACACCTTCCGGAACAGTTGCTGCAGGTAGTCGAGGACCGCTCGAGAAGATTTTTCGGCGGAAAGATGTTCGAATTGCGAGAAGTGCAGATAAATGGTATCGCCTGGGTCGGGAGGTGAAGCCGTTGGAAATACCTGCGAAGTGGCTGCCGAAGAAGGCTAAGCCCAAAAACCCTCTGGATGATGACCAAGATGAGGATGCCCAAGGAGATGCTGGGACACCTATCTACACCGAGGATCAGACAGAGCTCTACGAGCCGCCCCCAGTGTGGAATGGCGTGGTACCGAAGAATAAGTTTGGAAACATCGACGTTTATGTACCAAGTATGGTTCCTGCGGGAGGCGCACATATTATCCACGAGCATGCAGCACGAGCAGCATTTATGGCTGGAGTCGACTATGCACCCGCTCTTACCGGCTTTTCATTCAAAGGAAGACATGGCACAGCTGTGCTAACCGGCATAGTGGTCGCAAAAGAGCACGAAGAAGCTGTGCGAGCCATAATCGATAGTCTGGGTGATCTGGAGCAAGAAGTAGAGGATGAGCGAAGAAGACACCGAGCACTCAAGGCTTGGAGGAAGTTTATGATGGCGTTACGTATTAGAGAACAGATTTGGAGCGGTGTGGATGCAGATGAAAGAAAGGCAGCGGATGATAAAGCGGCTAAAGAGGCACAGCTGGATCAAGAGATTGAGGATGCGCCGAGTGATGTTACTGAGGAGTTTGACATGGCAGATGATGACGATATGGGCGGAGGGTTTTTGGTGGAATAGACGTTAGAGGAAAGAACAAAGCAAATATCCATTACTGTCATTTTCTGCAACAGGGCAGTGTCAAAGACGCGTGTTGGTCTATATAATGAAGGATCGTTGCAATCAGTGCCGGGTCATGTTTGGCCTCCCGGGCTCGTACAGCGGCAACCGGCATCCCGTCGGTACGATTTTGAGGACCGGCGCCGTAGAAACGGAGACGGAGACGGAGAACATGATAGGTTTTCGGTTCTTGCTGAGGGTTGATACAGAGTAGCATTACGAAAATGAGGCTGTGCAGCTTCTTGTGATCTTTTTGTGACACAAAGTAACTTGGCAACTTTCTCCTCGTGTTCAATATTTGGACACAGGGCCAGAGTGGAATGTGGAGGACCTCATCACCCAGCCTACCTGTCAAGAACAGCGCTTAGGTACGTTTTAAGTCCCTTTGTTTGATTGCAGGAAGTATCTTTCTCGTCGCCGCAAGAGTTGGCATCGGGTATTTATCTTTTTCTGGATGGAAACAACGCAACGCAGGAAGATGATATCAATATGCCTTGGGACTTAGCCAAGATAATCATCCTGAGACTGTAAAGTTTATATATCATGTTCGAGTACTAGCATTGTCAACATCGTCAAGCGAAGTCGGAAGAGGCATCCCTTTTCCGGGACCCTTAAAATCACTTTGATCGGGCACCGAGGTCAAAATGTCTGCCAAGTGTAGAACACGACGCTACAAGGGCTGGCATCCTGGGCTGACAGCATCGACTTTTGATAATCGGCGTGATTTTTGACCCGAACTCCCGACATGAGCTTTGTTTCATGGTAAACGGAGCCGATTCCTTCATGCGAGCAGATTCTTATTGGATGGATATTTGTCTTGTCATTTTAATGGTCCTCGCGTATCGCTTTGAATCGATTTCCTATCTGGATCTAGTCCGCGGTCTGTTGAAGAAAAGGAAGAATCATAGATTGAAATATCGTGATATGACAGGTGGGCCGCGTGTCAAACGGCACAGCCGAGATGAGTGGATAAATGGACAATGCGGGAGGATTGCTTATGCTGATGTTGCTGCTGCAGGATGCCTCAGTTGGTGAAACGAGAGAGGGAAAGAGAAAATGTTGCAATTGGGTCTCGTTATAAAATCGTATTCCGTATCTCGTAAATATAAACCCAATTCTGCGGGCCGCTCGCTAATAAGGTATTCGTAAGTTTTGTCGTCGCAATAATGCTACGCCAGTACGGAGCGGAGGAAAGTTACGGGCTTTCATCCGGGTTGTCTCAAGTTTTCCCCTGATGTTGATGCTCCAAGAAATCTATGATCTCAATCAGTCAGTAGTGTCAAGATTCATATCATAGAAAGAGTGCGAAATCATAAAGTTTGAGTGATTTCTGTACTTCGAATTTCATTAGGTCAACTGCTGAGGTCTTTCAGAAACAGTCATGATGACTGGTGGCGTCGGCTCCGGGTGGTCAAATGCAGGCTCCTTAAGGAGTGGCTGCCTGCCCCATGGCGCCAAGACTTGTCTCCGGGGCTTATATGCAGTGGTCTCTTGGTGGATGCTCTAGTGCTCTGTGGAGGTATTACTTTAAATCAGCCTCGACACCTCGTTACTGCTAAGGGACTTAATTAACTTCATTCAACCTTGCGATGCAGAGGATGCATCGCCAACAGCATTTTACCTTTCCGAATCATATTTTAATATTGAAACCTGAAAACTTAATTGGATAAGGTAGTCTACCTATACCGCGCTCTCTTCCCTTCCATTCGCCCCCGCGGGAATACCGCGTTTCTGTCCTGTTTCAAAAACCAAAAGTCATCATCATGACTTTCCTCAAACAGGTCGGGACCCTTATGGGCAAGAATTTTCGCATTCTTTTAATGCGCCATCTTGCACTATGTATCTGGATGGCCTTTATCTTGCCCATCTTCTTGGCCGCGCTCTTTAGTTTCACAAAAAACCTCCTTGTTCCTCCAGCAGAATTTGGTATCGGCAAACCAACCCCGGTTCTCGACCTCGGCGATGCCATTAAGAAAGCAAGCAATAGCGGACGTGAGAAATTGGTCCTCGTCAACAACAATTTCACAGAAGGAAATATTGATCGGGTATTCAGCACTGTGAAGCAACAATTTGAAGATGCTGCCGAGTCTGTAAGCATCAACTTTAATGTTGTCTCTATCAAACGCGAAGACGATTTGAGGGCAGAATGCCGTAGCAACTTGAGAGGAGTGTCTAGATGCTTTGGTGCCATCGTAATGGCTTCTTCGCCTGATGAAGGCCCTGGGGGTATCTGGAACTACACTATTCGGGCTGATGGAGCCTTCGAACTTGCAGCTGCAAAATTCGAAATCAGCAAATCGAACGACCAGCAGATCTATATTATCCCTCTTCAACACTCCGTCGACAGAGCTATTTCTCTCGCCAACAGTTCGAGTACCAACAACTTGAATGGTACCCAAGAATACCCCTACACCAGCATGACACCCGAAGAACGTGACCGAGAGATTCGTAGACGATTCCAAAAGACTATCAAGGGCTGGATGGGTGTTGCGTTTCTGGGAACTGTTGTTTGGGTCACATATCATCTTACTGGGTTCATTGCCACAGAACGCGAAAGTGGCATGTCCACATTGATCGATGCGATGATGCCAGTGCGAAAACCATGGCTCGCTATGGTCGCAAGAATTATTGCGCACCACCTTTCGTTCTCTCTCATCTACTTACCAGCATGGATTATTGGCTCTATTATTGTTCGCGGTGGTGTTTTTGCCAAGACTAGCGTTGGCATTGTCCTCATTTTCCATCTTCTCACTGGTCTTGCTTTCTCGTCTATGTCCATGTTGTTCGCATCCTTCTTCCGAAAGGCTCAGCTGAGTGGTATCACTGCCATCTTGGCCGTCGCCCTACTCGGAATTCTCTCGCAAACCCTCACTTCTCCTGGCACTGTCCCGGTTACCGTTCTTTCGATCTTCTTCACACCTAGCGCCTTCGTGTTCTTTATCAGCAACATGGCACGATTTGAGGAGCTCGAAATGCGGACTGACTTGTTGAAAGTGGCCCCTAACAGCCCTTCGGCGCTCCCGGGCATTGCTATTTGGATATTCTTGATTGTCCAGATATTTGCTTATCCAGTAATAGGAGCTTTTGTCGAACATGCTCTGTATAGCAATGAAACACCAGGCCGAAAGATTTTGCTCAACCAGACAGACGTGGACCGGATTGGGAGTAACGCTGTGCAATTGCGACAATTCTCAAAAACCTACAAGCCCAGCATCTTCTCAAGGATATTCCGCCGAGGCCCCAATAAGAAGCTGCCTGTGCTCGCCGTCAACGGGCTGGACCTCGATATTGGCCAGGGGCAAATTATCGCACTTTTGGGTGCCAATGGCAGTGGAAAGAGCACGACGCTCGATGCTATTGCAGGCATGAACAAATTGACAAGTGGATCGATCGAAATCGACGGCAGAGGTGGTCTTGGTATCGCTCCCCAGAAGAACGTGCTCTGGGATGACTTGACTGTGGAAGAGCACATTAGAATCTTCAATCATCTAAAAGCTCCTAACGCCAAGGCTACCACACAAGCGATTGAAGATCTGATCAGATCCGTCGACCTCTATAAGAAGCGAAAGGCTTTTGCAAAGACTCTCTCAGGTGGTCAGAAGCGCAAGCTTCAACTGGGACTCATGTTGACGGGAGGAAGCGCCGTGTGCTGCGTTGACGAAGTCAGCAGTGGCATTGACCCGTTGTCGAGACGAAAACTTTGGGACATCATTCTGGCTGAACGTGGTAGACGCACGATGATTTTGACTACTCACTTTTTGGATGAGGCCGATCTACTCGCCGACCACATCGCCATCCTTTCCAAGGGAACTCTGCGCGCAGAAGGCTCTTCAGTGGCCTTAAAGGACAACATGGGCGGTGGTTACCGGGTACATGTTCCCAAGGACACTGGCATTCGAGAAACCCCCGACGTTGATCAAGTTGCCAAGAAGGATGCCTTCGACCTCATTACATACACTGCTCCCACCTCACAACTCGCAGCTGTTGTCATTAAGAGTCTTGAAGCGGCTGGTATCACAGAATATCGCTTCTCGGGGCCGACTATCGAGGATGTTTTCCTACAGGTTGCTGAGGAGATCAAAGATGAAGAAGCTTTCCGCAATGCAAACCACGCCTTGTCTGTCCCGTCATCCGAAAAAGTCACCTCCAAAGAGAACGCAAGCGAAAAGCCAGGGTTGGCACTTACAAATGGACAACGAGTCGGATACGTAAAACAAAGTTTGATTTTGTTCCGCAAGCGCTTAACGATTCTGAAGCGGAATCGATTTTTGTATCTGCTTGCCTTTCTTCTTCCAATCTTCGCCGGTGGATTGACTGTCCTTTTTATCATTGGCGAAAGTACGCCTAGTTGCGTGCCAGGAGAGCAATCAACCCGAGCTACTTCCAGGGAAAATGCGTTCACTCAACAAGAATCCAACAAATCAGTACTCTTCTTAGCTGGGCCGAGATCAAAGTTGAGCACTGACATGTTCAGTCTCATAAATCCCATCTTCGGTGGTGAAGATGGAAGTGGAAGCACGGGTGGACAAAGTAGCTTCGACATAACAAACAGCCTTGACTTGGTCGAGACTTTCCAGCAATTCAAGGACAGGATCGAGACGGATCGAAAAAACATCACCACTGGAGTCTGGCTGGGCGATGATGAGCAAGGTCCTACATTTGCATGGGTCGCCAATCTCTTCATCTCCAGTCCTATTTTGGCACAGCAGATGCTCGATATCATGTTGTCCAACGTTAGCATCGCAACCAATTGGAGTCCTTTGGATATTCCCATCAGTGACACTACGGGTGACGCACTTCAAATGATTGTCTACATGTCGATCGCACTCTCAGTCTATCCTGCATTTTTCGCACTCTACCCAAGCAATGAGCGGCGCAGGTTCGTCCGTGGTTTACAATACTCAAATGGTGTTCGACCGTTCCCACTCTGGATAGCCTACCTCTTGTTTGATCTGATCATTGTCCTGGTTAGCACAGCCATCGTGGTGGCGATATGGGCTGTTGTCTCCGATATCTGGTTCAACATTGGTTACGTCTTCCTCGTCTTGTTCCTCTACGGAATAGCTTCGACGCTCTTTGCGTACCTTATCTCTCTCTTCACCAAAACACAACTTGGAACGTACGCCTGGGCAGCTGCGAGTCAGACTCTCATTTTTGTCGTCTACATCATTGCGTACATGTCGGTGTTGACTTACTCGCCCGTAACTAAGGTTGACAGCTCCCTGCGTCTTGTTCACTTTGTCATTTCCGCATTTGCCCCCATTGGTTCAGCATTGAAGGCGCTTTTCATCTCTACAAACCTCTTTTCTACGGCATGCAATGGCAATGAGCTGACAAAGAACCCAAGCGGTATTTTGTATTATGGTGGACCCATTCTATACCTCATCCTCCAATCACTCATCTTCTTTGGTCTTTTGATTTGGCTCGATACTGGGTCAGCGGGAGCCTCACTCCGAGGTCTTCTCCAGAGAGGGAACAAAGCCGAATCAGATGAGGAACATGTGGACGAAGACATCATTGATGAGCGCGAAAAAGTCACTCGTAACGACGGGAATGAGCATGGTCTCCGAGTTATGCACCTGACGAAGAGCTTCCGTGACAACATAGCTGTCGACAACGTCACCTTTGGTATCAAGCGTGGCGAAGTTTTTGCTCTGCTTGGTCCGAATGGTGCAGGGAAATCAACAACCATTTCTCTTATCAGAGGTGATATCAAGCCAGACCGAAATGGAGGCGATGTGTTGGTGGAAGATATATCCGTCAACAAGAACCTTGCAGGTGCTCGAGCCAACTTGGGCGTTTGCCCTCAGTTCGATGCTATGGATCAGATGACGGTACGAGAGCATCTCGAATTCTACGCCAAGATCAGAGGTGTCACCGACATTGAGCACAATGTTCGGGCTGTTATGCAGGCGGTAGGACTCGAGTCGTTTTCTACTCGCATGGCGCATGCTCTATCTGGAGGCAATAAACGAAAACTGAGTCTAGGAATCGCTCTAATGGGCAATCCCACTGTTGTCCTTCTTGATGAGCCTTCTTCTGGTCTCGATGCTGCTTCAAAGCGTGTTATGTGGAAGACGCTTGAGGCTACAGTCCCTGGAAGGTCGATTCTTCTTACGACACACAGCATGGAGGAGGCGGATGCATTGGCTGGCCGTGCTGGTATTCTTGCTCGAAGGATGCTTGCTCTTGGAACACCAGACAATCTTCGCCATCGCTTCGGTGATGCCTTACATATTCATCTGGTCGCCAAAAGTGCCCCTCGCACTACGCAGGAGGAGATGGACAGGATGACAAACTGGATTCGTCAAACTTTGCCCTCAGCCGATGTCAATGAGAAGACGTATCATGGCCAGGTCCGCTTTTCAGTCCGTGCTGGCCAAGTCCTCGCAGCAACTTCTGGTCGCAAGGAGGAAGAGATCACAAGAGACCAAGAGACAGATCTGAGCCAGAGTGCCATTGGACACCTAGTTGTGCTGCTGGAGGAGAATAAGGAACAACTTGGTGTTGGTCACTACAGTGTCATGCCAACAACGCTGGATCAGGTCTTCTTGACTATTGTCGGACAACACAACGTGAAGGAAGAGAACTCAGAAGAGAAGAAGCAAAGCATCTGGCGCAAGATCTGGATGTTTGGAAGGTCATAGTGCACTTTCATCAGGGTCGCGGTGTTTGGCGTTGACGAGAGGTTTTGTTGAATAGAAGTTATAATCATTATAGCAAAAACTCCTTAGGCTGGATTTAAGAATCTCTAATTGGCGCTTCAGTGAGCATGTCTTGGTTGACAGTTGCTTGTGCCTTTCTCATGTCCGCGTAACTCTTCCTTCTCTCCACTGGCATCAGACAATGAAACTACTGGCAGCTTCAATTTTCGGTGAACATGACAGTTTTAGTTACATGGTTGTTCTCCATGCTTTGCTACGGCTCTTTTTACACTTGTGACATACTTCAGCGAATGTCTTCCTACCTTTCATGTGTTCAAAGCTGTGACTTCTGGATACATTTACCGAACATTGACTTGTTCTGCCACAGAACATGCACTAAGCGACAAACAACAAAAGACTTAAAGAACAGCAGCATTAAGTCCTCTACTTGTTTGCTTGCATGCTTGTTCACTCATTGTACCGTTAAAGATGTCTTGTTCTAACACACTATGAACAAAGGAGCTTCAGAACACCACTCAAACGAGTTTATGGCTTATGAGTATATATATGTATATCAAGTGCTTCAACATAACCAGAAACCAAGCAATCCTCACTACAACTTTCACATCAATACAAAAACAACAGTTTCAAAAGCTAAACTATCAACTAATTTTCAAACCAACAATCATTACAACATCTTCAATATGTGCTACCGAATCTTCACTCACGCGATGCGCTGCGATGCGCGGCCCGTCATTTCCGACGGTAACAACGTCTACACTGATCCCTTCGCCTATCCCCTCCCCTGCAGCTGCAGCTCTGAGCACTTCGTCCTACGTTACCTTCGATGCGAGGATCATGGCTGCTGTATGAAGAAGCTCGAAATGGATTGGTGTCCCAACGTTGCTGATTGCAACGAAGTTTACGAAGTTCATCGCTATGTCCAATCTCATCGTAAACCACGAAATATCTGGGGTCCCATAAACATGCTCGGCGATAACTTCAGTTCTCTCTGGAGTATTCCCCAGATTCAAGAGAAGGTGAAGCCTTGGGACTCTGTTCCAGATTTGGAGAAGTGTCTCTTCATTGGAAAGATGCCACACTTGACGGCTGTCCTACCTCCTTTCCAGCAGGCTGTTCAGAACCTTGTCAACACTGGTCGTCTCATTGTCCAGACACAGGATCAGCTGGGTGCACTTCGCAACGACATTGCCATTCGGCGAACCATGCACGATACTTTCCATGGAGAAGCTTGCTCGCGTGTGCTTAATGAGTGGGAGTGCCCTGTTCAAGGACCTATCGCAACTGGAGAAATGCTTGATGGGCAAATGGTTAAGAGCCTTGTGAAGCAGCAGGAGATCTTCAACACATGCTGGACCTTCATTCAGAGCATCATGTGGTCTCGCCAAGTGGGTAAGAGCCTTATGCTCAAGAATGTACCGGTCGTTTGGGATCAGTAGAAAGAACCTGGATCTACTCTTTGGGTGTTTGGTGGTTAAATTTAGAATGCATTCTTTACGTTGGGCGTTTGGGATAGGAAAAGGTTATTCTGGTAATAGAGGAGGATATAGAAATAATAAATTTGGACTTGGCTTCATACATCGATCATTCAGGTTATAGTGACAAAGTAAACATTCTAAATTGGTGTTACACGTCCGAGTGAAGCTGTGGGTGTATAAATATAAATAACTTTTCGCTTAATCAGCAACTAAAGCCGTCATCGTATAGGGGTCAGTACATCAGTTTGTGGCTCTCCGAAGCACTGAAAACGCAAGTTCGAGTCTTGCTGACGGCAAAACTTCAACTTTTGAGGATATAACGTGTTTTATAAGCGAGTGACCCATATAAGCGAGTGACCCAAAAATCCCTCAACTTACATTATCATCATTCAATTCAATATCTTTCAACAACCCGATATGCCACAGCCTTCATATGAAGCTAGGATACTTCTTGCCCTTCAGGCCCTTCAAAATGACCCGAAATTAAGTATCCGAAAGGCGGCGACTGTATATCAGGTCAATCACCGCACCTTAGGTCGCCGCCGGAATGGCATTCATTCAAAGCGTGATATAACCACAAAATCACGGAACCTATCTGATCTAGAGGAACAGACGATAGTTCAATTTATCCTTGACCTAGATTCCCGAGGTTTCCCCCCTCGGCGCGATTTTGTGGAAAAAATGGCCAATTCTCTACTTGCCGATCGCGAGGCATTACCAGTCGGCAAGCTCTGGGTTCATAACTTTATCCAACGACAACCAGAGCTAAAGGCATGTCGATTTCGGAGATATGACTATAAGAGAGCTAAATGCGAAGATCCGACTATTATTCAGGGCTGGTTTCGCCTCGTAGAGAATACGATCGCGAAATACGGTATCCAATTAGCTGATATCTGGAACTTTGATGAGACCGGCTTTATGATGGGTATGATTGAGCCCGGAATGGTCGTCACAAGCTCAGAAAGGCGAGGGATACCAAAGAAGATACAGCCTGGAAATCGTGAATGGATTACTGTGATTCAAGCGGTCAATGCAGAAGGTCAATCGATCGCACCATTCATCATTGGTTCAGGCCAATATCATCTTGCCAATTGGTACCGAGAATGCAACCTCCCCGCCGATTGGGTCATTGCATTGAGCGAAAATGGATGGACCAATAACCAGCTAGGTCTTGACTGGCTACAGCACTTTGATCGATCAACAAAGGACCGATCAGTTGGTTCTTATCGTCTCTTAATCCTCGATGGTCATGAAAGCCACCACTCTATCGAATTCGAGAGATATTGTGAGGAGAATAAGATTATTACCCTCTGTATGCCTGCTCATGCCTCTCATCTACTCCAGCCTCTTGATGTAGGGTGCTTTGGGCCGCTGAAAAAGGCCTATGGGCGAGAAATAGAGCGTCTAATGGGATGCTCTATAAACCACATCACCAAGATCGAGTTCTTTCCTGCCTTTCATGCCGCCCACCGAGCTACTATTACAGAAAGTAATATCAAAGGAGGTTTTAGAGGAGCTGGGCTTGCTCCCTTTGACCCAGAAAATGTCATCTCAAAGCTTGATGTGCAATTACGGACCCCGACACCTCCCGCAGAGGTCACGATACCTTCAACCCCTTGGACTGCAAGGACCCCAAAGACACTACTAGAGGCCCAATCGCATTCTAAATATCTACAGGGAAGGGTTAGAAACCATAAGAGCAGCTCCCCAGAGTCAATTATTGAGGCTGTTAAGCATTTTGAGAAGGCAACAAGCGTCCTTATCCATAAGATAGTCCTACTAGAGGATAGGCTTCAACAAGTTGAACAAGAGAATCGGATAGTAAAGCGACGCCGGAGGGGGAAAAGGACTAGACTACAGAAAGGAGGGCCTTTGACTATAGAAGAGGCATCACAAGCAATTGATCAGATGGATGTTGATACGCAGGTAGCAGCCGAATCGTCGAGAAGTGGTGGTCGCGGAAGGTCTAAGGGACCGAGGGTTTTACATTGTAGCAAATGCGGCAGGGCCGGGCATAATACAAGGACCTGTCAGGAGGAAATTGAGGTTAATTTAGAAGAATATAGCGATTAGTTTTAATTGATCTGATAATTTGTGGTATTTTTATTGCCGATTTAATTGAGAAGGTTGAGATTTTTGGGTCACTCGCTTATATGGGTCACTCGCTTATAAAACACGTTATCAGATCCTGCTTTTTTTGTAGTTGTCGAGATGTGCTGTCAGCATTTTTGGAGTCTTTTGGTGTAAGGTTGCACTGAATAAATTATCAGCTAAGCTGTTAGTTCTTCACTCCGTGAGAGCCCTGCGTTTATATAAGAGCCCTGCGTTTATATAAGAGCCCTGCGTTTATATAAGAGCCCTGCGTTTATATAAGAGCACTTGTTTACGTCAAGTTATTTAATCTAGTTTTTTTCTTTTTTTCTTTTAAGTTTACAAGTTAGCCTTAAAAGGTATATCCAAGCATCTCCAGAGTCTGAAATAGTTTAAAATTTATAGCCCTACAGTTGGCAAAGCTTCGTTGAGTCAAATCTTAATCTAGAATATAACACAAAGTTTCAAGTGCACATCTTTCGTATAATAGTCTTGAATCGACATGCTGTCTTTCATTTACTGGTTGTATGAGTTGAACTTGGCTGTCTGAGACTTCTATTTCTGTAGATGCTTGCAAGCTCAAGGTTTCTCAACAGACTGTAATTGACTTTACCAAAGACAAAGACAAAATACCAGCAATAAACAAAGCAGGTAGCTTCAACATCGAGAAAAAGGCATATAAGTGATTGTTCACCAATTAACCACCACTGTTCCGCTATCCTTTGTGATGGAGGGGTTTGGAGGGGCAATTCAACCGGGCCGTCGTCATCACTGCAAAACTCCAAAAAGTCATCACCAAGAATGAACATAATCAAGCAAAAATAGCAAAAGGTAATTACTTTGCCGTCAGCAAGACTCGAACTTGCGTTTTCAGTGCTTCATTGATAGCCACAAACTGATGTACTGACCCCTATACGATGACGGCTTTTTAGTGCTTGACATGGGGTCGAAATTTGTAGCTTATGTACGTCTGCTTTCAACCCACTCCGTTATCGGCAGAGTTTGGTATAAGCTTCAGAGCTTCTCTCACGAAACGCACAAATCATTTACAATTGCAGCGGCCTTCCCAAAGCTAAAAAGCAAGAATTGTTATGAAATTGACTCTTCGCTCAAAGATATTCAACAGCATCTAGGTCCAATACTGGCTTGATTTACCTTTGAAGGTCCTGCATTGAGTATTTAGTCAGCTCACGGAGAAAAGGAAGCAATAACTGCCTTGAGCCAATTTACGCTTCGACCTGCACAACGAACATCACCCGCTCAACAATTAAGTTTTAACATTTATTCTTTATTTGCTCTTTATTCTGTCGGATGCTGCCTTAATAACAAAAGAAAGACCTAAAAGGTAGCAGCAATGGTATCCTACAGCTCCTATCCATAAAATAATCCCATTTACAATGCCCCACGCCAAATAACGCCTTGGATGGTGTCGAATTCTATCCGCACAACCGTTCATTTCTCATTTATCGAGTCGTTTATTTGGTGATCCAGCCAAGATAATCAGCAACGATCAATGTCACCATACTGCGAGTCAAGTTAGCGAATTATTCAACAGTATCTATCAGCAGTATCAAAGAGACTTACGCGTGAGGAGCGATGCGGACGTAGTATGTGCCGAATCCACGGTAGAAGCGGCCGAGACCCTCTTGCTTAGCAACCTTGGAGAAGCAGTCCATCATACTGCGATAGGGAAGCTTGCCATCGGGGCCCTTGGATTGCTTCTGCAGACGTGTCTTGACAAAGTCGAAGGGCAACGAGAAGAACGAGGCGAAGAAACCAGCGATGGCACTGGCAGCGAGAGTCTGGGTGCGGGCGGAGAGATCGGTGTTGTTCTTGAGTTGGACTTTCGCTTCACTGAAGAAAGCGAGCTGACCAAAGTTGAGAGCCATAGCTCGTGCGACTGTGGGAGCAGCACCGGCCCAGAGAGCACCGACACCTTCGCTCTTGGCGATGCTGGTGAGAGCATCAATGACTGACTTGTAGTTCTTTCGCTCGGCCAGGGGCTTGAGACCGTCACTCTGCATTCGGATGAGGGCGAGATCAGCAGGGTTACCAATCATGGCAGCGATACCACCGGCAGTGAGACCAGCAGTAGCTCGCTCTGAGAAACCGACTGAACGGCCATCAGCCTTGGCTCGGGCGGACAAGTTTTTCATGAGCGTGTCGAACATGCCCAAGCGGGCGGTGGTGTAGACGGCCTGGCGCAGAAGACCAGCTGAAAGACCAGTGTAGAGGTCAAGGACCTTTCCGCTGGCGATGATCTGTCGAGTGACGGAGAGAGGAGAAGGCTTAGGACCAGAAGCAGTTCCCTCGCCAGCGAGTTGGATGCGGACCTTGACCATGTCGACAGGCTGGATGACAGTTGTGGCCACCATACCGCTGATACCACCGTTGATGAAGGGGAGAGCGGCCCTCATGAGAGGAGTGTGAAGGATATCATTGGCAATAGCGGCCGAGTCACCTCGAGCAGCTCCCAAGACATCGCTGGTCTTTGAGCGAGCTGATTCAGCTGCTTGTTTAAATGTTTGGCTCATGATGAATGGGTAAGGTGGGTTCGGGTCGAGGAGAGATCGATCTAAGTCAAGACGAGTTCGATTCAAGTGAGTCGTCGTCTAAGAGGATGGATAGGATGAGCTGCTTGAGACTGGTCTGGTGTAAGTACAAGTTCAGTCCCAAGACGTGGGCATGGCTGGGGCTTTATAATATCATGGCTGCTATGGATGGGATGTCACCACCAACTACAACCGACTATGGCCGTACACTCAAATCACAGCCATGATACATGATGATCCAGGAACCGAAGACTTCCGGCGTTTGACCCGAGGCCGGTGGCATGGCCGCTGGGTTTGGCCTTGGGCTGGAACTTGGATGGAGGTGGATGCCCGGCCCTGAATGTCCTTCTGGTGTGGGGGATATCGAGGCTTGTCTTGGGGGGTCTATGAGGGACATGGAGGGCGTGTGTAGAGGAGGAGTGTGAACTGTGGCCGGGGGTAGATTCCCGCTGGGTCCCTCCCGCGGCACAGTGGATCTGCCCCCGCCATGGCCCGTCGATGTGTTTGGCTCTGGCTTCGCTGAGCTGGGTCTGGATACAGGGCACGGCAGAGCAATGACATGGGCATCAACAGAGAAGAGCTTACCAAAACAACAAGCAGAAAGAAAATCGATATCCGAGGATTCGAGCCTCCCGTTTGATTCCGCGTCTAATTGCCGCGAACAATTTGACGACGTTACAGACTGGATATGGAGACGAGCCCAGAGCGAGGACTGCTTACAGCGGAGATTGAAAGGCGAAACAAAGCTGACTGAGACGGCGACCCAACTTGTTGACGGTTGAGTAAGAGGAAGAATCCGGAACTGTTGATATTGGGAAACAAGACGGGTATTGTTGTTATGCGGGTCTCTCAACAATGGTTCAATAGAGTAGCAGCGAGGACAAAAAAGAGGCTTTGGGATCTGCGTCACGTTCAGATGATGAAGGAGGAGCAAGATGTGGGAGGGAAGGCAGAATTAAAGAACAACAGAGGATGGGCTATTGATACCTCTTTCAGATAAATATGAAAGAGGGGAATAGGATTGCGTCTCTCCGAAGAGGGCCGACAACCGAGAGAAAGGCGAGAAAGAGGAAGCTCTACTGCTACATCAAAGGCAGCACGAGACCTGCCGTGATGTTGATCCAACTCAGCATCTACTGGCGCATTGATATGAACCACTGGCGACCCTCCACCAGTGGCCAGAGATGGAAGAGAAGGGCAGACGCCGAGCCACTCACCGAGGAACGTCACCATACCAAGGTTCAGTCCGGCGTCAAGCTTGGCCCAAAGTTGTAAGCTGTTGCACAGTGAGTGGTTGCTCTGTTGTTTACGCGTTCAGCTACGGGCTATCGGCTGCAACAATACAACTGCACAGTGATATTAGTTGCTGTTGCTGTTGAGCTGCGGGGTAGATACTTCAGGGCCTGGTTTGATGGAAGCGGATTAATGACATGTTGATCAAGATCCCGAGAGTTTAGTTAGTTAGCACTATGTAAGTGACAGTAACAAAGGTTAGCCAATTCGAGTTGTAATCAACGTGACGCTGTTGGTGCCTCGGGATTGGCAACCCCTCATTCTTCTGTAACTGCAACCACCAGAGCTCTTACAGCATCACACTACATACGGTAGAAACCCGGTTCTTGTTCGTGTTCTTGACTGGCTGGACCGGCGTCGATTCTTCAGTCATAGCAATACTCTCAAAGCTATTGTAAGAATCAGCGTTGTCTATGTTTATTTGACTGTTCTACATTTATCTCCACTTCAATAGAGCTCCAGCTGCAGTGCAGCTCAAGGTTTGGACTTGCTTACGCTTGAAAGTGAGGGGCTGGCCACGTCCAAAAGCAATTCATGTGGAAGTGGCTGCAGCTACGGCAGGTGTGAAACAGTCACAAGCTCGCTCGCTCGCTCACTCTCAAACTCACTCTCAAAGCCAAGGCCTGGGCTTTCGTGTTTTTCTACACCAAAATTGAGAGGTGGAATGAATGGTTCAAGGTATGACGCAACCGACGGTAATAAACGGGAGCTATCTGATAGGCTAGATTTATCTGTCCATTAAAGTCAACATTCACCGTCTAAAACTTATAAAATAGCGGAAAGATACAGAGTCAATCCGGTGAGTAATTCAGAGATAATAAAATCTATATGATCTGAAAATAGTAGAGACTTCAACTGTATGCGTCTGCAAATTACCGCTTGTACTACGGCCGCTTGCGCCGCCGCAATTCAGGACCGGCTTTCCATTATGTAACGCCTGTTGAGCATTTTATGCCAGATTTCAACTCCGGTTCCGGGCCGGGGTCAATATCAGATGCAGAATAGTCGTCCCTTGAAAGCGAGCGTAATGTGCTTCTGATGCTGCATCTTGCATGTGCTAGCTACGGCAGCTGTTTTGCTTTTGTTGCCTGCTAAAAGCCGGATACATCCCACTCGGTAGGAAGAAAGCAGAGACTCTTGTTGGTTAGTTGTGCAACACAACAGTCAAGCCTCACCAACAAAAGATATTAATGCTCAACAGCAACTGGACCTGATCCACCAGCGCGGCTCGTAGTGGATACAGGCGTCAACACTGCCGATTGAGAGACTCCACAGGGCTACGGCTACAGAGAGTCTATCCAATGGACTCTATCACTGCAAACCCCTGATCTTTGTTCACTCATTACTACCCCTCCAAAGCTTCTATGCTTCGAGATACCAACACAATGGCCAGACTGTAGTTAAATCGCGCGTCAAAAAAACCTGTTCTATCATGGAAACATCCAATTCTCAAACCTTACAGCTGCATACAGAGCTGTTTAGTTCCCGGACCCTATTTCCGTCCGTCCCACCCCCGGCCGTCATCAGGAACCAAGCAAGGGTCGTCTCGAACTAGGACATTGAAGTCCTGGCATGATGCAAGGATACCAAAGTTACGACATTCTTTACGCTTAGCTTGGCTGTTGTCTAATTAAAGCCGCAACACTGGTCCGTTCATCTTTGCTATCCTCGGTTATGGTGTGAAAAACTTCATACAACGGGCTGTGTAGACACGTCACTTTTCCAGGAATCCGAGGAAGATATCCGTAGATGGGGTGAAGATTAGCTCAATAGATCAAGGCTATTCGCTCATCTAAGCCATGACTATGAGCTCATGTTATGGCAGGCTGATGTTGTATTTCACATGTAAACTGTCTTGACTCTCTCAACAACAGAGCCGCTCATAACGGCCCGTTTATAACAAGATATGTAATGCAACCTGAAGGCGCTCAACAACAGACACACATATCAAGGCACGGCTAGGGCGGTTAGAATGGGTCTTAAAACAAGAGCCTCAACTTGAGATAGCATCCATTAACAAGGCTACTCACTAGTGGAGTCTCTAGAAATTCTAGGCGTGGTCGATCAAGGGCGATACTCACTCATTGGATTGTTACAAATCCGGCGCAGGTCCCGAGGAAGTATGTTCCGAGGAGGCACCAATTTTCGGAGTCGTCACTACCGATAAGCAGACCGCTAACTAGGTACCTTACCAACCTAAGTTCCATATCTTATCATAGCAGAGATTCAATTGCAAAAACATGTGAATTAGGTTGGGGTTTCAACAAGACTCGATAGCCCAAGATCTTGTCTCCAAAATTGGAGTTGAGACATGGGAATTTTCATCATTGGAACCCCAACCCCCAAAGATTCAGCCCTAGTAATTTGACCCCAAAATCTCGAGATTCTTGCATATGACGAAGAACAGAAAGTGTGCGGGGCCCCGAATGTTTTATGACATCTCCGGTTTGTTCGGTCCTATCTACCTACCTATTATCTAGATAGCTTGGGGGAATCAACACAGATGGTAAGCTTGTAATGTTACGGAGGACTATTTGGAGTATTTGGGGGTTCTCCTCTACCAGTCAGTCCTTCATGCAGGATGCCATCTTGAGCATCAGAGGTCTCACTATAACACCTCGGAAAGCACGTCATGGGACTTGTACAAGTCAAACAATATGATGTTGAGCCATTTTAACCCCCATATCTTGAAGGCCTCGTCATTTCCAATCACCCCATAACACGGCAAGGAACGGGTATCAACGCCTCGATAGAGTTGACTTCCATCTCCAACAGGGTTACTCCAACACTCCATCTCGAAGGTCCCCCAGATTTCTCCGCCAAAATCACCCGACTTTTACTATTTGTTGCCAGATATTGTTCCTCGCCAAGAATCACACTTGACGAAAAGAGACACCGTAAATGTTTGAGATTGTTTGGGCGGAAATGCAAAACTCGCAAGGTCATATCCTCAGATAACATCATGATGAATGGTTGGCTACCTCGCTCGGCTTTTGATGTGCGAGAAACACAGCCTGCCCTGTAGAATCATATTATTGGTCTCTTCCTGTCCACATCCCGACTTATTTCTTACCCCTGATCCATGTCTTAAAACCCCACGGCTGAGCTTGCCAAGCTATGCTGAATTGTTACTCAACACCAGCTGCGAGCGAGGACTGCGCCGGACTTCAAGTTGCGGAATGTATCTCTCTCCCCTGTCAGCGATCCATGTAGTCTCAGTCTAGATCCACCAAGCATCTCTCCAACGGCATCTCGTTGATTTGATTGACGATGATGCTTGAGTTTGCAAACTTGTCCACGATAACTGGCCGGCAACTAACCGAGCCGAACGGACTGAATATAGAGCCCTTCGGATTGCGAGATGTAACAACGTGCTCCGAATTGCCTCGTCATTACGAAAGATCTCCCTGAGAACAGGGTTTCGAGCGAATGGCATTAGTTACTTAATACACACCCAGTTTAAATGCCTCCATTCAGGGTCCAATAGTTGGTGGCGGCGATCTAGGAGTTGAGGCGAAGCATTTTGTGTGATATATCCGAGGTTATAGGGACAAAGGCTTGTCTCGACTTGTATCGCGCTTTTCAAATGGACATTACATACACCGCTTGGCAGTTAGCCAAATAGGATCAACAAGTTGTTGAAACACCATAACCGAACAATACCGCGGGTATATCATTGTCATAAAACTGAATGACGTGTTAGGATGAGACTGTATGATATCAAGAAAAGCATCATTATTGTTGCTCTCTCTGAATTACACTCGGTCGATGTCCGAGGGAATGGAAGATAGAATCCGAGTAAAGTGATCAAATATGGACTCAATATGCAACATATTCTTCTTTCCGACATAAAACGGTGGTAAAAACTTGACTATGGATTCCTCTGTTGTTCAAAGGTATCTGAGACTGAAATAGGACATGTTTGTGAAAAGAGATATATGTTGATAGACGCAGAATCTAACTTTTCTTTCAGCACCTATAAGTTACAGTTTACTTTTGCTTAGCCTAACACATACCATCTACAATAGCTATAGACTTCTATCAAGCTTCTTTATATGCACAATCTGATACTAGCTCCATCAAAGTTATAATAGACATGGATAGTTAATGATCGGTGCCGCATCCCCCGCATCCAAATCGATCCAATATCAAAATCCCCCACCATCGCCATGTGCGTGAATAGTGGGTCTGCCGGAAGTTTCGTTGCGGCTCCGATGTAGAACTTTTTTGCGACACTGCGGAAGCGGTTTTCCAACAACATAAAAAGGCCCAACAATGCCAAAACGAAAGCGCGGGGAGCCCAATCTTGGGGATAAGCTCGAGAAGCACTGTAATGATGTCTCAAAGGCACTCAAGGCTGCAAAGGGTCTCGAGCGTCAGAGATATAGCAAGAGACTTCATGAAGATGGAGTTGAGCCTGATAAGAAGGAAAGATTGGAACGAGAGGTGACGGTCTTGAAGGTGAGTTTTGACTTGTCGCATCATCCCAATTACCCTTTCCTGACGAATTATCTAGTCTCTTGACCTTCATCAAACAGCTCGCGCTCACCTCTACTCGTCGATCCTCAAAGTCAAGGACCTCGCCGCATCCACCGACCTCCCCCAAGAGATTCGCACCGGCGTTCCCAAACCCGAACTTACTCCCGAAGAACAGGCTGCGCTACATAATGTTACCAGTGCACTATATAATCGTGAACTCGTGAAACAAGCCATCAACCGCGCCATCACCACCTTCTGCCAGGCCCTCGACGTCCCTCTACCCGGAAAGGCGAAACGCGTACGAAAGTCCAAGAAGGAAGAAAAAGAGGCACAACCATCCGACAGGATAGAAGAGGGGTCAAATGCGGAGGATAGGTCGGCTAAGGAAGACGTGCGAGCGTCGATTGAGAAGGAGGAAGAGGTTGAAGAAGAAGAGTCGGAATTCGAGGGTTTCTCAGATCATGACGATCCTGTTCAAGAACCTGAAGAGCTTGGCAGTGAAGATGAGGCGAAGGAAGAGAAGGCTTTATCCAAGTACGATCACTTGCTAGGCGGCTCTTCCGATTCTGGAGATGAAGACGATTTCGACGATGAGAGATTCGAGCGCTTCAAGGGCAAAGAGAAGGTCAACCTCGACGACATTTCCGTTTCTGGCTCAGATGCCGCACCCGAACTCGGTTCAGAATCAGAGGAAGAAGATGATGACGAAGAACTCTCTATCTCAGCTTCACCCTCGCCACCCCCAGCCAAGAAGAAGAAGAGCAAGGAGAAGGCATCAGCATCCGCTCGTCCTCGCGACTCGACCTTCCTACCCACACTCATGGGCGGTTACATATCAGGTTCTGAGTCCGCCTCTGACGTTGATGTTGCTCCAGCAAAGAAACGTCGCGGCCAACGAGCCCGCCAGGCAATTTGGGAGAAGAAGTTCGGTAACAAGGCAAAGCACTTACAAAAGCCTGCTTGGGAAACACAACGCGGCCGCGATTCTGGATGGGATGGTAAGCGTGGTGCTGTAGAGCCAGGAGATGGCCCGCGAACACCCTGGAAGAAGGGCATTCGCAATCCTCTTGCGGCCAAGCAAGGTGGCGGCGCGGGAGCGGAGAGCAAGCCCGAGGTGAAGAGGCCGCCTCCGAAGAAGGATGATGAAGGACCGTTGCATCCTAGTTGGGCAGCGAGGAAGCAGGCGAAGGATGCGGAGAAGACGGCGGCATTTGCGGGATCGAAGATTACATTTGACTAGGCGTACTCTATATATAGCGATACCAGGAGTAATAAAAGTTTGTATTAAGACATGGCTTTCTTTCTATCATGATGTCTCTGAGGATTCTCTATGATGCACGTAGACCGGCAAGCCTCCCTCCATTGGTAGGGTCAAACTACTCTTACTGACTCTCTCTCCTTCAAAAGCAGGTTTGAAGTCAAAAAGAGGTACCAACCTCGCCAATGTCTGCACTGCAACCAACTCTGCCATTTTCTTCCCTAGACATACTCGAGGTCCACCGTTGAAGACAGGAAACTCGGCTGCTGAACGCTGCATAACTATCACGTCACCAGATGGAGACGTAGTTAGCCATCGCTCTGGACGAAACTCATCTGCATCAGGACCCCAAGTTGTGTGAGACCGACCCATTGCCCAAGCGCACCATAACACGACAGCACCTTTTGGGAGGAATGTTCCATCAGGAAGGATTGTTTCTTGTTGAGCTTGTTTGATTTCGAAGGGAATGGGAGGTCGAAGACGGAGGGTTTCGTAGAAGACTGCTAGGACGTAGGGGAGTCGTACTGGGGTGAGAAGTTCAGGGTCGTTCTCGGAGTGATCTTGGTTTCTGACTTCATCTTGTAGGTCTTGGATCGACTGGCATAGCTTGGCCGTTACTTCTGGGTGCTTCATGAGAAGGTAAAGCGTCCACGTAAGTGCCTGAGCGACAGTATCTCTCCCTGCTGAGAGATAATTCAGTGCGGCATCTGCTACAAGGTCGTCATCACCAATTGAATCCAACAAAGACTGAATGAGACTTCCTGGCGCATCCGATTGAGCCTTTCCCTTCGTTTCCTCGCGATCAGCTACTGCGCTCTTTACGATGCGCTGCCCATATGCCTTGACAGTTCTGATAGAACGACGCATTCGAGTTCCAAAGAACATTTCTGTCACAAACCATAGAGGGTTCTGGAACCTTTCAGCCGTAGCTCCTGAAGCGTGCTCAAAAGCAACGGTAAAATCGTCGTCAGCGTGCATCTCCATGTTGTATGCCATTCGTCCCATTAACTGCGTCGTCACCTCATGGATCACAGCCTGCAGATCCACTGCATTTCTTCCCCCTGCTTTGCCATTGAGAGCTTCAATAGCTTTTTCCAGGTACTCTGGTAATCGCACGCTTGTCAGAGTCTTCAAAGCAGCTGTGGAAAGAAATCGTAGACCAGCCTTGCGCTGGAGACGCCAGAACTCGCCGTCCACGTTGATGATACCATGACCGAATAAGTCCCAAGACCGCTGTTTGAAGAAGTCTCCCTTTTCAAAAATCCCCTCATGGCGAAAGATGAACTCTAAGTTCTGGGGATTGTTGATGATGACGCCTGGGGGGAGGGTAGGAACGGTGATGTGGAGACTTTCATAGCCGTAAAGACGCTCGCAATGATGGAACCAGGAGAAGAGACGCTGGCGAGGTTGGAGGAAGATAATACCATTCCCTACCAGCGGTAGTGAGTTTGGAGGTTTTCTGGTTGACTGTTAGTATATGTGACAAAGTGGCATGATGAGTGAGCATAGGGTATGTGGTATGTGAATTGAGTGAATACCAACCTAAGAGGCTTGCCATTGCACGTAGGCTTGGTTGTTTTCTTCCCTAATGAACACAGGAATAAAACGAGTATCACTGATAGAACAATGGGCTGTTCCAAGACGAAGCTGAGATAGTTCATTGTCGTCTTGGTTGTGAATGAGGGTTGCAAGGTTGAAGTTGTCTCAGTCCATATGCGGTGTCATGATGTAACCTTGAATCCACGTATTGACCACAAACTATTAAGTTGAGTAGAAACACCCACAGGAGTATATACCTTAGTGAGTTTCCTATTGAAGTTCCCCTTTAGTGTTGTAAATATCGACTTTGTGAACGTATTCGCATGTAGTGTAAGCAAGGAGGGCTGTGTTTTCGCTCCTCGTATTCGTCACGAGAAATCCGATGGACAACCACTCTAGTAACCTAATCAACATATTCAAGATATCCCCAGACCTTCTGTCGGAACGTGATTCTATCCGTCGGTCCAACTTACGTACATCTCAACCGAGGCATGACGTTAATCAAGAAAAGCATGAACCAACGAGGTTTCAGTATTCGTTTCATAAACAAGATCATAGAAGTTATCACAGGCATTCACTGCTACTTTTTTCCGCCGTGGGAAACAGTCAACGCTTATAAATATCAACGTAGCCCAGAGAAGACAAGTGAGAACCTTGTTAAATTATCATTTTGACAGAATAAGCAGCTCATCTCATTCATTGACTTGACTTTTTAACTATTTCGGCATATCGTTAACGTCCCTCTCGCTTGGGTAACCCCTCCAAACCATATTTGAGACATTACTGTGACATCTACCTTGTCTTGGTTCGCGGTTACTGCATTTTGGTGTCACAGCCGCATAAACAAATTCCTCTTCCCACAACAACTTGTTCTGTCCTCTATTACTCTCTCCTCTCACCATCATCATTACCATTTTTTGCTTTTCCCCCCAATTATTTATTCAACCCCTGCATCTAAACCTGCAGCTACCCTAACCCTGGCATCAAGATAGCGTCATCGATTAAGCTCACGCGGCCAAACGAGATAACAGATATTAGCGATTGAACACGTCAACGACATTCTATCCCTCTGTAACGATATCAATTGGATGTGCCTGATGTCAACCTTCCATTCAAACATACTAAATTGACCGTTGTAACGCTCAATCGCTTTTCTGCAGCTCATTTATCCCGTCACCCTCAACCAGACAAAGTGTTGGGGATATAGATCTAAGCGCCCGCCACCATTCACGACAGCTTCATCAGTCATGTCAGCTCCGAGCACATTTGGAGAGCTGGGTCTCTCCATTATCGGCATCGGCGCCGAGTATCCACCATATTCGCTAGATTATACTTGCCTAAACACCCTTAGTGACAAGTTCTATCCTGATACACCTTCGTGAGTCCCCCCACCACCACCACCACCACCACCACCACCACCAAGATGCCTCCCTCAGTGGCTAATAGGTCATGATAGTATGCAAAAAGTCCTTGGAATCAATAGATATACCGGAATTGACACACGGTCATCTATTGGAACACCTGATCACCCGGCTGTTAACAAGAAAGATGCACCCTCGATAGCAGAGCTCCACAGTCTGTTTCTCTCCGATGGTGTTCCTCTCGCGATTCGAGCCGCTCGAAAGGCCATTGACGAGGCCAAGATTGACACAAGATTCATTACCCACATAGTCGCCACAACATGCACAGACAGCGCAAACCCGGGTTTCGACCACTTTGTCGCAAAAGGTCTGGGCATAACGCATGGTGTAGAGAAGGCCTTGCTTCATGGCGTTGGTTGCAGCGGTGGACTAGCAACTCTCCGAACAGGCGCGAACCTAGCTCTTGGTCATAAAGCACGCGGTTTGCCCGCGCGCGTCCTGTGTGTAGCACTTGAGGTCAGCACCACTATGGTGCGAAGTGAGCTAGATAGCATCAACGAGCTACAGCAGACAAGAATAGGCGCATGCCTTTTCTCGGATTGTGGTAGTGCCGCTGTATTGAGCAACGGTATCGGTGAACCTTCTGAACCGGTATATGACCTCCTCGGCTGGGACCACAGGACCATACCAGATACTGAGGATGACTTGGGTTTTGATGTCGACCCAGTTGGTAAGCTTCAATGCCTCCATGGTATTGTGTAAGACCTAAACTGACAGCATGACAGGCTGGAAAGTTGTTCTCACACCTCGTGTTCCCAAGCTCACTGCTGCCTCAATTGGCCCAGCTTTCAACGACCTTAAGGCAGCTCTGCCTCAACTCCCTCCAGACTACCATAAAGCAGCCGACTTCGACTGGGCGATGCACCCTGGCGGTGCTACCATCCTTTCCGGCGCCGAGAGAGCCATGGATATTACACCAGAACACCAACGGGCAAGTTACGACACATACATCAATCACGGCAACTCAAGTTCAGCTACCATCTTCAGTGTCATGGATCGCCTACGTTCGAAAGATATGGATGCCATGGCACCTGACGGACGAGTTCGTGACTATGTCGTCGGTTGTGCTTTCGGTCCTGGTATCACAGTCGAGATGTGCATGTTGAAGCGGAATATGTCTCACGGCGCAGGCCTGCGTGGCCTAGAAACTCCACCAGAGACGCCGGCCGAAACAGAGACAGAACCGAGTGAAATCGGGGACGGAGATGGCGAGTGGGGCCGTGAGTCGAGCGGAGATCCGGCCGAGTCACAGGATCAGTATGCATTGTTTGTGGCCGAATCGTTGGAGCATCTAGATCTAGATTAGCATGGAGTTGTGAAACAAGGTGAATTACCATACAGTTCGAGGGCGTTGGTTGACAGTAGTTAGAAGCAAGCAACAAAAGATTAGAGGTAATGATATTACGTACACTTGTACGTCTGCCACAAGGGGTGTGTTCTAATACTTTGACCCCCAATTCGCTTTCGGTTATGGATAGAACGATCAAGTGCGGATAGCTCGAACCATAATTACCATGTTACCAGTCGTCACGACCTCGTTCCGAGCAGGCCATGAGAATTGCGGCGGTCTGAGAAGTACGACGGATATTTTCTCCTATTGCGTTACCTGCAAGATCGTCTGCAAGCAAGTGTAACTAGCAGAGACATCACACCAAGGAGAGAAGTTAACTTTGCCTCATCCGAATATAAAGAAAGCCGTTGCCAAGCCCCAGCCTTTGCCGAATACATTGCCGGTTTGAGAGAGCGGTCCGTTCTTGTTCCTGCATGATGGATGAAGGTGAAGCGCGCCTTGCTAAAACAACCAACGGTTGGTGTGCTGATCAAATCAGGAATGAGGATCGGCGAACTCGTCAACATATCCAGATATCCCTCTTGTAACCCATACTTGTTCAGTGACTTGACAGTCTCGACTTATGGGTTATTACCCGGCTGAGCAACGTTGTCTGCTCATTGGTCTCAAATACGATGACGATAGCCCTGATACGCCTAACTGCAGAAGAAATTGGGCTTTCATCAACAAATTCGCTTGATGACTCTTAATGCTTGTCCCGCCCTGACTTTGACGCCAACCGCGGTAGTATAGACTGGGGTCAAGAAGCGTTAGTTGCATGCAAGGGGAAAAGAAAGAGGGGTCCTATCCTATAGGACGTTACAAGGCGTAAATGACAGATCAGACAGAAGCATCAAAGACTAATGAGAGGATCCCTAGAATGGCTTTCTAATCAAAGATAATCACCAGCCAAAGGGCTGACCCTGGGCACTCAAGTCGAGATGCTGGATTGAAGTTGGACTGACAAGATATTTTCGACACATGAGCACTTGAGTTCAGATATCGAGCCAGTCTGACGCAGCGAAGAGCGCTCAAGCTCATCGTTCTGAGGCCGAGATATGATTCAGCGAAAGGGCCTCATATTCTTCAAAGTTCACGCTCTGCATACCGAGGCTAGTGGAGCTCCCGGTAACAAGACGTTCATGTACCGGTACTAGGCAGGGGGTGTTTCTCCAGCATTTTGATCTGATCATGTAAGAGCCTTGTCGCTTAGGTTAATCCTTTCCCGAAATCCGAGACTGACAAAAGCGCCGCCAGCTTTGACACTGAACGCTATGCCATGTGGTCGGTTAAAGATCAGCACATAGTTGAGGTGACATCCGCGAGAAACAGCCTCGAAGTGGATTAGCTGCCGCCAAGATGTCAACTCACAAGGATGAACAAGGAACTTGCCGCGCCAACTTACAGCGCTTGAGCAATGACGACTCATCAAGTGGATTCTGCCCCGTATTTTCTTTCAGCTTGGATTTACTAACAAAGTGGGCAAAGCGATCCTCAACCTCGTGGCATCGACAAGGCTAAAGACCTCCGAGTCTCTGATCTTTGAAACATGCTTCCATGCTGTATGCTGTAGGGATGGCTGGGGCCTCAGGAGACAAAAGGCTTGACTAGGCAGGGTCATCCCACGAGTTCCAAGGCATTTTGACAGCCACCGGCTAACGAAACAATGGTGAGTCCAATCGGAAGGGATTCAAAGACGAGGGCGTCCCGAAACAGGAACTCGTCTCGATATGAAGCACCCTGTGGCTTGCAGGTTTGACGGAGGCCCCACCCACACTAGCATGGTAGTTAATGAAGTTTCCCGCAGATAGTCGATGAAGGTACAACCAATATCTACATGATACGAGCTCGATTTGCGGTCGTATGAGAGGTGAAGCACGTATCGGGGGTTTAAGCTCTTGTGCACGGCGCGCAAGACGGGGGTTGCTGACCCGGCCGTGGGGAAGAGGCTTGAGCCCAAGTTCGAGAACCGAAGCTTTATATCTTGTGACTGTCGATAGGTAGCTCCTAGACGCCATGGGAAGAAATCTTCATTCATAACCTGCAAGTTCTGACTCAAGATCTAGGATGGCCAAGGAACTTCCAATGTCTCTCCATCCTTGAAACTTCTGTGATGCGTGTTATGGCCCAGAAGAGTATTCTGAGCGTAAGGCGTGGGACGTGTGCGATACCGGCCTGTTCGGATCAAGGCCACGCTACATAGGCCTAGTTGATGTCTGGTCAGGGCCTTGTCAGGTAGCTAGGTAGGGTGGGTTGTATGCCCCTTGAGTAACTTGACGGCGTGCAGGTGAGGAGTCTCCGCCAAGAGGGCATCAAAACTGTGACTATGAAGCTAGGCGTGCGGCGTGATAAGAGGACATTGTCCAAAGGAAGCTAGAGCGGTGGTCAATCTCCACAGGTAAGGCAGAGAGCAAGGGAGGTGAGCGCTCTGTAGAGTTCGCCGTTGAATATTCAACAGCCGGTATAGTTGTTTAAGTTGAGCGAGATCCCCATCAATGATTGTGTTAAAGGAGTATCGCATATCACGACGTCGAGGAATCGCCAACCGAGAGATCAAAGAGCTATTATCAAAAGCCGGGTTCAACTTCCTCTGGAAGACCCAGGAGTTTCGACAATTGTTCACAGTCATTATCATATTGGGTTGTTATTGCGATCGCCATCTTTCAACTGTATGGATACCAAGACGATATCAACATCGATATCGACACAACACAACACACACTCGGTCGTTGTTGAGGAATCTGCAACGACCAACCAGCACCGGCCTCATTGGAATTGTTGCCCAATCGAAATTACCCAGTGGACGGGACGTGCTGATTAGGTTTCGGCTCCGAGACTCTGGGTCAGTCCATGCGGACCCGACAGTTCTAAGAGGGACGCTTTTGGCTGGATCCGGTTGAAATTGCCTTTCCCGGCATTGTGCGTACGGGAGAGCGTAACGGTTCAGTTTTCAGGTGATTACTGAAGAAAAGCAAGGCTGGAGGGCTATTATCACGTCTTCGGTGTGGGGGATGCCGAGGGGGAGATGGATATGGATGAAGGTGTTATTCAGCAGCAACAAGTGATCGAAGCCGATGATTTCCATGGCAGCAGGACCGTGCAATCCGCTCCTATCACTTCAGTATATCCAGGTCACGTGGGTATACCGCTAGGCCATCATTCGCATCCTAGCAACCAGAGCATACCTGGGAGGAACGATGGTGGCACCTGGCGTTGGCGCAGGCGCAGTTCTCAGCGCCCCGTTACTGCTACTGACCTAGTGGCCCCAGACCAAGGCCCAACTGGAAATCCAGTGATAATACCTTTTACGCATGCACAATTCGCGTCACCTTTAGCAGTTCGCGCTCACAATCACAATCACAATCACCCTCACATTCATCCTCAATCGCAACCAAACTCACCCTACACTCACCCTCACGTTCTTCATCATCAGATATTACCCACACATCAATCGCTCTCTCATTCTCACATTTCCGACGACTCCGCTACAGTCGATGGCCATTTCGGCACAATGGAGCAGATCGAGACACAAGCAAGCGACCTCCGATTCCTTGCCCAAGTTCCTGTATTGAATCCAACCTCGAGCCCGTCTCTCGGCCCCGGCTCCGGCGCCGGACGTGGCGGGACTCCAGCCCGTACCCCCGGGAGCGCCGTGGGAGCCTCTACGGGTGCTCCTATTGCTTACGAGAATCATGCCAGTCCAAGTTCCGCCTCTGTCGGCGACAATTCCGCTCACGGTGCGAGCGCGTCTAATGCCAATAAGAGGAAGTCGACAGATGATGGTCAAGGCAATGGATCAAAGCAAACAAGAAGTAAAAGAAACAGAGTGAGTTCTGACCATCTCGTTACATCTACTATCAACCCCCGGACCATTATGATGAGATCACTTGAGACAAGGATGAGTGAGATGAGGTGAGGCATCTTTGAAGGACAGGACGCGCTTAATGACGACCGAAGAGGGGATTGTTCAAGAGAGTGCGACACAAGACTGCACGATACTCGCCTATCAAGCCCTTTCAAGTCCTCGGACGTCAAACATCTCGGCCTCTTTGTTGCACTACATAAACGAACCCAGACGGCTGGGTCGGCAATCCGAATCCACTCCTGTTTCAGCCCTTTGATCCTACTCATTCCCAGGCCACTCCCGGGTCACTGTACTTGAAGATCGTTCAGGCTAACGTTACATTCTTCACTATGATAGTATATATCAATAGCTTGGTCAGTATCCTTCCACCATTGAATGCGTTCATCTTCGCCGCGACCGCGTAGCAGAACACGGCATTGTCTTGGCTCCTAACAAAGACAAATGCTAACAACATATAGCAATGAATGTAAGAGACGAAAGATAAAATGTAATGGCGAAACTCCTTGCCAACGATGCGGCAACCTCAACTTGGCCTGTCTATATGCCCCGAACTGCTGCTCTGGAAACTTTAAGGAATCGGACGAGTTCAAGCAGGTCACAGCACAACTAGGTCGCCTTCAAGAAGAAGTCGGCTGGCTTCACCAGACCGTCAAGGCCCTTCAGTCCGAACCTGCCCGTTATTCTTCACTTGGTGATCGAACAATGACCCACGGCCACGGCACGCCAGCAGTCGCCCCTTCACCTTCTCATAGTTCTACTTCGCTTAACCGCCAGGACAGTTCGAAATACGGTTCTTTCCGGGGCCCAACAAGCATGGCCTTTAGTCTCGACGTTGCCAACAATACTATCAACAACATGGGCTACAAAGGCATATTAGACGAGGAAAATCCACACATCAACGACGGTATGGGCCCCATGTCGACACGACCAAGAGATCCCCTCCACGAATTCGACAAGGACGAAATGATTCGCCTGTGTCGTCTGCATGAGGAAGAGATTGGTATCATGTACCCAGTGCTTAACATTCAAACCGTGATATCCCATGCCAAGAACATGACCACATTTCTCGAAACCCTGCGACAACAAAGCCCCAGAGAATTAGTCAACGACGATAAGACTCTGCAGCTCAAAATTATCATGTGCTGTGCTCTAGTGGTGGAGGAGCATGGGCATAGTGATAAAGCCATTCGCTTGTTTGAGAGCATGGAAACGGTGCTTAACCGAAAGCTCATGGCTGAGGCTGCGGATGTTGCAACCCTGCCAATCCTGGCTCTTGTTGCTGGGTACAGATTTCTCTCCAACGACGAGGTTTTGGCTTGGCGAGTCATGGGTCATGTCGCACGCTTATGTCTGGAGCTTGGCATCCATCAAAGAACAGGCCTAATGAGAATTCAGGATGAAGAGGAACGTAAGAATGCTCTTGTCAGCTTCTGGTCGGCATACGTGCTGGATAGGCGATGGGCTTTTGCAACTGGCCTACCTTTCGTCGTTCAAGATGAGGAAATCGATTCCGAGCTGCCATTTCCAGTTAGTATTTGGTGAAACCACAGTCCTTGTCTTAGCTAACGATCTGTAAGGAGGAGTACCCTTATCTGGTGGCCATGATCACCTATTCTCGGATAGGTGCAAAGGTGTGGCGACAAGTAGCTCATTTTGGGCCGGTTCTTGCACGCGATTTGCGCTCAACGGAACTGGAAAATGTCGACCAAGAGTTGTTACAGTGGTATGAGCAGATTCCAGAAGAGGTTAAGGTTCGCAACTGGGACAAGGAGAAGCATATAACGTCGACACCCTCCTATAATCTGCAACGCCTACGAATCTGGACATATTTGCGGCTGAATCAGGTAAGTGCTGTGTTTAATACTCAGTCGGTGTAAGCTAACAATATGCAGATGCGGATCTGGCTTTACACGCCTGTGTTGCATAGCGCCACAAGCATCATGGCACATCCTGCGCAGTCAGAACGTGTAGTTGACATCGCCAAAGACACCATCCGATATCTTAGCCATCTGAATAACACAACCAACTTATATAGACGAGTACAGGTGTTCTACCACCAATTCCTTACATCTGCGATTGCTGTCGTCTTCCTCGCATCAGTCCATGCCCCGGTTCGCTTCAGCGCTTCTTGTCGCGAGGAGTTTTATATGGCCCTTGAGCTGGTAAAGGACCTATCCGCCAAGAGCTGGGCATCACAGCGACTTTGGCGCACAATCCGATCGCTCAAAGATGTGGCACCGCGATTCGGACTTAATGCCGAAGACGACCCTCAGTCAACAGCAGCGTTAGGAATGATAGGACTTGCCCGAGGCCATATGGAACAGCAGCAACCGTTCCGCAAACCCTCTATTCCGGGCCAGCAATCACAAGCAGCAACACCAGACTCGATGGCTCAGAATGGATCACGAATTCAAGCCGAGATGTCACGAATGTTCGAGGGCTATGTAGGGTTGAATGGATTCCAGTACAACGAAAATGATGGACAACAAGGGCCGACTGCTGAAGTTTCTGAAGCATCCAACGGCGGCATGTTTGGGGTTGATGGTACTGTCTTTCCTCAGTTCAAGGAGATGTATTAGCCATCTATGCTGAGGATTTTGTATATTACCAGTATTTAGATATGATATCCCCTCCTGTACACTGACTTCCGGATAATCTTGGATATATCTGGTGGCGTATCATGGCGCTCAAAAATATGAGATACGAATTGAGTTGGTAATGTACCATTTTATAATGAAGATTTAATGTTTCGTGTTCAGGCACTTGAATCGTTTCCGAGGCCGTTATGGTTGGAAGAGACGCTAGTATCTCACATTTATGCGAAGACTTCAATAAATAAACGAGACTGCTGTATACTGCGGTATCGTGAGAAGCTTGGGCATAAAACATCAGATGTATAAACTCATCCTTGTCTTCGTTGTGGGTACGGTCAGCAAATCGTTGGCTTAGTAAGTCAGGATCTGTGAACCATATCTGTTTATCTTGAAACTCTCAGCGTTGTCTATATTCTACTACTCTTTATCATTGACCTCTGGTAACTTGGCAGCTCCATCATTGGATCATCATGATGCTATCTACAGCAACGATCCCCTTCCTCATCCACGCTCTCATCGAGACCCCCGCTGCCTTGACCTTCATCCTGAAACCATCCTCACAACTTCAACCGCTTCCTCCATCGGCAGCTCTGATTCTTCAGTCATTTGGTGGCCTTCTTCTTACGAGCAACCTCATTGCTCTCATCTTTATCCGCCGACCGTTTGATGATGCAACTCGTCAAGCGGCGCTCGCATTTTCCTTCTGGCATATTTGGCCCTCTTATCGCGCTCTTATGCGCGTAAATGGCTATACAGAAGAGGGAGAAGCTTCAACAACCAAGACATTAGGGGGACCACTGGTGCATCTAGGAGTTCACATAGTTTTGTTGACCATGTTTGTCTGTACCTGGTATTTTGGTAATGCTTAAGCAACAGTCTATGACATCTACAATTACAACTTTTTAAGTGCCGCCCTTTAGTTTCTAAACAGCCTGAGTCCCGCCTCCTCAACATCAACATCCATATCATCCTCGCTCTCGTCCTCGTTAAGCTCCATCTTGCGACCAAACAGCGTGCCAAAGAAGCGGTCAATAGCACCCTGCTCCCACGCGCGTCGGTCCTCAGGCGCCATGAAGTTCTGCAGCTTCTCGTGAACTGTGAATCGCATCTTGCGGCCCTTGCTGGCCTTGCGGTCAACATTCTTTCGTGACTTGACGTCCTTGGCTGCTGTGAGAACCACCGTGGGGATGGCAGCACCAGCTCCAGCTCCTGATGAGCCCTCCACTGTGCGCTGGTCCACAAGCTCCTTCAGGAGAACCTGGTAGAAGTCGGCGTCGTCGTAGATGTTGCTGTTCTCTGATACACCCTTGGCAGCTTGCGCAGGGGCACATGAACGAGGGACGCGTGAGCGCTTGGCGAGACGGTTATCGGGGTCAATGAGTTGCTCCTTGAGGGCACTGACAAGAGTCTTGTTTCGTGACTCGAGTCCCTTTGGTGCTGTGACATTAACAGATTGCACCTTGCGAGACCACTTCTCCAGACGATCCTCCCTCGATTTGATAGATCGTTGTTCCTCCGCTTGTAATTGCTCCCAGATCTCGCTTGTAGTCATCGAGACATCTAATTCACGCTTGCGCTTCTCGCCAGCTCGAGATGGTCCAAAGTTATCCTTGAGGCTGCTGATGGTGTTGAGGAGCTTGATGGCTGCCTCTTCAGCAGCTTCATAGGGTTCCGATTCGGACTCGGGGTTGGCGTCGAGGGTATCGAAGGTGTTGGCAGCAATGAGGGCTTTCTGTAGACGAATTCGCATGTTGAGGAGTCCGTCATAAGCCTTGCGCTGCTGGCGGATTGCCAAGCCCTTGTCAACATCGGGCCGAGTTGATAGGGCTGCCATCATGGGCTTTGCGTTTTTAGCCTTCGCCTTTGATTCCTCGTCATCGCTTTCGCTATCATCATCGTCTTCATCCTCTTCTCCCGAGCCCTCTTCGTCCTCATTCTCATCTGACTCATCGTCGGAGTCTTCCTCGCCATCGACTAGAGCGTCAAGGCCATCGTCCATCTCGTCCTCATCCGACTCGAGTTCGTCATCCTCATCTTCGCCAACACCAGCGCCGCCGTCATCGGAAGACGACATGTAGTCAGCAGCGGTAGCTCGCTTGTTAGCAGGCTTTTTAGGCTTGGAGCTTCCTCGGAAAGTAAACTCCTTGAAGCGCTCCTCGTCGCTTTCGCCAAGAGCGTCGTCGCTCTCGATTTCTGAGTCGTTGGCCTCAGCCTCGTCGCGTGCTAGATCTGCGGTCTCAGGATCGTCGAATTCCTCATCGCCCGATTCCTCATCCTCATCCTCGTCCTCGTCCTCGCTCTCTTCTTCGAGCGCATCTCGCGAGACTCGAGAGCCTCGGTACTGGGGACCAAGCGACAAGCCTTCCTGTTTCCTCAATTTACTCTTTCCGACAGAAACATAGTGCTCAGTACCCGCGTTCTCGTCCTCGCTCTCTTCGCTACCGCTGCCATGCTCGCTAACTTCGACATTGGCCTCGGGGTCGTAGTCTTTTAAATGATTAGAAGTTGTAAACAACATGACATTAAAGCAACTTACCCTTGGCGATAGGCTCGTCCAAGTCTTGGAACTGCTTTGCGCGACCCTTTGCTTTAGCCATTGTTATCGATTGAATTGTCAAGTCTTCCACTAACAAACAGAAGCCCCCCCACGTTGGAAATTTTCTGAGGAATGGCCTTGAACTTTTAGGCGGTGGCAAAGGGCAGAATCGTCGTAACTCAGTGTTAGTGGAGTGAGCCCTGTAGAGCCCGCTAGCTCAAGCTCCCAGCGTCTATGGGTTCCATGACACTTTATTTGGTCAGACTCGTGTATTGTTGATATCCTATGGGTAGACAATTCAATATGTTGCTTATTTAGACACTTTCGACATTGAAAAACTCCCTATAACTCAGAATTGAGGAGTTCAAGCTTATAGTACGCCGAGGCCCTGAGTCATATCCCGTCTTAAGCTATAAATACTCTCAGTATGCGTCCAACATCTGCCCGTCTCTTTCAAAGCCTCCGAGCGCTGCAACATGAAAATCCATTAGTGAGTGATCTTCTTTGATGCTCAGTGTTATGGAGTTTGAGTATAACTGAATCTATTCCAGGGTCTTCCTCGATCAGGAACACCGCCAACCTGGGGTAAACGTCCAGTTCGTCGAAAGATCACGGGTGTCGAGAAAGTCATCGCAGTATCATCCGCCAAAGGAGGTGTAGGCAAAAGCACAGTTGCAGGTATCTATAGATCTTTCCTGAGACTTGAGGTGTTCTAACGAAGGCGACTAGCAAATCTGTCTCTGGCTTTTGCTCGTCTTGGCTTTCGTGCTGGGATCTTGGACACTGATATTTTTGGTCCATCTATTCCAACCTTGTTTGACCTCTCAGGAGAACCTAGGTTATCAAATAGTCAGTCACTAGAGCTCATAGTGACCTTTGAGTATGAGCTGACAGAAAAAAGACAACCAGCTCGTCCCTCTTACGAACTATGGAGTCAAGACCATGTCCATGGGCTATCTGGTGGGCGAGAATACACCAGTAGTCTGGCGAGGTCCCATGGTGATGAAAGCTATTCAGCAGCTTCTGCATGAGGTAGAATGGGGTGGTCTCGATGTCCTTGTCCTCGACCTCCCTCCAGGTACAGGAGATACACAGTTGACTATTACCCAGCAGGTCATTTTAGATGGTGCGTGTCTACGAGATATCACGTCTGCTTCTACTAACAATCATCAGGCTCTGTCATTGTCACAACCCCTCATACTCTTGCCACTAAAGATGCTGTCAAAGGTATCAACATGTTCAAAACAGTCGATGTCAATATCCTTGGCTTGGTACAGAACATGTCATTGTTCACATGTCCTCATTGTCACGGAGAAACCAATATCTTTGGTTCCAATGCAAGGGTCAAGAAGCTATGTCAAGAGCACAAGATCGACTTTCTGGGTGATATCCCACTACACCCCAATATTGGAGACGATGGGGACAGAGGAAAACCTACAGTAGTAGCAGAACCTACGAGCGAGAGGGCAAATGCCTTTTTGAAGATAGCACAGGATATCTGTCCCAAGATCGATCTGAGTAGTACATGATCACCAGCCATCTACTCGGCCGCCATGTATCAACAATATAGAATAACTTGTACAGTAATGGTTCCTGTCAGCTCAACTTAGTAAAACACTCAAAGTCAAGGGGAGAGGTGTTATGTGCTCATGTAACATTATTTGATTAACCTCGGCTGGTCTATGAAGACCGCGTCGCTCCTACATACTTGAGTCTGAAAAAGAAGAACTGGATTAAACGCCAGAAAGATAAGTCGTTAGCCTCTGCTGCGATCAAATGCAAGGCATGTTACCAAACAAAGCAATAAGCTCCTGATACTTCCCGAACGCCCCCGTGTGCTCTTGAGTATCGAACCGAGTGCCCTGTCAAGAGAGAAAGGTGATTAGTCTAGCTCATCGTTCATTTGATAGACATGACGGCTTCGAGTAGGGTCTTTTCGCATGGCTTGGCCAGAGCCCGTGAAGCCAACTGAGAACAAGTTAGTATTTGACTCATAAAATGAGAAACAGAAGCGCATACCTCTACCGTGAACACCGTCTGGAGTACGGAACATGCTATCCTTCTTTTGGTTCTTTCCAAACTTGGACTTTGCACTGAATTCTTGCCACTTATTCTTGTTTTTCTCAAGTTCCTTCTTGGCCTTGATCTTCTTTGCCTTGGGAGGCTTGGCTTCACCATCTTGCTCGGCTGCCTTCTTCGCCTCGGGATATACCGTCGCACCCGCTGATGAAACCAGCCCAGGGGCTGGAGGTGTTGCTGGTGCCGAAGTTGTTGGTGTACCGTCCGCCTTTCGCTTGTTTGACACAGGTCGAATATCGCGAGATCGCAGGGTCTCAGTGTTATCGTAAGTCTTGAACTTGACAGTGTAGATAGGATCTGTTGAGGATCCAGTGATAGATGTAATGCGCGCTGGGTAGAAAGCCTTGTCACCAGAAACCCACTTGGCTAGAATGGTATCGTTGACCTGGTAGTTTATGGGAGCCTGTTTCTCTTCCTCGGCCGGAGCTGCTTTCTTAAAGGCGGGGTGGTTCTCGCGAGACCATTTCTCGGGCTGAGGTGGCGGTGATGGTTCTTTGGGGGCGGGCTTGGGCGCCTGGGCAGGCTTGAGCTCAGCAATTTGTTCATTGAGAAGATCGATGAAGCTGTTCAACTCGTCCTTTAAAGCTTTGAGCTCGACGTTATCAGGGTCATCGCGTAGTTGGCCAAGAACGATGTCGAACTGGAGGAAAAGGGTCAGTATGAATGGCATATCATGCAGGAATGGATGGGGGGGTCGTACTTGTTCTTGGTATGTCTTCTTCTCTTCTTCGATTTCAGCGATAGACGACATGTTTTCGGATCTTCTTTTTGAGGTCGGAAGGGATGAATAATGCCAAAAATCGGGGGTTCTGATAGGTAAGTATTGAAAGCGGCGACGGGTTAGTTCGTGTGATTCCTTGATGAGATTGAAGATTCCAAGTTGGAGTTAAAGGTCACGTGCGTAGTATCCAGGGAAGACAACCCAGATTATCACCGCCAAAAGCTTTTGGAAGACGAGGGCGAGAAAAAAAGATGTTCAAATCTGACGAGCCATATTTCAGTGTATTTAGAGTATTATATCTACAAACGGCAGATGGTCTCTTTCTCAGTTGTAGCCTATACGTTTCTATCGGCTATCATATCTGGTGATAGGTTTTGCTTTCGCGTCTTGGAAGAAGAGGCTCAAACAACAAAGGAGACAGGCAGTGAGGATATGATTTTGATTAGCAAGAATCAAATCATATGGATCGATATTACCACTCTTTCGTCCCACGTATATCGTGGCTATCACGATCGTTAAAAATTACTGAATCA